CATGACACATGACCCATAGGTCAAACATGATTTTGACCTCTGAAGTCTGGATTTGAATCAAAGTTCTTTGACCTCTGAATTTGGTTGGTTTACTTATGACCATGGCCAAATTTGTGCCTCCAGTCGCGCCCCATGTAAGTTTGTCTCAAACTGGACAGTACCCCTAAATGGCACTGTTTACCCTCTGGTTATTTAACATAGCTATGGGAAATCACCATTTTTAAGAACGGTAAATCCTCATTTTTACCCATAAAGGGGCCAACTCATCGGTTAAATCACCATCCAGGATCGGACAACTCATCGAATTTCGGGGGGTTTCCAGCCCCTCTCAGGTGCCGAGTCTCTGGGGCACTGAGACACCACTACGCTCTGAACGTCAGAGAGAAGATCTTTTGCGGTGGCGGCTTGGAGGACGACGCACGACGTCTTTGTCGCCGTCTTTTTAAGTGATGGCTTGGAATCCTCAGTCATTGCAACTCGCAAGTCTCGAAAATCCATGATTTTTTGTTAGAAGAGATTGCTACCACTCGATCTATGAGATGTTTTTCGGGCACTCCATGGTATCAGAGTCTCAAATGGATGGGGAGGTTTCCCCATCAGCTCTTTGATGATCCCTCGATGTTGTGCTGTCCAGCATTTTCTGTAGGAGATTTTGAACCATCTTGAGCGCAAGCACGTCACCCGGCACGAAAACGGTTCAGGGCGATTTCTGTCCGTAGAAAATTAATTTGGGAGTAACTTTTCTTTTCGGACATGGCCATTTTATACATTTTTTGGGAATCCATGATGATTTTTCAGGGTGCTCAGTTGTTCCCCTCAAGCAGCACCGCCACCTGAGGCGGACGTCGATGTCATTGGAATTTCATACTTTGGCAATGACTACATTGATGAGCCAATGGACGAATCTCAGCAGCTTTGAGACTTTGCTCCTGGGTTTCATGTGGATGAAATGCTACAATGTTGAGCCCGTTTTCCCACTGTTTCAGTGTGCCAGATGTTGCCGAGCACAATCGAACACACGCGAAAAACGGCAGGGGGTGTATTCCAGCTGGGTGAAGATATCAGCAAGTTATGACATCTCCGGAATCTCTGTATGTGTGTCATAAATGGTTTATAAACCACTTGTTTCTAACTGGGGATGCACATCCTCTTGTAACGCACAGATAGGACATCACCCAGCCTCCTGTTGAGGAGCGGGAACATTACTACCTCTGGCAGCGCTTGTTCAGGGTGGTACGTGCCTGGAAGAATTCGGGGAGCTTTGCGGTGGTTGGTCGTTTCGTGTTTGTAATTGATATATACTGTATATATATATATATAAACATATACAAACATACAGACATATTCTTCTATGCAAGTTTGGAACCAGCAACCAACGTCTGACTGGACTGTTGGATCGGGTGAAGCCTTGAACGTGCCAGTTTTTGGCTTTTGCGACAAACGTGGGCGACCAGTGCTTTCTCTCGGGAGGGCCAGGCATGTCAGAGTGTAGTATTGGGAGAAGTGAGATCCTGAAGGCACCAGGGTCGGCTTCTTCATTTTTATCATGATGCGTTAGTATTGGTTTATGAGTGAAGATAAAGATTCTGGCATTCGATCGCGGGCAGTGGCAGCTTTTCATTGCGGGGACTTCCAGTGGATGCATTACATGCTGCGTGGAAACGACAACTTGGATGCCGTGTCTCGTGGAAATTGGTGACAAGAAAACTGTCCGGAACATTCAGGAAGCATCATGAGCCTCAACAATGTTGTCTACCAATTTTCCCAGCAATTAGATGGGGTACACGGTATATCCGCAATATACCATCCTCAAATAATAGGGACCATTGTAATTCACCAATGAATAGGTAGGGGTGTTCCCACAACATTGTCAGACAGGCATGGATTGAACCGTCCGGCCGATCGAGGTCAAAAAGCCTGGCATCGGGCCGTGTTCTTCGTCGGGGGCTATGCGGCAGCTCGGCAGAGTTCGCGGAGGTTTCTGCGGGTCGCGCCACCTGCGACTGAAACGTGGGCCAGGGTGGTGTGGTGTGTTGGATCTTGAAGCTGTACCCTCTGGTAAACTAACATAACTATGGAAAATCACCATTTTCAATGGGAAAATCCACTATCAATGGTCATTTTAAATAGCTATTTTGACATAACCAGAGGGTAACATCCAAATCAACTCATGACTGCCAGTGGCTTGAGGCAAAGTACCGTTGCTCTCCTATTTACGATCGAAGCATGGACCTGGTGCGGAAATGGGTGCGCGAAGCTGGCTTTGAGGTGGTTGCCGGACACCAGGAGGCGACGCCAGGGCCAGGATTGTACCCCGGGCCCCAACCGTTGGGAGATTTGCCCTGGTGAAGATCTATGGTTCCCAGAGTTGAAGGGAACAAACAACCGTTGAAAGTTGAAACCCTACTATTTAGGGGTAAAAAACCATGGTGTCACAGTGTCCTATCCTGCAAAATTTCCTTCAACCCAATCCACTGAATGGTTGGGCATGTTTCGAACTTCTGACTCCTTGTGCCATGGTGCGTTTGCTTAGTCGGGGTCCTGTTGGGCTTTGGATTGCTGAGATCAGTTGGGATTCTTGAGACTTTCAGGTATCTTGAAGCAGCCCTCACTGACCACTGACCTGTTGTGATCAAGCAACATATGGTATTTGAGCAATGCAAGGGTCCAAGGTCGGTGGGTACCTTTGAGACAGGCAACTGGAAGTTGGTTTGGCTCACTACGTATTTCACTATGCTTTGTGATATATATATATATATACATACATATATATATATATGGATAGCAGACCCCAAAAAGATCAAGTAAAATCCTAGTAAAATGCTGATGAACTACTCTTCTATCTTTCTTGGCAGTAAATGTTCTTTTTTCCAACACACATTTCCCATTTCTCCATATCTGACTACCCGTCAGGTCCGCCAATGGCAGCTGCATAGCGACAAGCTTCACTTCGCGCGAGCGACTTGCTGGGTCGTTCTGGGGATCCAAAACGTCGATTCGCTAGAGATATAACCAGATATGGAACATTGGTTGAATATGTGCCCCAGTTCCTTTTTGTTGGGTATGAGCATATATGTATACATATATATATATACATATATACACATACATGAGTGATGTATATCGATATTGGATATACCTCAGCAACATATGGGTTCTGAATCACTTAGCATTGGAGTTTTTGTACGCGACGGGCCCCTCCAAACTACTTCCGATGCCCGAGGACCACCTGGAAGAGCTCACCGCAACCTGGCGGACCTGTGTGGCAGAAAATGGGATACCCTCTGGTAAACTAACATAGCTATGGAAAATCACCATTTTTAATGGGTAAATCCACTATAAATGGCCATTTTCAATAGCCATGTTAAATTACCAGAGGGTAGCATTAATATTACGCATCTAATTCGACACAGCTATGGTTCAAAAGATAGGCTAAATCAATGTAATTCATCCATTTTTTTCGGAACATGTGAACCAAGGTTTTTTTTGAAATTACGGGAGGGTTTTTTCCCCAAAATGGAATGATTAACCAACGGGTTTGAGGTACCCTATGTTTTTGGACCCATATGGAGATACTCCAAGTTGCTATAGTACATGTAGAATCATGGTTGGTGTCCCCATTTTTGCCTCTGGTGAAATGTCAAAATAGCTATTGAACATAGCCCAGTCGAAATAGTTGATTTACCCATTAAACATGGTGGATCTTTCCATAGCTATGTAAACGTTTACCAGAGGGTAGCATCTTGATTCTCATGGGTCATATTCCCTTGGTGAGTCAGTGAGGAAGGTCTTTTGTTGATGGAAAGTGTGAAGATAGGCGAAAAGCGGGGAATCAGATGATGAGTTTCTAATCCATGGGTTTGGCAACCCAAGAAGATCGAACTCTTGAAAATTCCCCTCCGGTAGCCAAACATGGCAATATATGCATATATATATGTATACATGCATATATATATATACATGCATATATATATACACAGATGATTTTCCTATTGGAACCTCCATTTAGGGGGTTCAAACGCAATTTTTGATAACCAGAGAGTACTTTGTCACGGCAAAATTTGTCGTCCAAGAGTGGCTGCTCCGACACGGAGCCACCAAGGAGTTCTGGCACGATCTACTCACAGGAGCTTCGGAGGGTCGATCCAAGCGTGCTCGTGAGCAGCTGGGCAGCTTTATCCTTGGTCTTGAAACCCAAGGATCAGAGCAGTGGTGTTCTGAAATCAAATGGGCGCCTCCCATCATTTCATGATCTTAAATCAACTTAAATCCATCAGATTTGGGTGTACCATGGCGTAGCCTTAACTTGGGTTTAAACTGGACTTGGACCTGTAGGATGCCCCTGGACTACACTTCCTATCGCCCCTGGGATAGGACGGTTGTTTGTAAATGGATTGCCCCATTGAACTCGCAGCATTGAAGGCACCTATTTGTTGACTTAGACTTTGACACAAAGTATGAGAACAAAGCATGTTGGCAGCGGCTCTGAAGTTGATAGACTTCGGGTTTCGTGGTCGGACCTCGCTGAAGCCTTATTTATCAGCAGCCGAGGTCAGAGCGCTCACGCAGCCGAAGTTGGAACAGATCTCGTCCCGGCTCCCACGTGAAGAGAGCGAAACGCCAGGCACGGTGAGTGTCGACGCCGTGAAATCTTGGATCATTTGGATTATTTGGATTCCAGAAGACCTCCTTAAGATCCATACATGTACATAATCCAATATATATATATATAGGTTGATACTATGTAACTTTTCAAAGTGTTCTTGAAATTTGAACCATCTCCAGTTTTACACAGAAGACTAGAACAAAAAGGTATTTGATTCGGTTCTCTCACATGGAGTTCTTCCATTCTTCCTGGCAACCCCAATTTGACACGGTCCTTTCGTCCTTTCCCAACGCACCACTGGGATCAGGAGCATTCAAATCATGCGGAGCCTTCGCACCTGCGGTGGAAGCGCCCCTGCAACATGTGGGACACAGCGGAAGATGAACATCGCCACAAGCTCGAGACCTATTTCCAAGAATGGGAGTGGCTTAGCTGACACTCAGATTTCTGGTTACCCGGCCTGGTAATGACATTCACAGTTCGCGAACTTGAAGCCATGGCCCATAGAAATAGTGGATTTACCCAGCTAGAAAATGGTGGATCTTTCCGTAGTTTTCTGTAAACGTTTACACTGGAGCGTACCACTGAATCGCCCTGTTGGCAGGGGCAAGAATATTGGTGATCTACTCAGAATAAGGACCCACAACACATTCATGTTATTCCAAAAAGAACACATAGAAGAGGTACTTTAGGAAAACACATGTTGGTTTGTCTTGGGTAACAATTTAGCACTGAGTATCTCCAACTGTGCGTACTCGGGTGAACAGTCATGGGGCCCCCGTTTTCCATGCACAAACACACGTGTTTTCAACGGCCAAATGTACATGGTGTTTCTCAATGTTTGGACAACCATATGCCACGGGCCAAGAACATGTGTTTCCTTCATATTCACCAAGAATTGGCTAGTCGGCCCATGTACTGGGGCAGGCTCCCCGTGATGAAGTCAGGTTACCTGACCAACATGACCAGATAGGTTCCGTACTGCTTGCCAGTTTGAGCTGCCTATATATAGGCATGTAGTGGGTCCTAATTAGCCACTGCTGGTTGAATGGGGTCATTTACGTTCGTTTACAGGATGTTTTTTGTGTTTTTAAGCTGCAAAAACCATGATCATCTAAAAAAAGGCAGCTTCAAAAGTATGCAATCCTTTTTTTTGCCATCATGGGGCATCATGTCAGTAAAGCAGTTGGATCCACGATCCCCAAATTCCACATTTTTCATGGGTGGTTTATCAAGGCATCATGCGCGGCAAGCAGGCCGCTGCCCCGAGGCGTGGAGCTACCATTTGGGGATGACTTTTTGCAACCCATTGTGTCTACCACATGATATGAATCATTACATAAATATATATATATCTACATATATATATATATATGCATATATATATATGGCTTATAGATGGGTTATAGGTTCTAAGCCACTTACGATTCCTGGGATGCACATCCAGGTATATAGAGCGAATTGTGTAGCAAACAGTGAGCATGGCATAAATTGATTCCCAGCAACATGCGGCCAAGAATAATGGGACAATCATCCTCGACATGAACTGGAGATGATTCTTCACACATCCTGAGTTTTTTTTTTGTAAATATAAACCGTTAAGTTTCAGGAGGTTGCAACAGGTGACAAGAAATTCACTGCGACTGAAATTCCTCAACGACAGCCGCGTTGCTGGTTTCAACGACCTGTCGGAGCTGGCCGCGGGCAGTGACCTGTCGGAGCTGTCGGAGCTGTCGATCCGGGTCAGCTCTGGCGTAGCCAGTGGCGGCTAAAAGCTCAGCTGGTAGGGATAATACGAAGGAATATCATCGGAATATCAAGGCATCACAATGAATTACTCCGGGGTGAAAGTACCAGGCGCCGAATACACTAGTTGCGCCATGTACTTTTGCCCCCCGGGGGCCCAACATACATGGCGCAACTCGCATTAATATAGCGTGCGCACTTGATCCATACTGAGCCATCTTTTTCCCACGCAAAACCGCGAATACATATTTAGTATTCGGCGAACATGGCTGAATCTGTGGAGTTTTCGCGACCGGGGTGTGTGCAGTTTGGTTATGCGTGCCACTGCCATAGATGGCGCAACTCCAGAAGCACACGGGGAACCTCCCCATATTGCAGCCAGATAGATGGCGCAACTCACATGTCACTGGTGTATTCATGTGAGCGTTCTCTCCCACAAAAATCATGCGCATGTTCCACCAGATCGAATGCACAGTAGATGGCGCAACTGGGCCACAAGAACCGCCTGTGTGATGCTTGGAGCTGCGCTAGCTTTGGCAATAAGGATAAGCATAACCAAATTGCAGGTACCCGGTCGCGAAAACTCCACAGATTCAGCCATGTTCGCTGTGTTGAATACGCTGCCGTATGTTTTTTTCATAGTTACCCTACTTCTGGGCTCCTTTTCAACTGTGTCTTATGCTTCAATACAATAGATGGCGCAACTGACAATTTACAGTACTGTTTCGACAATGCAGTCAGCCAGATGCCTTTCAATACTTTCAAGTGCACGAAGCGTACTACTGCTGCATATGGTACTGTGCAGTATATGGACCAACAGACTGCCGGGAAAAAGGAAGGAAAACGGCGCGGAGTCTACTCCACAAATTTCATCCAATTTCAGCCACATCATTTGCACATTTATGTGGAATCCGGCATAAGTAGATGGCGCAACACCAGCGGGGTTGCGCCATCTACTTTCACTGGGGCAGATTCGGTTATTTTCTCAGATTTCGTCCGTTCCAAATACCGGTGTCCGCGCCATCTATTAAGTGGCCCTGAAATCTGACTTCTGCGCCTGGTACTTTCACCCCGGTGTATATAGATTTATATAGGGGAATCCCATTCTCAAACAACTACAAAGGGACGACACGGGGGTTTTGAACACTGTTCAAGTGTGTTTTGAAAGGAGCCTGTGGGCTTGAATCTTAGCAACCCATTGGTTGGACTACACGACTCTTCCTTTGACACCAAACAAAAATGCTGCGCCGACAGGTTACACACCTGTGCCTGAGAGCTAAGTCAATCATTCTGGGGTTTCCACTGGATTCCACGAATATTGAGACATCCCTATCCCAGCAGCTTGTTCCGCTCACCGATATCCCCGATCCATGCAGGATCGTGGATGGTTCCGCCAAGACAAGTGGCGCAGCTGGGACCAAGGTGTCTGGGTTATTTTCATACGAGAAAGGCCAGGGAACCCTCTAAAACAAGCAGTTTGAACCAGGTTTATAGTGGGTTTTCTTTCAAGTTGGTGCCACTTTTTCTGGCATTTGTATACTTACAACTGGATTCCTTCTGAGTTGGTTTTCAATGTTTTTCCAATCTGGTTCCGCTGACTGTGAAATTTGAAACCACACCGAACCCCATGCTGTGTGTTTCAGCAGCAGAGTCTTGAAGCTTGACGGGATTGGAAGCCACAAATCATAATCATTGTGCTTTTGGGAAGGTGCAGAAAAAACACCTTTGGTGAAACACATATCTGTACACTTTGGCCATGTTGTGATGGATCGCACAAAACTTGTCATTCCAGGGGTTCATGTGCCTTAAAAAGTCCAGCAGGAACATCCGTGAAGCCTTGAAACAAAGATCAGACTCTAGTTGACATCCATGAACTAGTAGACTACTGGTGCCCTCGGGGACAATCCAATGAATTGGTATTTTGTGAAATCAAGGTCTTTTGTTATCTGGAGACTGATTTTTCGGGATTTGCCAAGGTTCAAGGGATTGGGGATCACGGCCGAGTTCTTTGGTGTTGCCTGGCGTATAACTTGGGCTACCGGCGGTTCCGACCACCATTTGGTGGTCGCTGCTGGACACACAAAGGATGGGGAAAATCCGTGTCAGAAACTCTGCGAAGAACCGAGGCTTACGCCGAACGAGCCACACCGCCACCGGTACTAGGACAGTGCCGTCATTGGCTGCCAATGGCTTATAACTTATAACATGTTATAACCGTGGTAAGAAGTAGGGCGAGTAGGGGCAATGTCCAGGGATTATTTGGGGCGGGGACGCCACTATTTGAACATAGAGAAGACCTGAACGTGATGTGAGTTTCTGTATTCCAGCGTGATTGGGGTTGTTTCCCTGGGCTACACACATTATTCGTTATATCATGGAAATTCATCGAATATATTCACATGACCAATCAAATACGGAGAAATCCACTTACCAGGGTGGGCACTGTAGTACACCCCGGGACAGAGTTTCAAGCAGAAAGGCTACAATATCTGACTGCAGATTCCTTGAATTTTTCCAGTACATTGTCCAGGCAAATCACCATTGGTTAAGCTATACTGATGACGACTGCTCCTCGGAATGACGACTGGATGATGGCTTTTTGGGTAGCCCCGAAAAATTTCATGGACACCGCCATATATCCATAGATATCTTTAGTGATTGGGGGGATATCCCTAAATATATATATATATTTATATTATATTATCATATATTGATGGTGAAAAAACCATGAAACATCGTGCGATGTTTCATGGTTCACCATGGCCTGGTGAGGATCATCTCCGGAGAACCGAGACAAGTTTCACCATGTCTCCAGGGATGCCACGTCAGTGGCGGCAGAAAAGCCCTGGTTCCAGATATACTAGCTGTATAGATATTAATATACAGATATTATACTGGTTGTGGATTCTAGGCTATACTATGATATACTATGATATACTATCCTTTTTCCATACACACTATTGATATTGCTAGTATATCTGCAAAAACCCTATTGGTATTGGGTAGTATTTAATCTGTATACTACCCTATTTTCATATACTACCCAATGGTATTCCGAAACTATTGATGGTCCTGCTCAGTGCTAATTTTTTCTGTGGCGACGTCCAGAATTTAGCGACTAAAACGCGCTTTCGATGAACGACCAACAATGCCATGAGCTGGCCGTTGAAGTGCAACAAAAACGCGCCAGGGCTGGTGGATTTCAATATCTATATGTGTTACATTAATATCATCATTTATATCATTTAGTATGTACATAACACATACATCTCTGTGTACATATCATGTATATGGCAAATTTGAACATCACATGGTTTCCAACCGGATTTCGTCACGTCTTTTTCGGGGGACGGAGTTCGACGGTGATGCGGCACCAGGTTTTTTTGGGTCGTCCCTTGAGAAATCAGAACATGGGGTACTTAGTCGGTGTCGTCAAACATGATGAGCTGGAAAATCCCCCATAAATTGAGGTTTTAATGGGAAAATCATCTGTAAATGGGAGATTTTCCATGATTTTCCATGTTTGAGGACACCGGAGGGAAAAAAATCCCTCAAGAAGGCTAATTTTGTTCCGGAGAACATGATTAAACACTGGATGGGTCCTGGGTCCCGCATTTTCAAACTACATTGTTGATGCAAATGGCAACCCAGCAAAGCATGCGCTTGTCTGTGCTGACACTCTTGGGACAAATCTTGCATTTCACGTTGCCAGCACAAACCTCTGTCTGCTACAGTTCTGGCTTCAGTTTTTTACACAACTTTTCGGCTCACAAAAAGTGGGCCCGTTAAACAGCGCTTAGGAAATACAGCCACATCAATGGAAGGGCATTTAGAAGCCCGGGATGGGACAGAGGGCCCGATAGCCTGTACTACTACCATTCTTGCTGCTGTTTTGATTTGATTGATCAACTTGAGGCCCGATTTGACACCCTGAAACATGCATGCAAAACACACATTTGTACTTACAGACGAAAGGACCTGCGTCAATTGCCGTTTCATGCTATCATTTCGATTTGGAAAAGGATTATATGGAACAATGTTCATAAATTTGGGCTGCTCCCCTACACACATCATCACACATCATTTCTCAATTCCATTCCCATGGCTGGGAAAATTGCAGAAAGAAATCACAGGTGACTATGACGTTGTGCGGATGAATAGCCCACCTTGATTTGAAGATGGTATGAGAATGATTTCATACTTTCATACTTTGACATTGTTTTCAATATTTTTAGAACCACTTAGATACCATCATTTTTGACCATTTTACCTACATCCACTGCCAACCATGGTTCCTGGTGAAATCGCTTGATGTCTGTTGGTTCATCTCCAAACTCGTAGCACCTTAGCGATGGACACTTGCCATGGCGTAGGAAGCAGTTGGAACCTTAAGGGCTGGCGTCATGGCGACAGCCATGGAAACCACGAAAATTGTCGGGACAATTCGCAGGGAAATTTTTGGGATAGAAAACCAGTGGATCAGGGGTTTTTTATACCCATCGCCAGTTATCGTATGCTAAAGTTGTGAAAAACCCTCCGGTGTCATCATCAAACGTGGCGATCGCAATCGGAAATCCCCGAACGAAAGCCATGGAGGTCTGCTGTTCGCTGGGAAAAGACGCATCGGTCACTAAAGGGTGTACTGAAACCAGCAAGCCATGGAGCTGATTACCGGAGGGTACCCAACAGGGGCCAGGACATCCATTTTTTTGAGAGTCTTGAACTGGGAATAGCACAGAGGATGGCCGGTTCTACTCACACATTTCTATGCCAGATGCCCAGGCATCGTTGGTTTTTATGGGCTTTTAATATGCATATGACATACCCCAGTGATATATGGAATATCCCCAGGTAGATTACGGGGTTATAAACCACGAAGCCGATTGCTGGGATGCACATTCACAGTTTCTTGCATGGGTTAGGATTCGCGATCCAATGCTACCAAAAGTTTCAAACAGGTACTGTAATTTTGAATGCTTTGCATCAAGTGAAATATGGCATATCTTGCACCAACGGCTGTATTGACAGAGATTTAAACACTCTTGGATTCTCGGAACCACCAATTCCTTTTCCCAGTACAATTCAATTTCAGAGTTTGGCACAAGACTTTTCCTTTTTTTTCACATTCCAACTGTGCGATATTTCGAACTGATGCCTTTGGCGTTGTCCGAGGCCGGAATGGACGGGCGCAGCATTTTTCCAACCCTGGTGCCGGAAAACGGTTGTGGGTTTTTTGTTGGCTGCCTTCCGAATGGTACTCCTGAGCTCAGATCCAATTTTCAAAGATATTTTCTACTGGCTGATTTCTCAGGTTTCCGAAAGGTTCGTGGGTTGAGGTAGTAGAACCAGCCAAAAAGATCTTTAACATCACCCATAAAAAAAGATGATTTTCCCAGCAAACCTCGATGATTTATAGGGGATTGTGCATTCCATCTGCAAAAGTATAGGCAGAAACACATTGAGCCTTGAAACCAGCCGACAGTTGATGGTTTTTTCTGGTCTTTTATCTCCAAGTGTTCATTTGTTGCAAGATGATTGATGGTTGATTGTTGGGTATGGGTCAAAATGAACTGGGCCGCCCAAAAAATGGATGACTGGTTGGACATGACCAATGAATTGCAGGCTGTAAATCTACCCCAGTTTGCCCCAAAAAACTCAACAATCTCAGCAGGGAACAGATAAGCCCGTTTTTGGGGCTTTGTTTGAAATCTGAACATAGGCTATTGTTTTTTGTTGTGGAGGTAAATATAGAGCATTTCCACATTTTAGCAACAGATGTTCAAGTTTTAACACCAGATTTCGATATTTTCCATATCTTTTCCATAGAATTTTCTGTGTGTTTTCACCAATTTCCAGACGTTCGCGCCAGATGCCGTTCCTCTTCCAACAGGGGCTCTTCGATGATCAGCCTGAAGCGGTGGCCGGCGATGTGGAGGCTGGAAAAAACGGGGGAATTTCGGCCTAGTGGGGAAAACTGAGGAAAATCTCGATTTTGGGCTAAAACATGGGGATTCACAGAATCTGTAGCCAATAAAATGTTGGGAGATGATGGGATATCATGGAATAAGACTCAAAATGGGTGTAGCTGTAAACTGGGCAAAGCAAAACATAGCAAAGCCGGCAAGGTAGACCTTGGTTGGGTGGTACAGTAACTAACAACAATGGGGATTTGATCTAGAAAAAATGGACAATGAAGCAACACAAATTTGCTATCTCTCAAGCAGAAATGGGTACTTCAGCAAACAATGGAGACTTAATCATTAGAAATGGGACTATTAACCAAGAATACTTGCACAGATGAACCTGGATATGCCTTGTTGAAGTGTAGACGATAATGGTTTCATGTTTCCGCATGAACGTCAATGGGATATTCGCCTCGCAGCTTGTTATCACAGATGTGTCGCAGGGTATCTGAGATCATTATAGATCAGTAAGATTTGCCACGTGACTATGCAGACAATGGCGTACCCTCTGACCATTTATAGTGGATTTTCCCATTAAACATGGTGATTCTCCATAGTTATGTAAACGTTTACCAGAGGGTATCTGGATATGAACCATGGAATAACATGCGGGCTGACCAACAAATCAAGATTCTCCAGCTGAAATCATGGGATCTACCAAGGGTGACATGCCAAAGTGCTGAAAAAATCATGGCTTTGAACTGGAGTCAGCAGGGTTGTACCCTCTGGTAATTTAACGTAACTATGGAAAATCACAATTTTTAATGGGAAAATCCACTATTAATGGCCATTTTCAATAGCTATTTTGACATAACCAGAGGGTATATCATTTGGCTCATGTTTGGATTGGTATGGTAGGGTATTGAACTGTGGTGAAAAAAAAAATCCAGAGTAATTTTACGGTACATATCACATGGTAAATGGGTTACGGTCATCCCAAAAAATTGCTGGGAATCCTATCTTGGCCATTGCAAATCCTAAGAAATGCGGTATGACCACCCCCCATTTTTAGGGCATATCATCCAAGTTCTGATAGACTATAGTTGGTTATACTGTAAGATTTTTTCCATCATATTGCCATGATGTTCCCATTGCATACATCACTATTTTAAATACATCACTGTACTACAAATCCGACTTTTGACCATGGGACAGCAGGGAACCTTTCAGTTGACCATGAACCAAGACCTCCGGAGAGGCTTGCACTTCTGGATCTTTTTTATTTTTAGGCTAGCGTCTCGATTTTCCCATATTTTCTTGTTTTTTTGCAATGTGTGATACCCACGTAGCCTTCTGGTCATTTTGCAGATAGCTATAGAATGAACATCATCCTCAAAAAATAGGTAAATCATAGAACTGTATAACCGAATCATCATTTGAAATAGCTAAATCAACGAACGTTAAATGATCCATGGTTTCCACAGCGATGTTCGAATCAGGTTGAGTGGAGCGATGGATTTCAAGCTGTTGGGGGGCCCTACTTGGGGGCTGCTGTTCCAGTCCTAAATGGATGTATTTCCACATATTTCCACCATTGTTCTCATTGGTGAAAGGGACTACATCCGATGAAAAGCCTGATATCTCCCATAAAAAGAGGATATCTACTTGGTGCGAAGCTTTCACGGAGTTGGATCCGTGGGTTTTCATTGCAATAACTGGACGAACCGACTAAGCCTAGAGATTTGCGCGAAGACATCCCAGAGGTACAGCGGCAGTGCCACAAGGATCACTGGAAGAGTTTTCAGGGCAGAATTTCAAGGGTCTTCAGAGATTGGGATTCCATTGCAACCTGAGGATGACAATCCATAGAGTTGGTCATAATGGCACGCAGATTCTGCTGGATATTTTGGTCCCGAAAAAGTCCCAGGTATGGAAAACAACTGTTTTGGGTAGCCAAAAACTAATAACTGGGACTATAGGGACTATAGGGACTATAGGGACTATAGGGACTATAGGGTATGAACCACTAATGGGATTTAAGTCTGATATTCTGATCAGGTATATGATGCCCGGAATCTTGGTGACGCGTATTTAATCTATAGCATAATTTGTGACAGTCTCTGATTATCATGCCCCATATTACAGTAGTTCATATGCAATATCCATATTATAGTTCAATGGGACTTAATGGAACTTAATGGGACTATTAACCACTATAGGGATGCCCCAGACACCATGGTTCCATGTGGGTAAAACGATGCCATTGGCACCAGCCATGACTGGGAATGGGAATGGTTTTTCAATCCCACCAGCAAAAAAATATGGTGTTTTTTCCTGGGGGATGGTGCAAATGGCATTGATTTTACCCACAGGAACTCAAGATTTGAATCTCGCTGAATGGGGAAGCGCAGTTGTGGACCGTTTGACGAATGCGTTGTGGCCATGGGGAATGGACATCTCGTCAGCCACATCACAAAGCCCGGTCTCGTCACTGAAATATCACCCCGGTTGGTTCATCAACAATTCCCCCAAGTGATGATCTGGGGCAAAACGTAACCAACCAATGCAGATGTTGCCAGGTTTCGTTGCATCCCAAGGACTTGTTTCTCCTGTATGTTTTGAACCGCCGGCTTCGCAAATTGGAATCACAACATCAGACACGCAAGTTGCGGATCATAGCACGAATCGCAAGTGGTCAGTAATGGTTAGTAACTTCGATGATCAGATTTGTCCTCGCTTCGCTTTTTATAACTGGGTGATTAATATAACCCTACACGAACTGGTACTACTTATCTTTGGTTTCAGTACATCCCAATATTTCTTGGTTCTATCATCTTACATCCCCATCTGATACTGGCTAAGCAAAAAGTCGTTGAAGCGGTGAAGCGCAAATGTTTTTTTTTTTTTTTTTTTCCGGGGCTGTATGAAAAAACCCAGTTCTGTAACGGTTAAATGTGGTTGAATATCCTCATTAATAACATTTAATAACCAGAAACTCTTGTTAGGAGCCGTGGGGTGAACCACCACTTTCTGTGTCCCAGAATAGATTGAATTTGCAAGGCCTCCCGACCAACCCTAAGGAAATGAACATGGAGTAAAAACCCATTATAAATAGCAGTTCCCTGGGAAACCATATGATTGAGGGTGATTAACAATCAGATTCACTTGATGCTTGGGGATACAATTTTTCCGACCCATATGGAAGCCTTTGAAAATCTGTTCGAAGCTTCTTGACTTCTTGGATGAAATACAACAACCTCCAGTAAACATACAAAAGGCCCGAAGGAAATCCGTGGCTTTCCCATTCACAATTATGATCTACAAATGCTGGATGATGTGCATTTTTTCTTAAATGTATGTATGTACATCCACGCACACATATGTGTATATATGTATATATATATATGTATACATATATATATATATATCCGTATATGTATATATATATATATCTATATGTATATATATATACATACGCCAAAGATATTTTTCAAGATCACCAGCGGCACGAGCGCTTTGGTCGATTGGGGGCCCCCCTTCTTCAGGCGGCCGACGAAGAAGGTTCGGAAGCCTATGGAGCTGGGAATGAGGGAAGCTACACCAGTGGATCTTCAGAAATCTTTTTTATGTGTTTTTTTCTCACCAGAAAGTGGGGGGTTGTGTTTCGAAATCAAAAATAGATAAATTCATTAATTGACATATATACACATCATATATATATATATATATACATGTATATGGTAGGCATTTGTTGACGCGCTTGCGTCTTAGGCGATCTTCAGAGTCGCCTCAGGTTCGGTCTCGGGGTGGTGGTCCAATAGGTGTCATAGCATAGCTATTGAAAATGGCCATTCATAGTGGATTTTCCCAGTAAAAATGGTGATTTTCAATAGCTATTTTGACATAACCAGAGGGTAAACCATCGAACTAAAGCTGGAAGAAAAAATGATGTTTAGTTCAAGGATGGTTTTGCCATAGCTATCTTAAATTACCAGAGGGTAGAAGTTTCGTTTTCCAAAAGATTCTCCGTACATCAGCTGAGCCAGCTCGAACTTGGGTTCTTGCTGGCCAAGCAACTTGGTTCCATGATTCCAAGTGCGCCATTAAGAATACCACTGTTGATGGGTTCATATAGGGGGTTATACTACCTGGTTAATGGGGGCGTCAACCCGCAATGGGTTATCTATCTACTCAAGTTTTGTGCTGTGGCAACTTGGAACTTGCAAAGGCAAGGAATGTGGTAGACCAAGCATCTCCGTTGGGGGATTGACAGGTTGTGATTGTTGTTGTGTCCGAAAAACAATATTGTCAAACTACAAAGGCACAAAGTCTTCAGGCGCCCGTGGGTGGCGCAACGGTTTTCCAGCATGATTCAAGAAATGTCACGACTATTATTTTTCAACCTGTTCATGCGCATGCCCTGGCAAGTTGAAATGTGAAAACATCATAAATCAACAGCATTCAAACACAAACCCCTCACCACACCCTGCGTAGCATCACAAGTGTGTGCAGGTTCAAGTCACCTTGTTCCTCAACGTAACATGAAGATCGTGCGCAGGTAACATACACATGAGGTTATTGCCGCATCCCACCCCAACCCCCCGCCATCTTCACTGTGGCAATCATCATGGACTTTATCCCGAAACTCTCACGACGAATAGTCGAATCAGAATCAGGGGATCAACCAATTCGGGATAATCCAGTAGATATCTATTGTTTCATACTGGATCATCTATCAATTTGGGAGAATCAGATTCAGATGAATCATGAAATATTTTTTAGGACCTCAAACTGGGGATCACCTCCAGTAGAATGAGCAAACCGCAAGGCCGATCTTAAGAGGCCCTGTTGTGGTAAACCATGTGGTAAACCCCATTGCCCCATACCATAAACATTTTACCTCCATTTGTTACCAATGAATCACCAGATTTATGATTTTGAAAAGGATTCACTACACAAAATTCAGATTGGTTTAGAACATTGTAGCTGGGAAAACGGTCGAACGCACATATGGAATTTTCCAGCAAGCCATGTTTGACCAGAGGGAACTCATTTTTGCCATAAGAATTCTGAGGCTTTAGGGTTAGCAACTACGTACTGTACTTTTTTTGAGACCCTGGAGATAGTTGACTGCTTAGGTAAACTCCAAACATCATTGGGTAGATAGTCATTTAGAAGCCATTTTCCATCCCTTTTCCAACACCTTCCCCAACTTCGATGCTCCTTTGAGAGACCTTCGCAGGGTCCTCCGCACCCAGCGCGCCGAGTTCCGACCTCAGTGGATGGCTCTGCCTGCCACAGAAAATGAGGACTTTACGGGATTTTGAGGGATTTTGATGGGATATTCTACAATATATACATATGCAGAATTGCTGTGTACATCTGTATACTGTATACTCTTGATTTTTAGCAACAAACCTGCATATTTCAGCCACAAGAATGAGGAACGAAAGAGAACAACTTAAGACAGCGATACAATTCAGCTGATGAAACACTTGATATACTGTGCGTAGTTCAACTTCTTGATGCAACCTTCAAAATTGCGACTTGAACCAAGCGAAATGAGAATAACATCAAGCCATATCAAGCCAAAAATAATGGGGACATGGATAGCAAGAATAGGCAAGTAACGCGATAATATTCGAGCATTGGGTCCTTCCTCTCCCATGGTACCAGTCATCCTGTCATCGTCAGTCTGCCAAAAGCACACTTTACTCTCATTCTCTGAATGTTATTTTCACATTGCACGACCACCAAGTAGCACATCCTTCCTGCCATGTCCAAAAAACACTTTGTAAACAGCTAACATGATCCATCATGATCCTAGATATCCTAGACCAGCAATTGGCCCCTCAAAACACATCAAACCCAAACAGCTGGCAGTCAGATTTTGTTCCTTACAAGCATGGCGGTTGATGGCAAACATTGGTGAAGCAGTCAGTTTTGGGCTGCGGAGTAACTTGACATGCGATGGTCATTGCGACATCTTGCATGGCAATTATTGCTCCGGCTATGTGGATCCACGAAACGAGTTCTGGCCATTCGTGCAGCCAACTCTGAGATCGATTGGACGTTGGTTCAATCTGCGGCCAACGTGCAACGGCCCTGGCTGATTGACGAGCTCCTGCTTCCCGATTTTGGGCGCAAGATGATGGAGAAAGGCTTTCAACATGCGTTGGAAGATGCAGAAAGTCTCATTCTGAGCAATTTGGTGAGCAAAAATCCAGACGCTTGGACTTGCATAAACCCATTTCGTATTATTTTCCCATTGGTTTTGGGGAATCTACTGGGAACAGATGTGGAAATCCGAGGATGCGCTCCTGCTGCAGTCCAAGGGTGTTGGGATTGCCACCTACTTGGCCTTCCACAAAATCTGGCAGGGGCCGCTGGTGCTGTTGTCGCCCATCCCCAACGCCTGCGAACCCATCTCTGGGGGATCCTGGGAGGCGGAGTGGAACTCGACCATGCAGCTGCTGAGGCGCGGCTCGACCAACATGGCTTGCTGGAAAATCATTCATGACTTCTAGATCTAGTTGGTGGTTTGGAACATGAATTTTATGACTTTCCATATATTGGGAATTTCATCATCCCAACTGACGAACTCATATTTTTCAGAGGGGTAGGCTCAACCACCAACCAGAGATGATTTTCCGCATGAACACCTCCATTTCTAGGATATTTCCCAGTCATGTTTGATTACTGGAGGGTATCCATCATTGATTTTTGGCGAAGGCTACGTATATAGGTTGATCTCTTTTTGTTAGTCATAGTCATCGTTAAAAGTCGGCAGCTAAACTCAATGGATTGGTTTAAGGGAACATCTACAGGAAACCATAGATTTTCCTATGAAATATGGGGCCTTCCTGTAATTTTTCCCTTAAACCAATCCATTGAGAAACGATAGCTCCCATGTTTTCATACACCATCCCCACATAGTCTGGGCAAAGCTCGGTAGACAATCCCTTTGCATCGGGGAATCCTGTGAATTCCAAACCACCCAAAGCACCCAACCACCACTTAGTCATTGAATGAATATATATAAGTATATAATAAATATATATATATACATATATATATACAACAAGTATATATATATATATACACACATACCTTAAAACGTTTGCCAGAAATTCTCTTTTTGGATGGTTCTTTTTTACTGGTTCAAACAATTTGGGGTCAGCTGGTGGCAAACCTTGTGAGGAGTACCCAGCTAGTGGCCGTGGGTACCGGAAGCAGCAACGATGAACAGGAATTCATCGTGCAGAGCATGGAAGAAACTGCTGTTTGTGGCAAGATACGACACATGGCTCAAACTTGGTTGCCTACATGGACACATGTCCTATTTTGGGGAATCCTTAAACAATGATTGAACGATTGAATGCTACCTGTCGATCCACGGTCGGGATTGAGTCCAGGGTGTCCCCCAGTTATACGTTAGAATCCCTTTAGTTATAGTTATATATATTCCCCCATAAACCCTAGTTATTGGAGTTATGAACCAACTGAGCTAGCTACGGGCCCTGTATCAAATGTCTTCTTTGCGTCTAGGAATTGAGTTTTCTGTTTGGTTTCATTGCCCCATGATGGAATCACGAAATGAACCGAATGAGCACACTTGATCACAGTTTTTTGTTTTAAAGTGAGCTTCATGTCACATCTCAACCAATGAGTACCCCCTGGATGGGGTCCCATAGTTATAGGGGTTATATCAAGTTATATCCCCATCCGAGCTGAGGAGAATTACCATGGCTATCTCAATTTTTAAGGCCCCAACTGTATCTAAGTATCGTTGATGGTCAATTCCTCATTCTCCCCATGATGATTTCCTATTGTTGATGCTGAACCCCCTCCTCATGCTACATTATCCCAATATTCAAGCACCATTAAACAACCCATTGACTAACTGTTGGTTATGAATATATCATAATATATCCCATTCACATCCCATCAATATATATATACATTCATATACGGTTACATCAAGTTACATCCCGTAAATATCAACACTAAATCTCATTAGTCGTCCCATTAAATCACCATGTTTTCCCCGTAGCTTTAGCACATCCCATCAATGGTGACCATCCCAGCACGGATCAGGCCGCGGCACCATCAGTCACAGCTTCGAGCTGTGCCCTTCGTGGATCTTGCGCTCCTTTCCGGGGGATCATCGCTGGAAAGAAGAACCGGACAACGCCAAGCACATTGCCCGACTCATCGATAGCATGTTGAGCAACATGCGGCGAATCTTGGACAACTGAACATACCTTTGGGGTTATGATGGGTTATGATAGATCGTTTACTATAAGGTGATGCCCCCCAGTTATAAGTTGGTTTATAAGCCCCAGTAACTATAGTTATAAGTACCACAAACCATAGTTATTGGAGTTATGAACCAACTTAGCTAACTATGGGGCACCACCTTGTAGTATTCATGGGACACAAATAAACCAAGCAACAAAACTGTTGGATGATTTTAGGATTTCTTGCTGGTGCTTGATTCGTAGGGAAAATTTGGGGTGGGATGATTCTGAAAATAGGTATGGATCATTCCTCTATCCCCGACATTTAGCACCAGTAAGATATTAACAAAAGGAGATGAGCTGCATTGCCAGCAAGTCGACAATCCATCAGCCACAAGTCGTGACTAACTTGGATGAGATCGGCTGGTGATTTCTGGTGATTCTTTGCCAGCATTTTTTGCCATAAATGCTGGCTCGAAATGGGGAATCTAGGGGAATATCTTTATTTGCGGCTGGTGATTTCTGGAGAGTTTTGGCATTTGCGTAAATCCGCTAGACATGGGGAATCTTTTTGGAATATGTATGAATATGTTGTTTTTCTTTGGACCATCTTTGGCGCAAATGTCAGGAATGACAAAACGCAGTGAGCTGTAGCAGCGACCGGGAAACGGTGAAAATGCAGAAAACCTTGTGAAGGGTTTGCCCTTGGCAAAAGGCTTGCCACCATCAACCCTGATAGGACTCATTAAGCCAGGTACGGGGTAGCCTGAGGATTCCATTCCAAGGACATGCAAGGTTTTGACAGGCCCACCATGTCACTGTGCGTCGGTGCAGGGCTGATTGGAAAGTGCAGGAGAGCAAAAAATCCGCGGGAAAGACTACAGGCCACATACAGTAGAGGGAAACTTCGTAGATGTGGTAAAACCTCAACACCCCCGCCATCTTGTGGGTATGATTCATTCATCCGACTAACCCCCAAATGGTAAATTGGATCAACAAATTCGTGTTTTGGTCTATGCCTCCAGTGGGTTTACCACATCAAGAAGTGAACTGATTCTGGATGAACTCCCCATCTTCGGTTGATATGATACCCCTTGTCATCAAGTACCTTTTGTTGGTGATATTCTGCATACTATACACATAAATCACATAAATGTTTCTATCCTGTTCTGAATGCTTTCTTGTTACTCCGGGGAAAACGTTTAGATGTGGAAAAGCCATGGTTTCCCGTTATCTACGGGCGGTTTCCACATCGGGATCGCGGATCGCTCAGGTTACAAGCCAAGCTGCAGAGGGGGGCACAACGAGAGAACGAGGCCGGCAGATGATGTGTTTTGAGAAAAAGCTGATGAATTACCCTCTGGTAATTTAACTATGGTGGTTTAATGGTGATTTAATGGGATTTAATGGTGATTTAATAGATCTACCCTCTGGTTATGTCATAGCATAGCTATTGAAAATGACCATAGAAATAGTGGATTTTCCCATTAAACATGGTGATTTTCCATAGTTATGTAAATGTTTACCAGAGGGTAGGGGGAAAATCTTCCATCTATGATTTCCCAGCCATACCTCCATCATTTTTTGGGGGATCTTCCATTGCCATGTTTGATGACCGGAGGGTAATGCGGCTTGGGAGTACCCACATCCTCAACCACTTCATGCACTGCCTGGAATGCATTTCCGCATTCCCATGGCACAATGTGATATTTTCTCCGACACCCAAACAATTCAGACCCAAAAATTAAGACCCAAAAATTAATTAAGACCAAAAAGAATGAGACTGTAGCTTTTTCGACTCGGAAAATCACCTTACAGACCCATCTTTTGTGGGGGTCCATCTCGTATCTCGAAAAAAGATCCATGGTAAAGCCCCCCCAGTTCAACTGGGATGACTGGCAGGTGCTGACCAGCAAAGTGGTGTCTGCTCAGCAGGACAGTTATGGATGAGATTAAGGTCCTAAAAATGGAGGAATTCCGAATTCCTGTGAGTTTTATATCAAGAATGGTGATTCAACCCGCAAACGTGGTGATTTAAGCTGCAAGTCAGGGACGCCTATTTTGTCAAAGAGGTTCCCCATTGTTTCTTCACATCTTCCAGAAACGCATGGTCCAATGGTCCCTTGAACTCTTCCGATTGAGCTGGTTGTGGCCAAAAAAAATCAACCATGATTTATATTGATTAATGTTTAATTATTATGTTTAATTATTATGTTGATACCATTATTATTATTATTAACACAACTGGTCATTGGGATCAGCAGCGACTGGCTTCATGGTGAAAACCCCTTTAGGCAATGGGAAATCCTCGGACATCATCGACTTCGACTTCAACGGCATCGACAATGGATGTCTGAGAGTAGAGCTATCCATGGTGTAGCTATGTATATATATAAGATATATCTAAGATTATCTAAGATTATTCCAGTTGATCTTAAGTTACATTCCCATGCTTTATTCAGTTTATTCATGTTTTTTTCTCTTATTCGGTGGCCATTTGCGGGTATATTTCGATTTGATCTTGGGGGATGTTTCTGTTCGTAAACTGCTGTGACTGTGATAGGGACCCCAGTGGAGATTGATCTGGAAAGATTTGCGGTTCTGTCATTTTTTTTGGTGAGCAAAATCCCTGATTGCATGGTTAGAGACATTCGATTCTTCACAAAATGCGGCTATACCCCATTTTTCCACACACCCAACTCATCCCAACTCTATTTTTTCATTGGCATATACTGTGTATATATATATATATGTATATAATATATATATATGTATATAATATATATATATATATGTCTATATAATATATATATATGTATATATATATATGTATATATATATATATGTGTATATATATATGTATATATATATTATATATATATAATATATATATATTATATATTATATATATATTATATACATATATATGTATATTCACGGTAAAACCACCAGTTTTTGGGCATGTTGATGTTTGAAGCAGCATTTTTGATAGGTACACCCTATTTTCCGAAACATCCAAACATCATCTTGTTGGCTTTCCCATGATATCCCTGTTTTAAACACCCGTCCGATGTTCCTTTGGCTGCGCGCAAAAAAACCAAGCGTCGTGACCCGATGTCTTCCAGGAGTTCTTGGCTTTGCAAGGTGAATTTAAAACCATCAAGGATGGGGAGCCAAGGGAAGAGATGGAAACACTCCAGGGTATCGAACTGTAAATCTGGTTGGTGGTTTCAAACATGAATTTAATTTTCCATTTCATATATGGGATAATCCTTCCCATTGACTTTCATATTTTTCAAGATGGTTCAAAACCACCAACCAGTAAATTGAGAGTGTTTCATGGTGATTACTAGTGATTGATTACTAGTGATTGATAATTTATTCGGCATTTTCAGGTACCTAAAATGATGGAGGTACTGTACCATATAAAGCCATAGAACTTGGGAACAAATCCCCCTTACATAGCCCTGAAGTTTAGGCCTTACACATGGTAGGTACCTTCAATTTAGGTACCTGAACTGGCCATTGATAAATTGATAGTGATAATAGGGATTAACCAATGATCTGGTTGAAAACGGGCTTGAGATATCCTGCATTGTAAAATACGATAGGTTTTTCAATCGATACAAGGATTTCTAGAAACTCCATGGCACTCTATGATGCAGCGTTCCAATCTACCATGCTTCAGAACATCTTGGAACAGTCTTGGGCAGCTGCAACACGGCTCAGAGGAAGGAGGGGCACCTCCTTGGGACTATCCAACCAGGAACTTCTGTGGACAATTCCAAAGGTATCATCCAAGGAGTCAATGAGGATTTCATGGGACGGATATTGATTGGGATATCATCGAATTATTCCAAAGATATATGATATATGATTGGGATATCATTGATATCATCCATTGATATCATATATATATATATATACCCTCTGGTTATTTAACATAGCCATGGAAAATGGCCCATTTATAGATGGTTTACCTGGGTTTACCTATTAAAAATGGTGATTTTCCATGGCTATGTTAAATAACCAGAGGGTATATATATAGGGATATTCCAAAGATATATTGCCCATGGGATCTCATCCCATGATCTCATCCAGGAGGAATACAATCAACAGCTGGAGGGCCTTCGGTCAGAACTGGAGGCCGGTTCTGCGGAGAGTTGACACGGGCCAGGCTTCGCGAAAAATGAGCAGTTTGAAAAACAACACTTGCTTATTACCCTCTGGTAAACTAACATAACTATACATAACTATGGAAAATCACTATTTTTCATGGGAAAACTCACTATAAATGGCCATTTTCAATAGCTATGTTAAATTACCAGAGGGTATATGATGGGAATTTCGTCACCATGTACAACAGTTTTAACCATCAACCATACGATTATATATATATATACATGTGAGAGATGATGGGGCAATACATTGGATTGGCTCAAGCATGTAATTCTAAATACAAGATGCTTTGAGAGATTGTTTATTCATGGATTTGAACATGTAATCCAATTCCCCTAGTATTTAGGACCCACGAACTGGTCCCAATGGAATGTGTAAATCCCCTAAGTGGTCCCATGGTGTCTGGTGGCTGTTTGATATTTGGGGGCAGGGATCATCACAAGCAAAACCTCCCAACGTGGTTTAGTCGCTGATCTGAGAATTTTGGGTTCCCAGATAGCGGACTTAGTATCAAGGGGATGAAATTGTGGTAGGCAAAATGAGGCTTAACCAATGGATGTTTGTGGTTCTCAGTTCTTTTAGATCTATATGGAGGATTCCTGAGTCATGGGGGTACCCCACATCATCCAAGTTATGGATGACCATTGTAGTATTGAACCAACCATGGTGACTTGGGGATCCCCAATTTTAAGAACCCCCTCCATTTTTCATGGTTGAATTAGGATTGAATCCCCTAAAAATCCCATAGAAAATCACAGACAGTTTGGTGACTCAAATCCCATTAAACCCCATATCAATCCCTTGTATGGACGCTCCGATACCCCAGGAGCAACAGGGGGCCGCGGACCGCGCTGACCGACGCGTGAAGTGTGCCGAGGAGACAGGGGAGACACGACGCACGCGGGAGAGTTGTGCAACCAAAATGGCCTGGTCTAAAAATAGCGCCAAAAGGCAACTTTTCAGTAACCAATTGTCATCTTTTATTAATCCATTCCCCCGAATTTTGAAAGTCCTGAATGGTTTCTTTTTTGCAGATCTACTCATTTTCTGGCGCCCAAAAATTGTTGGTATTTCATGTGATCAGAGAACAGGACTGTCCAAAAAAAGATGTCCCAAACTTCGGTTCAGCGGGCCTCACCTGCAACGTCTATGTTTTGGAGTAAAACACTAATTTGCCGGCATATTTTTCTTTCACCCAATCTATTGACAAAGAAGTCATTCACACTTTGCTTCGCAACGAAAATCTCAGAATCGGTTGACAGGGAAATTTTAGCCAAAACCCCAGGTTTGGTTGATGGGGATCACCTTTTTTTCATGTAGATCCCTTAAACCAATACAGGGATTACTGTATCATATTTGGTGATTATATAGATCATCAAAGGAAGTTGGGAAACAATCTTCCGAGTTACGGATGACTTTTACTCAATAAAGGGTGGTGTGAGACTTTACATCACATAACAATACATTCATGAAGGGCGGTGTGAGACTTTACATCCAATAACATCCAATAACATTACATTCATCAAGGGTGGTGTGAGACTTTACATCCAATAACGATACATTCATGAAGCGCGGTGTGAAACTTTACATCACATAACAATACATTTATTTAGGGTGGTGCGAGATTCTTGTCATGTCTTGTTGCCATATGCGCGGAGAGATGCAAACTTGCCACGTGTTCGTGTTGCTGCAAAACGCATTGTAATGGCTGCATGACTGTTGCCCGGGGCTTGTGTTGGGGAGGAAGCCGGAGCACGAAACCTTGTGTTTTTCCGTGTCAAGTGGCTGCAGCCGGCGATGAAAGGTACCTCCTGTGTGCGGTGTGTGCGGTGGGTGCGGCTTGGATCGTTTCAACCGGTAGAGATCCGGACTCAGGATAGCAAATCCTTTACACAGTTTTTGGCCAAGATTAAGTTCAATGCAGCCAAGGTGTTGGGCCCTTAGGTGGTGATCAACTTGCTCGATGGCTATGGAGTTCCATTTTTTTTTCAGTCGTCAACATCTCAGCCCAGACTACAAATGTAAATACTTTAGGACCATAGCATCAAACATATCTGCATTGATCTATATTTTGTTTGGGTCCAGTCTGGCATTTATCAGTTTGCCATCATCACTTTATAACGGTTCTCCCTTGGTGTTCTGCCACGCGTGGATGCAAATCGCATTGTAATGAATGGATGTGTACGTGTTGTTGCAAAACGAATTGGAATGGCTGCATGGGCTTTGTTTTGGGGAGGAAGCCGGAGCACGAAACCTTGTGTTTTTCCGTGTCAAGTGGCTGCAGCGGGCGATGAAAGGTACCTCCTGTGTGCGGCGGGTGCGGCTTGGATCGTTTCAACGCGTAATCGGTTCTCCTTTGGTGTTTGCCACGTGTGGATGCAAATCGCATTGTAATGGCTGCATGAATGTTGCGTGCACTTTGTTTTGGGGACGAAGCCCGAGCACGAAACCTTGTGTTTTTCCGTGTATAAAGTGGCTGCAGCTGGCGATGAAAGGTACTTCCTGTGTGCGGCGGGTGCGGCTTGGATCGTTTCAATGCAGTCATGTTCTTGGACAGCAGCGCAACAGTTTCGAAAAATTAACACGCACGCACGGGCCTGGCTGGCGCACGGCGCGTGCAAGTTCTATAGATGAGAAAAACTTTATAGTATAGTATAACCCTAAGGCAGCTTCCGCCCCGCCTCGTGCGGGTACTACTGGTATTCAATCCGCCATTTTTAGTTGGCTTTAGTCATAGTCCCATAAATCCTTCTTAAATCCTCTTAAATCCCATTGAGCCCCACTAAATCCCATGACATCCACCACTACGTCAGCAGGACTTGGTTCGATTTCACCAAGAGCAACGGAGGATGATGGCCAGTCACTGGAAACAGCAGTGTCAGGTGAAGGACCTCTTGTGCCAGCGCGAATCTTGTGATCTCAGAAGGGGATTCATAGAATGTGGATCCCCCGTTCGATAGCTAAAGAAACCTTAGGAAACCGATAGGAAAATTGCCATCATTTTCCTCATGAAGCTGGTCATTTTGGGATACAATCCCCCACGTTTCAATGACAGATTTATAGATGCACCACATTCCACCAAGAAGTCTGGTAGGTATTCTTTGAGGTTGGGGGAAGGGAATACCATAATCGCTTGTAACGGAAACTCTTCTGCAGCTCTTGGTGGTTTCATTTTAGATCATCTTGGCATGAATCTCTTGGCGACAAGATGCACAGCCTTACGGTGCATGGCTGGGACCTTCGGCACAAATCGTGCACCCGCCAGAAATCTTATCTAAGGGGAAAAATCTCAGGCTTCGAAAACCCTGGCGTTGGTTATTTGTTTGTTCGGGTCTTACACTACACAACATATATATATATATACATGTATAATACGAGTGTGTGTATATATATATTATACACATAGATTTGGAATTATCATAGGCCTTGAACTAGGGATCCCCATTGAGCAGCCACATTGTTCCAGGGATTTCCCAATAGGCTTTTGACCCATTGTTGATCGTCAAATCCCTATACTTCATTGTAAAATCACTATTTTTGATGGCCAAAGCATGTCAAATCACTATTCTGGTCGGCTAAATCCCTAAAATTCCCTACTTTGTTTTATCTTGGCCTGGCCTTTGTCTATCTAGCTGGACCCAGGACGAGAGCATCCGAAATCTGAACCGGCGCTTGATCGAGTACCTTGGGCTTTACATGAATCAGGGTTTGGTAAATGTCCTCTTTTGGGGATTTGGAATATTACTTGAAACACGTATCTGTTGGAGATGAACAAAAGAACATTTTTGTTGGGTGATGTGGCACGATGTTGACATTTTTCGGCCCTTTACCAACCCTTGCCCAGTTTCCCACCCTATTTGGAGTGTCGGAGCGACGCGACTGTTAGGACTGTTAGGAGTCTTGAGAATTCAGGAATCGTGGACAATTCACCATTTTAATTGATACACCTGCAAAGATGAAGAGCCACTTTGCAACCAATATTTCTTGAAACGTTCCGAACAAAATTGGATATTAAAAAATGAGACACCACATAGTTTATATAGTTGGTTTCGGGAGAACGATTGGGGTCTTCTTATAGTATGGTTTTGGATCCCAATATCGTAACTATCCAGTGGTTCATTCGGGGAACCCCATAACGTGATGATGTATTGATATAATCAATTGGTTGCAGCTAAAGCATCTACTGCCATGTGGGGTTGTCTCAATCTAGTGGTTCAAAATGTTCAAAATGTCACATTCCCCACCAATGGATGGGTTTGAAAATCTTGTACCCCATTCCCTCCGCTGGATTCTCATCATTTTCTCCATGGAAGTAACAATTTTTTCGGGATCTGTCCCATTTTCACAGCCAGATCGCCATGACTTCTGTGGTTCCCCATGTACCAAGCCATGGCAGGTATTCCACCGACTGGCAACACTTGGGTCTCCAGAGGCAAACTGAGGCACCCATTTCTGGTGACTCATTGTGGATGGTGCAAACTGAGGCAACCACCAAAAAGATAGAAATTCGTTGGAATCCGGGACCTTTTTTTGGAAAACATATGAGCTATGGTCAATACTCATGGTTAATAACCATTAATAGGGGCTAGTCATCCAATGGTTTATAGGGATTATAATAACCATTATAAGGATCCTTATTATGAATGGGATGACCATCAACCATATAGTGAGTATTGACCATGGCTCATATGAAAACATCATCTATGCCATTCTGGAAACACTTTTCATCACTATGAAAAATTCTTTTTTGGGTTGCTATCGTGAATAATTGGGACTGAGATGATAGTCATTCACTATAGGAGACAATAATGGGATAATGATATCATGGGATAATATATTCGTATGTCACAGTTATGATCCTAATAGTGTCATTATCATCCACTTTCATCCCGTTTCATCCACTGGGTTTACAACATGAAATAATGGGTTGACTATGATGAGGACAATTATGGGATGATCATGACATGATCATGAAGGCCGCCATACTCCTTTTTTGGTTCTTTATGAAGGATATCCAACAGCCCCTTAAAATGCAAACGGCAGACTGTCACCACGGTGACGGATTTGTTCATCTTCAGGGACCTCCACGGGGTGGTATTGGGATTGGCCCTTTTTTCAGGTCCCGAATCTCAAGGATACCAAACTATATCCTTGAATGCCCAAGATGGCGAATTCAAGTGCTACAAACATCTACCAATAAGTCCGCCAACATCAGTGAAGAACTCATCTGAATACACACATATGTGTATATATATATGTATATGTATGTATATGTATGTATGTATATATGTAGATATGTATATATATAAGGCTTAAGCAGGGTTTCCCCACGACCCGTTCACGTGGCTTATTGCCTTAGTGGAACTTTGCCGGTGTTCCACGGGCCCATTTTGTGGTGCCTTTCCAACGGCGATTTCCTCGAGCTCTTCCGCAAGGTGACGTTCATCTTGTTCGGCTAGGCAGTGCATGGTTGGGGTCCTGCGATTCCTCTTTGGCATCCTTCTCCTCACCCAGAATTACGCCTTCCCACAGGAGGAGACTCAGACGCAAGCGTTCCAAAGCAAGGGCGCTTTGGTTTCAGCACAGAACAGGGGCCAGGACACTCCGACCGGTAGAGCTTCGGAGGGTTTTTGGGATCCTGAACGCGCACCACTCGCGCGACAAGGCCTTCTTAGATCGTGTGGCGAAAGCAATGGCTCATTCTCTTGTGGATTGGAGATGCAGCGCATGCTGGCGGACGAACAAGGCCAACACTCAACGCTGCGCACGTTGTGGCATTTTCTGGACGCATGGCAACGACCAGACCTATGTTCCACAGAAGTCAGCGCATCGCAGCCCAAGGAGATCGACTCAGTCCTCTGCTTGGAACTATACAGGATGGTCTTCACAAGACCAGTGGTCCGATCAAGCATGGCAGCATGGCCAACAGCAGGAGCGGGCAGCACACAACAGACCGAGAGGGAATACTCCCAGAAAGCAGACACCCAAGGGCAAGAAGAAGCAGAAAAGCAATACAGACAGCATGCCGCCTCCAGAACCACCATGGCATTCGCAGTATCGTGGCGAAGCCTTGCCCTCAGGAGCTGGAGCAGAGGGTCAGGCTGCATCGGAAAACCTGACAATCTTGGCCACAGCCCTGAAAGAAGCCAACACGCCAATTCCTGCACGTGTCCAACATATCGTGGCGGAGAATTCGGCACCGGTTCCGACTTCAAAAGGGCTCAAAAATGCGGTGGACAAGATGGACAAGGCGAGAAAGAAGCTTCGAGATGCCCAAGCAGCTCGGTCCAACCTTCATACCAATTGGAGGACATATATAGCCGATTCATTGAAGCGATGGACGCAGTTTGCGGAGCAATTCGGCAAAGACGATGCCGACCTTGCGGCCAAGGTGAAAGCTGCACAGGACAAACTGCAAAGCACCAAGGAAGAAGTGGAATCTCGGAAGCAAGCTTTCGAAGAACTGGACGAAGAGTCGCCGGTGGACATCTCAGACGAGGAGATGACAGACCGCATCGACACAGCAGAGAACATCCAGGCGAGCTTGGCTTCCATGGTGTCCCAGCTGCACGATTTGCAGCAGAAGGCAGACGAAGCGATCATAGATGCCAACGAGAACAAGTCCAAACGACCCAGGTTAGAAGAGCCGGGAGAGGAAACAAAAGAAGCTGCACCACCTCCACTTGCTGGTGGCTTAGCCTCTACGGCTATGGTGCCTTTTGGCAAGCCGGGCAAGTAGACCATAGGGAGACTTGCCCTGGGCAGACATGGGGCTCAGATGCGGTTCTTTTGAACTGGAGCCATTCCTTCACCTTCGACCCGGAATACCAGTCGGTTTGGGCTGCATCAATTGCGGGGCTTGATTTATCATGGGAAGTTGGTACTTTATCCTCCACTTTGCCAAGTTCCAGGCCGGCGTCTTTGTCCTTGCGACCGAAGAGAAGCAAGATTTCAGGACGACGAGTCCATTTCCATGAATCAGTGGAATCCTATGTGGGTATTTTGGATCCCCCAGCGACTCTTGTGGAGCAAAGTGATGAGATTTTTGAGCACCAATTTTCATCAGAGCTATCCCCGGATGAGAAGCATTTTGAGGACGTCTCTTTGATGTCTGTGGGCATGCTTACATCGCCGAGGGCTATAGCCACTGAGAATCACGATGCAGCTGCGGTTTTTGATGACCACCTAGCTGTTCGTCAAGAAGAAGATTTTCCACTTCATCACGCAGAACATGATGCAGAACCTGCAGATGAGGATATGAGTTCCTCCAGTGAATCAGACAGCAGTGAGTTTAGGAGACCAGCTATGGTTTACTCTCTGGAATGGGATCCGATGCATTGCAGACCAAGATGGAGCAGTTACGAGAAGCTCCTCAAGGACATTGCGGTGCATTTTGACATCAGTATCCATGATCTTTCTGCAGTTCATGCTGTACGACATCCTCCTGTGGATCTTTTAAGTTCCCGGATTCAGCCCTTCATAGCGCAAAGGCCAGGTGACATCACGGAGGGCTCAAATTTCCAACTGATTCTCCTCGACGTGGAGTTCCACAACGCGTTTCCATCTCTTGAGCAAGAGACGGTGCGTAGAGTCAGACTGTTACCTATGACGCTCTCTCGGAAGGCTCTTATTGCTTTGCTGGGGTTGGAAGCGCATTGTCGCTATGTGAAAAAGGCATGCCTGGTCTGGCACAATGGAGAACAGGTCAAAGTCCAGGCGCGCTCACTGATGGATCTACGGCATGGGGACTTCATCAAGGTTGCAGTTCCACCTGGACGAGGGGAACTACGCAAACATTACACCAGAGAGGTGGCACAATGTTTCAGACGTGGATATCAGCCTTCGAATATCCCTGCAGTCCTTGAAGCTCACCCAGACGGGCTCAACGTCATTGACATGCCGATTGCCGACAACTTCAACTATATTCCAAGTGCAGCTGACCTGGACTATGACAGGGACGCCATGAGCTTGGTACAATTGCCTGGCTGAAGCAGACCAGCCTTTGACGCATGGCCTGATTTTCTCACCAGGCCATCAGCGCAGGCCATCAGCGCAGAATGCAAGGTTGGTGAAGAAGATCGACGTGAGCCCGCAGTTGTGGTCTCAAACATGACGCCACCAGCTGAAGAAGGACGCCCAGACCTCGACTTTGGCGACACCACCCAGTTTTTGCAGAGTCTTCATCCAATCTGGCAACATTATGCTGCGGTTGAAAGAGCAGATGAAGGCAGGGTGCTCTACCTCAGAACATGGTACACTGACCACTTGAGGCATCCGCGTTGCGATGAAGATCGAGGAGTTCGACTTCTAAACGATCCATGGAGATGGCCGGAAGCGATAGCAGAACGTTGGGACGATCTTATTGATCCTGACGTGAGGATTGACCTTCATTTGGTAAGACCGTCACCAAGAACACGCAGTTGGGAAGATGCTGATGCGGTTCCTCACATCATTGTTGTTCAACGTCCTCGTGAGGATTTGCGGAGCATTCATGTCACAGTCATTGATCCTGCACATGTCGACACTCCTCTCAATTCCTTTGTCCTAGCTGGACCAAGAATCATCAACAAGAGATATTTTCTGGTACTACTAGGCATTTTGGATGAGAGCATCGTAGAGAGTCTTGTCGACTGCATGGTTTGGCATGGCGAAATGCTTTTGGACCACAATGATTTTATTCGTGCACAACATGGTTTCAGCTTTTTGGTCATCCTCAACCACTTGCGGGACATCATCACCAGGGCTGCAGCGGCGAGTTCGGCAAGTGGTCACAATGCTCTGAACCTCCTGCAAATTGATGCCAGAAGAACCAAAATCCAGCTGGATGATCTCATCAGTGCCCCCTCGCCTCTGACTCAGCAGACCCTCATTGCATTGAGAGTTGTCTGGGGCCTTGATCCTGGACCACATCCAGATTTCGTGGAGGTATCAGGAGCGGCAACAACCCTTGAAATTGCAGAAGAATTTCACAAATGGGGAATATCCTGCCGACCTGTGGCATGTTTTGAAAGAGACGCAGTGGTTTGCCTGGGGATGGATGAGGGACATCTCCCTCGAGCTTTTCACTATGTCTTTGTCAACTTGGACCTTGACGACAAGGACTCCATCTTTTTGCACACTCACCAACATGTCATGGATGAACTCACCATCATGAGGCACCTATATGGACTGGGTTGCTGGAGAGCGGTTGTGATTTCTTCGCAAGAACCTTTCTCGCAGATGTACAAGATCACTTTCAGAAATCAACAGGTCACCATGGCGTGCCCTCCACACAGAGAAAAGTTGCAACCGACTTGGCCACCACCTCAAACTGGAGGAGGAGGAACACAGCGCTTCTTCCATGGCCATGCAGACTTTAGTAGTGACACGTTGATTGACATCGGCATCAAACACAAAGATATCAACGATCTCTTTGGTTCTCATGATGCCGTCCTCCAACAAGATTTTGGCAGCCGCCAGCCTCCAGCAGAGATCTTGGAAGCCATCACAGCCTGCGATCCTGGCATCGCGGACTGTGACTTGGACAGGCTCCTGATCTATGCTGATGGTTCTTCACTTGGAGCGCTCAAACAAGTTCCACCCCTTCGTGCGGAAATGGAGGGACTTGGCGACACATGGGCCTATGTTGTCGTGGGAGAAAGGTACCACCCTCCTGGACTCAAGTTCATGGGTTGGTCGTCACAAGCTGTACACTATGAAGAGTCCAGCAATATGCATATTGGTGCGTCACGACTGGGGGCCGATATGGCTGAAAAAGAGGGGCTAGCCTGGGCAGCACTCTGGCGACTCAGTCAGAACTGGAGCATTGCCACCTGCTTTCGTTCGGATTCTCGTACGGCACTTGGACAAGCTGAAGGAACAGTTGGCACTACGCAGGTGGACGAGATCTTTGGCTTCATGCGTGGTGTTTTCCAGGCAGTTGAATCCGCGCTGGAGCCCCACAATGTGGCTTATTCACATGTACCTGGACATGCAGGCGAAGTGTGGAATGAGCTATGCGACTGGCTGGCAAAGGAAGAACGAAGGAGCAGCTTTTACTGTCCCAGGCCTACACTTGACGTGCAAAAATGGAAGAGAGCTATGGGCCACACTTGGATGCTCTTCAATCAACATGATGATCTACCAGCCTTTTGTGGGGTTGGGTTTCATGCACCTCCACCCAGCTTGCCATCTGGAACGACAACAACGTTGTTGCCAAGCAAGCCGCAACACAGACACAGAAAGCTTGTCTTCACCATGAGTGTGTGTTCTGCCAACGTTCAATCACTCAGCAGTGGTCCACAAGGTCATGCAGGGAAGATAGCGTACCTTCGACAACAAGTACGAGCTCTTCATTTCAACTTCTTGGGCATTCAAGAGGCGAAGACCCAAGAGACATGCACCTACGTTGACCACGTTTATCGCCTGGCCAGCGGATGTGAACGGCATCAACAAGGTGTGGAATTGTGGATCAACATGGCCCAACCATATGGGCACCTCAATGGCAAGCCTTGCTACTTTGAGAAAGGTGACTTCCAGATCACACACAAAGACCCTCGGATCCTCATGGTGCGTGTTGACACTCAGTTTTGGAATGGATGGATTGTGGTTGCATACGCGCCACAAAGTGGCATCAGCAGGGGAGAGCGGGCAGACTGGTGGCAACACTTTGCTGAAGTCACACAAAGCAGAAGAGAACATGAGCCGCTGATTGTCATGATTGATGCGAATGCGTCCCCAGGAGATTTTGATGGCAAGGCAGTTTACAAGAGGGACCTGGCGACCTCTTCAAGCACGGAGTTCATGCGGGAGTTTGCGGAGGCCCATGATCTTTTCCTTCCTTGCACTACATCAGCGCATGTTGGTGACATTTGCACATGGACCGATCCGAGTGGCATGCACTCCTACTGCATCGACTATATCATCCTCTCCCGACATTTTGCAGATGCTTGTAAGACTTCACAAATTGCGGAGGAGTTTGACAACGCCTCCTCAGACCATGTTGCACCTCTTGTGGAACTGGAATGGACAGAGACTGTTCAGGTGCAACGACCCAAGAAGCAAAGATCCCCTGCCTATGACGCAACACAAATCTCGGCCACCGTTGTTGCTGATATTCTCCAGAATTATACACCAGCGGCATGGCATACTGATATTGAGAGCCAGGTGGACAATCTCAACGAGGCGATTCTTCACGGTCTATGTCAAGCCTGCCCCAAGTCTGACACACAGGCCAAGAAGCCCTACATGAGTGAGGAGCTATGGCAGTTGCGCCAGCACAAACTTCAGACGCGCAAGAGGCTGAAAGACATCAGCCGAAGACAGCGTGAGGAAAGTTTGGTGTGCTTTTTCAGGCTTTGGCATGCGGTGAAGAAGCAGGACAAGCCAATCTCTGGCATTCAAATGTGGGAGTATGGCAATTTCCTCCTCTTGCAGTCCCTCCGATGTTCGGCAAGATTGTATCATTACACCACCCAGCTTCGAGGGAAGCTCAAGAATGCCAAGCAGAATCACATCAAAGCCAAGATTGAGAGTCTCCCAGAGGGTGCGTCAGCTGCAACCATCCTGCACGAAATGCGCCCCATACTGGGACCATCCAATCTGAAGAAGGTCAAAACGGCCACCTTGCCGTATGTGAGAAAGGAGAATGGAGAGATCTGTACTCTACCGAATGAGGCAGTTGATACCTGGCTGACATTCTTCAGCACGATGGAAGCAGGAGAACGTCTGCCACTAGACGAACAAAGGGAGCTTTGGATTCGAAATCTTGCAGCTCTCCAACAGAGCTCCTTCATCATTGATGGGGAACATCTTCCACGCTTGCTTGACCTTGAAGCGGCGCTGCGACGTGTGAACCCACAGAAGGCCACAGGGCCTGATCATGTGCATCCTCGTTTTTGCTGTGCAGCTCCACATCGGCTTGCTCGCAAGCTTTACGGGGCATTGATGAAGCTGCTCACACATGGGCAGGAGTCTCTCTGCCACAAGGGAGGTTTGCTGCACCCAGTGTGGAAAGCCAAAGGAGCGAAAGACTTCTGCACATCATTTCGGAGTATTTTAGTGTCCAGCCACATTGGCAAAAGTCTTCATCGCAGCATTCGCCAACATCAGACCACCCTCTTCAGTGCCTTCCTTCAGAGAGAACAGATAGGAGGACGGCCTCGAGCTCCCGTCACTTTGGGAGTGCACATAGGTCGCGCTTTTCTGAGAGCACGCAAGGCACAAGGGCACAATGTGGCGATGCTGTACCTTGACCTCACGGAAGCGTTCTACCGCATCCTGAGACCTCTTGTGGTTGGCGGTGAGATTGAGGACGAGCTGGTTCTCTATGTTGGTGCTCGACTTGGCCTTACGGAGGATCTTTTGGCAGACCTTCATCGTCACCTGGCCGAGCCGACAGCGGTAGAATGTGCCCACCTGCCACGGCATTTGCAGCTCACTCTGCGGGCGTTGCATCAAGACACCCACTTTCATGTCAAGGGGCAGGAAGACAGCTGCAGGACGAGGCTTGGGTCTCGCCCGGGTGACTGTTTTGCGGATGTCATCTTTTCATACCTGTGGTGCCGAATTTTGACACGCCTTCAAGATCAGCTCAGCTCCCTGGGCATCGGCGAGGTCTTTCCCAAGCAGACAGGTTTGGTTTTGAAAGCAGATGAAGGTGACGGTCCTATTGAATACTGCAGTTTTCTCGGTCCAACGTGGATGGACGATACATGCGTCTGCATCTCAGATGTATGCCCGCAGGCCTTGGAGCACAAGATCACGCAGGCTGCCAGTGAGCTTCTTTCTTTGTGCGACTCTCATGGGCTTACTCCGAATCTTTCTCCAGGCAAGACGGAGGCGCTTTTGGTTTTCCAAGGTAGGGGCTCAAAGCAGATGCGTGTCAAGTATTTTGGACCCAATTCAGAGAATGTGATCACGACAATTGGGGAGCGCGGGCTGCGCAAAATCAAGGTTGTGGGTCACTATACCCATTTAGGATGCGTCATCCACCACCGATCTGACAATCGGAAAGAAGCCAGAAGACGCATCGGCATTGCACAACAAGCTTTCACTCAACACCGTCGTCATCTTCTTCAAAACCCACAATTGCAGCCAGGCAAACGCATCGAACTCTTCAAGACGCTCATTTTGAGTCGCTTCAGTTTTGGTACGGAGTCCTGGACCTTTGAAGATTGCAAGAGCAGAGAACATGTGCATAATTCTTTGATGCGTCTTTTTCGTCGACTTTTGAAAGTTCCACATGATGCTCACCTCACCGACGAGGACATCTTGGTTGGCACTGGACTCAATAGCCCGACGGAAATTCTTCGCATATCACGACTCCGTTACCTGGGCACGCTGTACAGATGCGGGGATTTGGTTCCATGGGGCCTGCTCAACAGTGACACCGAGTGGAAGAGACTTTTGGCAGATGATTTGGATTGGATGTGGATGCAACTTCGTGCGGCCTCCTCAATGTCTAATCCTGCTGACAGCATTGGTCAATGGGAGTCATTATGGCTTTACCACCCGTCCTACTGGAAGAGATTGGTACGCCGGGCAGGTGAACATGCCATCTTGCAACGACAGAGAAGTCATCGTGTGGGACAGTTCCATGGGCGCTTTTGTCTCCTTTTTGAACAAGTTCTTCCTGGGCACTTTAAGCAGCACAAAGTTGAACGTTCCCCCATTGAGACGGAGGAAGTGCACGCATGCATGCAATGTCGGCAGGTCTTTGCCAGCAAAGGAGGACTAGGAGCGCACTGTTTCAAACGACATGGCACAGTGGCCAAAGTCAGGTTCCTCTTTGACAAGACCAGCTGCGGAGCATGTCTCAAAGAGTATCATACCTTCAGCAAACTTCAAGCACATCTGAGAAACTCTGGTGCTTGCCGAAGAGCGCTTTGGGGACGGCGACGATACAATGGGCCGAGTCATGGAACAGGCTCCGTGATTGATCGTCAGCTTTGCCAGCAGCATGATGGCATCCTTCCGCCACTTCAAGGACACGGCCCCCATCTTCCAGCCCGGGCGCCGGTCGAGATCCCGGAGTACGACCTCGAGCTGGCGGAGTGCATCTACATGGCCCTTGTGGAGTGCGAGGACAAGAACCTGGTTGAGCAAGTGGTACGGGAGATCCTATCCACACGTTCTTCATCCTGGCGATCATGCAGGGCATCACTTTACTATATGCTGGAGGAGCTCACGGCAGAGGACATCGAGGCCTTGGACCTTGGGGACATTGACGTGAAGCAGATCTTAAACTTCCTGGCCACGACTGCGGCCTGGCCTTTTCTTCTGGAGGCCCCCACACATGCGCGCACAATTTTGGTAGAAGAGCAGCTGGCCACCTGTGAACTGGCCTCTCAAGATGGAATTGCGAAAGCTGGTCGCCAAGAGAAGATCTGGCCTGTGCCCAGACCGATGGCGAGAGAAAGGTACATCATCCATGCCTTCTCCGGGAGGCGTAGGATGGGAGACTTTCAACACTTTGTGGATGCGGCCAGCCGTCGTCAACCAGATGCCATGATTTTCACCATCTCTGTTGATTTGATGGTGGATCCAGTGTGGGGCGACGTTTCCAGACCAGAGGTGAGAAGTTTTTGGATCAGTGCGGTCAAAGACCGTTTTGTGGTTGGATGCATGGCTGGGCCACCGTGCGAGACTTGGTCGCAAGCACGTGGCAAACAACCAGCTGCAGAAACTACGAATGAGGCTTCCAGACGATCCTGGAAGGGACCGAGAGTGCTTCGCGACTTGGAGGAGATCTGGGGCAGAGCCTAGTCTGGCTCTCAGAGAGATCAGACAATTGGACGTGGGCAACCTTCTTTTACTTTTCACTTTGGAGATCTTGATCAATTTGGCTCTGGAAGGTGGCATTGGGTGTTTGGAGCATCCGGCGCCCCCAGAGGACAAAGAGAAGGCCAGTATTTGGAGACTGCCGGTGGTCCAGTTTCTTTTGGCATGGCCGGAGTTTGAGTTCCTCGAACTCTCACAGGGCTTGTGAGGTGCTCCCAGCCGCAAACCCACGGGGCTGTTGCTCCTCAACATGACCTCCATGGTAGCGCAGCTTCGAAGATGGCAAGTCGCGTCTGACGTCCCAAGAGGGATCTCCATCGGCCTCACCAAGGAGGGGATCTGGGCGACTAGCCTCTTGAAGGAATATCCTCCTGCACTATGTGCAGGACTTGCAGGAGGATTTGTTTCCACTCTACAGGAACACCCTGTAGATGATTTTGTGGTTCCAACTAGCGATTTCCGAAGGCAGGCCAAAGACATGATTGTGTCTGAAATGGGGCCATGTGCAGGCCCGGACTTCGCACATTAGTTGAGTTCCACCTTTTAGGGTTTCTTTTTCACCTGTCGCTGGCAGGAACTTTGCAAGGCCGCAGCTTACGCTTCTTGGTGCCTGGAAGGGAAAAAAAAATATATGTATACATAGATGTATGATGTTTTTGTTAACAGGTCCCAAAATGGTCTTCCGAATGGGGTTTAACGTGTCACGGCTTTCCCGATCAGGCTGGATTGTCTCACGAATATTTCTGTTTAGACGCCGGAATGCCCAGGGATGCCCAGGGATGCCCAGGGATGCCCAGAGTGAGCCGGGATAGATAGGTAAGAATGATCAGCCGGGATGTGAAACATATACAATTTATTAATGATAATTATCATGTCATGATGGGATAATATATATATATCATTTGGATGTAGATAATGGGAAGTAATATGTCAATTAAATAGGGTTTAAATTGGGAATTTAAGTATAAATGCAAGGATTTCCAATAAGTTTTCCGGGAATTGAACGTAGCGAACTGGAACGCCACTATTTTTATCATCGAACTAAATAGGCAACTTTCCGTGGCAAACTGTTAAATAGCCAGAGGGTACAATTTGGACATAATGTGATGGGGATATATATATATATAATCATCACAATAATGGGATCTGCAGTGCCAATAATGATCATCATGGGGACGTATAATCATTTATTTATAAGGGGAATATGATGGGACTGTATAGTGGGGGCATACTGATGGGGATATATATATATATATGTATATATATATATGTATATATATATATGTATATATATATATATGTATATATATATATATATCTACATAATATGATGGTATTTTGGCATCAGAGGACATAGAATGGGGATGTGAGTCAGGTGCGAAGCACTCTGATGACACGCCTTGCACCTTCAGACGGGTCATTGAGACGCCGCACAACGTGCTTCACCAGTCACGGTAGATGGGAAATCCATCGGCAGATGCGAAATCCCACATGTTTTTTAGATGACATTGTGACATGTACCCTCTGGTAATTTAACATAGCTATTGAACATGGCCATTTATAGTGAGTTTTCCCATGAAAAATGGTGATTTTCCATAGTTATGTAAACGTTTACCAGAGGGTAGATGGGACATCCCACATCTTCCATGGTTTTGCCATCGACCGAGGATCGACATCAGCGCTTGCTGGATCGCCAGCAAAAGCTTCAGGTGATGACGAGCCGGTGACCGGGGCATGCATTGAGGGGCCCTGGGATACGATGCCGGGGAAGACTGGTGGCGTTTTTTTTTCAACAGTTCTTTTCAATGTTGTTTTACATTTGGATGGTAAAATCCATATAGATTCGTCGATGATGCTGGGTTCATCCACTTGTAATGCAACCCGGCCGTGTAGTGAAACATAGTTGATAAATTCTTTGGAGGGCCACCCCCAAAAAGTGAGGGCTAGGTAGGCCGCTAAAACGGCAGCGTACCGGAATGATCAACAGCCTTTTTAGGTTCAGCAAAACGCAGGGTTGACATTGGCTGACCCATGAACAATAGATGTCCTAGAATGGGTTGGGAAAATTTCTGGTTGAAAGTTGAAACCCTGATATTTTGGGCAACAACTATATACGCTTTTCGGCTTTATCCATCCACTCAAGAAGTAGACCGATCTCAGAAATCCCTGGGCGATATCACCATCCCAAAATTGGAACGGCTTCAAGGTGTCACGCGATCATTGGGATACCCTCTGGTAAACATACAAAAAGCTATTGAACATGGCCATTTATAGTGAGTTTTCCCATGAAAAATGGTGATTTTCCATAGTTATGTTAGTTTACCAGAGGGTATTTCATTGGGTTGCTAGCCAATTATGAACCATCACCAACTTCCGCTTGGCACACGACGCTTGAATTCACACCAAATGATGCATTCGAGGGGTTTCCCACTGCCATGTTCGCTTAAGATTGAGTTACTTCCTTGACATCCGAACTACAGTACCATTTGTCTATCTCTCTGAATCTCTCTCTCTCTCTCTCTATATAGATATATACACATAATTATATACATACACAGTACACACACATATATATATATATAAATTGTTTTTCAAGTCCACAGTTGATATTCTATCAACCGACATCAGAAAGGATGGTATGGGCAGAACCCAAAGCAGGTCATCAAAACCCTGGGTAGACACGCATTGGTAAACGAGCATATTCATGGCATTTCATGCCCCCAAACGATGTTCAGATTCAACCGAGTCTGACAGTTAAGAAAACGCGTGGACGGAACATGACGGAACCCAATTCCTCCCATCTTGGATTCAAGTGGTCCACCAAGATTCGACTTCGCTCTGGCTTTGTCTCAAAATAGGGCACCAAGAATTCCCAATCGCTTATCAATGCTTATCATCAATGCTCCCATGAACATGGCCATCAAATGGGGGGGCCCCCATGGATGTCATTTTCGGACATCCACATGTTGTATTACTTGTAAATTCCATCTATATGCCACAAACATGCCCGGATATGAATATCCCCATATTTTGCTGGTTATGATTCTGCATCCTTATTTGAGGGTAAATCTCGCATTTTTCGACAACAACACCCACATATCACATCAATTATATTGATGAAATCAATCCCATCAATTCCCATTTTATCGAACCCCCTCCCAGATTTATTCTCATATTTCATTGGTTATTCATTGTTATGGAGAAATAATGACAATAAATCTTGGGATAAACACATATGATACATTTATCATGGCTAATTTATGGTTTACAAATTTCTTCCCCGTACACATTCCGCAATATCTCACTTATATCTCCAGATTTATCCTCATATTCATATTTTCTTGATATATACTGTGTATATGTATATATATATATCCACAAATATGAGGATAAACTGCTATCCGAACCAACAATAAAACATAATTTGTGGAACATCAAAATTGCTATCTCCAATCGGCCAAGGCTAAGGCTACAAGCCCGACTTGAAGAGGTCGAAGCCCAGGACACCGTGGTGCCATGGTCATTTTGTTGGGAAAATGAAGAGTAGCAGATCTAACTATGAACATGGATGAAAAATGGTGATATTACCATGGGTTTACCATGGATTCAAGCATCAAAGATAGTGAAGTGTGGTGGTTAAATCAAAGCCATGGGTTTTCCCAATGTTTTTTTGACGGACTCAGATGATTTTCTGCGTTTTGGATCATTTTCAACTTGACGGGGACGAGCTGACGAGGGCCACATATTTCTTCTGGGGATGTGGGTCACGGCTCAGTAACGATACTAAAGGGGATGATCAGAAGCAACAGACATAATATGATATCATCAGTGGAAAGTAGACACTCTTGAATATATCACCCACGAAGATCGAGATGCAAGCAATTACTAGATAATCGATATGACAACTAGTTTGGATAGAGGTCGCATTTGAAGACCTTGCAGACCGACAGGTTGGTTGGGTGTTCTTTTTGGACGCTTTGGACATTCATCCAGTTTTGGGGTGATCTTCAAGATGTTTTACCCTTTGGTCATTTTACGTAGCTATGGAACATCACCAATTTTATCAGGTAAATCATCATGAATCATCTAGACATGGGGCATTTTCCAGCTCGCAATCTGTTAAATCACCAGAGAACCTTCTGCAAGGGACCATGACACAACATTTTCCGAACGAAAAGAAGCATCAGTTGCGGCTCTGCCCCGTCGCGCCTGGCGCGATGTGATGGGTGCGTCCTTGGGGCAGGGCCAGCTGGAAGCGAATGATCTTCACTCCGGAGATTTGGGCCCTCAGGACTTGGGGTCGGGTTGCAACAGATTACTGCAGTCATCACCTGAGAAAAATTGGAACATCGAAAACTGCAAAAAAAAACTTGGAGGTTTTCGATTTTTGGCATCGCAGCCTCTACTTCCCTGAAACTTTGTCTCCCCTGGGTGGGGCCCTTTGACCATGATATATTTACCATAAATCCAACAGTTAGCCTGGTGAACCACACATTCCAACCTTTGCAGTACAATGTTATACACCAACTTTGCCAACGTCAACCCGAGATTGATAAACCGTGGTTGATTTTTACGATTTTGGATCCCAAAAACAGTGATAGAATCTTAGATTTCTCTTGAAATAGAGAATTCTGAGAATTTCACATCGATTACATCCACTGGAAATCAAAGATTTCATTGTTCCAATTACACCACACAATGGCCATTTTTTGGCCTTCTTTAGGGGCTTCACCACAGTTATAGGGATGATATCCCAACTTCTGGGTGTCAAAATCTCATGATCAATCAACCTGAAATTGATGACCTTGGTGCTTCACCCTACTTAGATCTACTTAGTACTTCAGTTCTTAAGTGACTCATATCTTTCAGCACCGAACCGAACCTTGGCGCCCAGGAGCCCTGGCGCAGCTTCCCTCTGGGCACCCCCTGCAGCTTCGAATGCGCTGCGCTCCCCGGGCACACATTGCGCCCGCGCGAGGCCAGGGCGGCCGGGCGGCGCTTCAACTTTTGGGTCGCGGAGGAGGCCCCGGCGGAGGCTGCGGCGACCGACTTCGTCCTGGAGATGGGACTGTTGGGAGCCTTGGGAGCCAACCGTGATGGATTTCACAGGGATGATGCAAATTGTTGATGGGCCAACTGTGCTGTGGCAACAACGGTGGCGTCAGGGTTTCAAACCGCTTCTATGTACTGGAAATCAACCAATGATATTCAGAGCACCCTCTGGTAATCGAGCATGGCAATGGAACATCTTCCATTTATAGATGATTTTCCCATTAAAGCCTCCAGTTATCGGGAATTTCCAGTTCCATTCAACGGGCATTTGCGCGAATCTGCGGCTTTGTTTAGGGGCCCAGTTGGGCCAACTCTGGACGGGACTTTTGAGGCGAATAAGCCTCAGGACGTTGACTGGACACGGAAAAGTTGGATGCAGATGCTATGGAAACCGACGCCAGTTAGTAAACGGGATGTTACAGTGGCTGTTCTTCTTCTTCTTCTTCTCCTTCTTGTTCTTGTTGTGGTGTTGCTACCAATGACGAGGTTTTCCTGGGAAGTGTCACGAAGTCAGAACCCAGGAATCATGCTCGCACGAATCCAAAGTATTTACCCCTCGGCATCAAACATGGCTTGCTGAAAAAAACCCCATTTAGTTCGATGATTTTCCAAGCAGCTCCACATTTGATGACGCCAAGGGTAATAACTGAGATCAATATCCGATTATATATCTCAATACTATCCCAATTATACCCCACTCATATTATATATATATGTATTATAAATTATATCCCAATCATAGCCCAATAGCAATTATATCCCAATCATAGCCCATAGCCCGTCATGATTAATCTCAATTCTATCCCAATGGTATCCCCAAAAATATCCTATCATCTTGTTAAATAATATAGCAATTATATCCTCAAAAATATCCTAGTATCTCAGTTAACAATTATATCCCAAGAAACTCACAATCTAAATGGATCTTTGCTAAGGAGAAGGCTTCTCCATCCGATGGCTTCAGCATCCTCTGGACTATGTTCGGGTGCAAAGCGACCATTTTATCCTTAGTTGCTGGGCGAAAAAAATTGGGGCTGCTAGTAGATGAACAATTTCAATAATGGATTCTCATTTTTGTGCTTTTTTTTTGGGAACTATCCATATTCTATTCTACCTCAGGATGACTAATATGTATATATATATATTTAATATGTATGTGTGTGTATATACATATGTAAATCAACAGGGTCAACAAATGCCCTTGTGGCAAACCTTTTTTTCCCCAAACAGTGTGGCCACACTGAGGGTGGTTCTTACGGTAACAGTTAAGGCCCGGTGTTCAATCGCGGTGGTATCCGGGGCGTCCGGCATTTTCCCTCTAAATTCTGTACAAAATGGCTCGTGTGAAATGTCCATGTGCATTTCCACTGCGCAGGCTCGCACAAAACGATGTCCGTGGGCGACGCGTGCAGCATTTTCCCTCTAGATTTCACGCAAAATGGATCTTGTGAAATGTCCATGTGCATTTCGACTGCGCAGACTCGCACAAAACGATGTCCCCGGAGGTGTCCGCGGCCATTTTTCCTCTAAATTTCCATACAAAATGGCTCTTGTGAAATGTCCATGCGCATGTCGCCTGCGCAGGCTCGCACACAGTGTGCTTCTCGGTCTTGGGATCGGTCTTCCTCCTCAACACCCTCCTCCTCAACCTCATCATCTTCCTCCTCCTCCACATCAACAGCATCATTTTCCTCTCATCTCATCTCATCTCATCTAATCTCATCTCATCTCATCTCATCTCATCATCGTCACCACCATCATCATGATGATGATGATGATCATCATCATCATCATCATAATCATCCTCATCATCCTCATCATCACCATCATCATAACCATCACCATCGTCCTCCTCCTCCTCCTCCCCCTCCTCCTCCCCTCCTCCTCCTCATCATCATCACCATCATCATCATCATCATCATCATCAACAACAACAACATCAACATCAGCATCAGCATCAACGTCACCACCATCATCAACATCATCATCAACATTATATTGCATCATCGTTTTACTCCCCCCACGCTGTTTGGGTTTTCTTGCCAGGATAATTCTGGGAAGCACTTGGAGGATCATCCGCAGTAGCAGCTTAGCACCTGGAAACCCCAAGAGTCATCACTTTTCGGTGTATGAACCAGTTTCTAACTACTTATTTGTTTGCATATCCAGTTTTTGTTGCGTCAAACATGTTTTCTTTATCGCTATCCACATGTTCACCGGGTCATTCGTCATCGTTGGTGTCAGTATCCCAGGCCCCTACGACGGCACGCAACGCTTTCGCGGCGACGCCACGTTCGAGCTGCGGCGCGGAGAACTGGAGGGAACTGCGACTGCTGCGGCCGGAAGCGGAGACTGCGACTGGGTCTGCCTGATGCTGGCGAAAAGGCGATGCGACTGGGATCTCTGCGTTGATCTTTCGATGATTCAGATGTTTTTTTTTGGACGTGAAATTTTATGAAAGTGGGGATTCCAAATTTGAATATGCTGTTTATATAATTATTTATATGTATATATATATAGACATGAAACAAAATGCCTGGATGATTTTTGGGAGTTTGGGATTAGTGATTGGTTTTATGATTTCAACCCTTATAACTTGGATATGTTGTTGGTTACTACCAAAGCCGATCCCTGGTTGATGGTGACTTTGGCATCGGTAAATGGTCAGTGATCCACCAAAATAGGGGGATGTTCATCAAACCAGCTGATCGAATCAGGATACGAAGTGGCCGGTGAAAATCAAAGGATGGAACCATGGCAATAGAACATAGTACTACCCTCTGGTACTCTAAACATGGCAATGGAATTTGAATGGACAAATCCCATCTATAGTAGCACAATCATCTGCAAAATGAGAGGAATCGCAATCTTATAAGTCCAGCGTGTTTGTTGATGATATCTTACATCAAACATTTCAATGGCTAACTCCCATTTATATATATATATACATATATATATATATACATACATATACATATTATATATAATATTCATATGATTTTCCCAACTATAAACCTCAATTTTTTAACGGGATTTCCCAGCCAACCATGTTTGATGACACCGGAGGCCGGAGGGTAATGGTTTTAATCCACTTAATGTTTGAGTGTTTGCTAGTCATATCTTATTTTATCCCATTATATCCGCATTATTCTGTTTGCTTCGCGACAACAAGCGCCCGCACAAGAGTGTTGGCTCCGGAGTTCCAATAAACCATATATGTTGTATGTTGGGCCTTTGTAGGGCTCAATCTTGGGAGATATGCCCAACATGGGCCCATGTTGGGTCATATTGGGCCTGTGTTGAGAGTTGGGCTGGCCATGTCGGGCCCATGTTAGGCTTAAGTCGGGCCTATGTTAAGGCATGTTGGGCCAGTTTGGCCTATGTTTGGCAACTTAGCCAATTTTAGGTCCCTCTAAAGAAGGTGGAAAAACACAGGATTCTAGAGTAGTAAAACCACCCCCCCAAGCTAAAGTCTAATAGCTATTGCAATTGTTTCGCATGACGCGTGCATACAAAAAACGCCGTGGGGGGATTTCCCATTCTCAGGTCCATCTTTGTGGGCCCTTGGGTTTCTTCATCAGGCCCGGTCTCTATGCCCATGTGGAGAAAGAGGGACAGATTGTGGCGAAACCCTACTGCTACTTGGGTCGGGAGGCAAGGTCGAAATGGGATGCTAGTCGTGCCACTGGTAATCCAACAGAGGAATGAAGGGGGATACCCTCCCGGTGTCAACCGTGGCGCGGCACTGGAAACTCGCCGAACTAAATGGAGGCTTAGTTCGCTGCGAAAATCATCGAAAGACAGGTGGATTTCCCAGCAAACCATGAATAAGTTATCTACTTATGGTCATAATATACACGTTGCTCATTGATGCTTATTGCATTATATCAGTTGCTTATTGCATTAGTCGTTGATAGTCTTTATGAGCTGAGTAGAAGACGGGTAGCCTCCGGTAATGTAAGCATAGCTATGAGCTACAGAAAATAACCAATTTATAGATGATTTACCTACTAAAGATGGCAATTTAAGCTATGTGAAATTTCCAGGGGGTATACATATGATTATTGGAACTCATGGGAAACCATGCTATTGGAACCCTGTGGTTTGTTTTGTCACCATTATCAATATGGCTTAATCATCAAACTATATGGGCCATTGCTTCCAATAGCATTGTGGATGTGGGCGTAGAAATGGAGGATACCCAATATAATGGATAAAGAAGGCAATCTTCACCGGGAAGATACCATTTTGAACTATGCCGTTTTGGGGGTACTCAGCTTTCGGACAACCCCAGGGGTCAGTTTCTGGGATGGTTCACCGTCCCATGTGATAGAAACCAAGGTGAAACAGGTGATGGTTTACTGAGACCTCCTGAATTTCCAACAATTTTTCATACAGCAACACTTCACTGTCTACCGAATTTCAGCGCATCATTTTGGTGAAAAAATCCATGTGCCAGCAATTTTCTGGGGTCTGATCAACGTGCATAAATTATCATAAATTGATAGACACGCAGACATGTTGGCTGCCAAAAACCAACGGGTAGAACATGATGCAATAAGTTTTATTCAAAAAAGTTGTCTTCAAACACATCCGAAATGGTGATCCATATAGCCTCTGGTCAACTAGCAGTTTGCTATTGAACATGGCCATAGAAATAGTGGATTTACCCATAAAAAATGGTGATTTTCCATAGTTCTGTTAGTTTACCAGAGGGTATTTTTTGGGGTTGAAACCATACCAAGAACCAGTTGATTTGTTCCTCACATCTCCCCCAGTCTGTGCCAGGCGTTTCATTTCAAACTGCTTCAGCGCGGCAGTCTTCCGTGCGCGTCTCTGCTGTGGGATGTGTCTGAGCCCAGCATGGGCTTGAACGGCCGCTTGGGCGTTGGAAATCCGTGTTTCAGGCGGTCCATTGACCGGACAACGGAAACATGTTTGGTCCCTTTGAAGTGGTAGAATCTGGTAGAATTGTATTTTGGTAGATTTATAATGAATCATATTTGTTGATTTTTGTTGATCTTTTGTTGATCTTTTGGCTTTGTTGCCCCTTGGTTCAACCCCGGAACGGCTCCATGAGCACCCCGTTTGGGGGTGTAGGCTCTAAACAGGTGGGCAGCTTGGTGGTTCTATGTGATCATATACTGGTTGGTGGTTTCAAACATTTGTTATTTTATTTGGAATAATATAGAAATTTGTGATCATCTAATAGATATATACTGGTTCTAGTGATCATTTGTGATCATCATAATATATGGAATAATCCTTCCCATTGACGAACTCATATTTTTCAAGATGGTTATTGCACCACCAACCAGGTTTTTTTTACTGTACAGGTTTGTGACCTGAAACGGAATCTATGACACGAAATTTGCTATGTCTTCACGGGGAAACTCCCCAGAATCCACAGAATTGCTGCCATCAGGTTCAACTGTTTCCACTGTGCCGGCGACCTCTTCGAGACCTTCGGGACCTTCGGAGGATCTCACGCTGAAGTTTCTGCCCACCTTCTCTTTGCCGGTGCCGTGGCGGATTTTTCTGGCTTGGAGCCGCACCAAATCTGATGTTTTTTTTGGTTGTCCCATGAAGATAGGCATATATAAATTGTTTGGAGTGTTCCCAATTTGTGGACAAAACAGTGGAGATACTGTAATGATGTGTCAAAATATTTCTTCTACCTTTTGGGCCTTATGGCCAATTTTGAGAAACATCCCTGGAGAGAGTCATAACCAAATCCCGCATCACAAGTGGTGCTTAAGGCCTATGACCTTCATCGTCTCGCGTTGCCGGCAGCTCCTGCAAAGAGCGTCTGCGATAACTTTGAAAAAGTGGATTGAGAAAGGTTGATGATGTGCCAAAGCAGCTTCGCCACCAAGACGCAGCAGATCTTCTTGTGCATCGGAATGCTGGAAAGAAAAATTGACTGTCCACAGTGTCTAGAGGCAGGGTTTCTTGGACTTTGGGAATGGAAATGCTGTTCCGACAAGAATTGTGGAAGTCTTGGTCGTAACTGCAAGGGGCTACAAGAGGACTGCCCACCATGAGCCCGACGAAACGAGTTTTTCTGCGATGGAACCAACACAGACGGCAAGTTGCAGCAGCAGAATGTGATCATACCTGATCCAAAGCCTTGGCTCGGTCTAGGAGTCTAGGCATTCTAGGCCCCCCTTGGCCTGTCTTAGATTGTCTTAGATTGTCATCTTTGAATGGAAAAACGTCACGGGTCAAGGCTGGGACCATGCTGTCCTGATTTTCGGCCAAAATTCGGGAGGACCATCTGGACTGAGAACTTGACCAGGGACCAGATCCACATGCTTTTGGTGGATTTTTGCTGATCAAATCATCATTTTGTGGTGATACATGCAACTGGTTTTGGTCAACATTTTCTCCATTTTTCTGGATCCTATGCCCTCCATATCCTTCTAAGTCGCCTCCCGCCTCGTCAGGAGCAGCGTAAGACAACGGAGACTTGCGCAGGGGATTGCGCGGAGCAAGCCGCCAGAGAGGTGCTGGAGGGCGGCGAGATGGGATTTCAATGGGGAAATCTACCATTGAAGCCATGGCCAAAATCCAATGAAACCATGGGGGGTTCCGGTTTTCATTTTCCCTTCCATTGAAGGATTTTTGATGATTTTTGACCATTTGCCCAGCTTGAATCTAAGTCCGGGACTCTGACAGAATTATTTTGCAGGGGGGTATTTCAACCCAGGTTTTACGCAAAATGCCTTTGATTAAAAACGGTAGTCCACCAACATAGCAATGTCCCTGGTGGTTGAAACCAGGTGGATGACTGGGTCAATTTTAAGAAGCACCTATTCAGAAAGGGGAATGAATCAAAATGATGAAGAACCATGTAGCAACCAACATTCTTACGCAGTTTGAAATCCCAAAAAATGGGGATTTGACTACATACCAGATGCCACATAGTAAGACACCGCGTATATCCAAATATTCGTCAGTTTTGGAGAACCTTTGGGTCTTCTTACGGTATAGCTTTGGTTTCAACATGTTTCAACATGATGGTATCAGATGATTTTGCGGACAGGTCCAGAGATGGGAAAACGTCCAGATTTCCCGGTTGGGCGGTTTGATTTCAGGCGGAGGCCGCCAGGGACTCAGAGGATCAAATCCTCCCGCCCCGGGTCGGGGGAAAGCCCAGCGAAACAAAAGCAGTGCTTGGTGGTTGAAAAAAGATTCTTCATGATATGTTAATCGTAAGAAACGGGATGGTGATCCCCAATTGACTCTGATATATGGCTATCGGTCAGCACTATCAATCCTCAAAAGGGATAGTTTCATATTGTTTGAATAAGTTTAATGCAAAAAAAGCAGCCTTTTAAGATTCTGAAAGGCACCCAAGTTATCCCAAGTTTGTGGTTTCATATCGTGTACACCTATGGCTTCGTCTGAGAAGAAAGTGACAGCTTTTAATCCACTGCTTAATCATCCTGTTGAATGACAATTTTTTTGGGATACCCTAGTTTCAGACACACCCCAATATTATTGTTGGTTATATAAAGTTATATAATGTTATATATATAATTATATATACATTATATATGCACATACATACATATATTTATATTTAAAAACATATCCCCATTATTTCCCAATATTTGTTGGTTAAATTCCCATTTTGGTGGCTGAGATCCATTCAAACATCCACATTTTTCCGCCCAATCTTTACCCAGGTATCGCTGGCCTTAGGGAAGCTCAGAGAGAAGCGACAGAGCTACGAGGTCCACCTCTGAGAATCAAAGATGGCCGGAAAACCCACCATTCCCCAACTATCAACCTCAATGGGAGATCTCCTGGATCCTAAAATGGAGGTACGTAAACGTACCATATAAGGCCATCCTTACATAGGCCTTATGGTAGGTACCTCCAATTTAGGAACCTGAAATGGCCAGCGACCTTCATTTCATATCGGATTTTCACTTGCCATCTTTAATTACCACAGGCTCGTTCAGTCATGCCGACTGCGAATGTCGACCCTGGTTGCAGCAATTAACGGGGTACCCCCCGGAATAGTGATGCCATGACTAAGTATCTTCAAATTAGGTCGAAAAATGGTAAATCTGGAAACTGGTGGTGAATATCATTTAGACAACGACCATCCCGTTTTCAAACTTTTAAGGCATCTTTTTTAGGGGTTACTATAAAATGGTATCCCCAAATGAAACAGCCCAGGGGTTTATCAATCCGGGGTTGACATGAAACTCGGGTGCAATTTTAATTTTTGGAGATATTCCCCTAACCAGCTGAACAAGAAATGCACAGAATTTCGAAGATTGGCCATGATGATTCCTCGAGCTGGCATAGTGGTGAGATGTTTGAAGGATTTGACTCTGAATCATGGCAAGTTTGCTATCAAAATCCTTTCCCCCTAAGGTTAAACACCCCAAATATCAACCACGGTCTAGTAGGGGATGAAACAGCATATTTAGGACCAAATTTTGTGGGTGTGTTCAATATGAACAGGGGATGGGATTAGCAGTTATCCGATTATTCACCATTATTTTTTAGCATTATAAACGGATATTAACCATTATTCACATTTCATTACCGATTATTATAAACCATATTAGTCATTTTAGCGATGATGAAGCATGATTAACCATTTTAAATCATCATCAACTATTATTAACCATTATTAACAATGATTAAACATCCATTAAACATTAACCACCATTGTCAACCATTATTAAGCATATCGGGGGCGTGGGATTACAGCAACTTTTGGAGTTTCACGAATTTCCCAGCTGCCTCGCCTGGGGCTCAAGCCGGGCGGCTCAAGCCGGCGCCTTGCTGTCCTCCATGCATGCGGAAGAAGAAGCTTCCGAAAGCCGAGGCGGACGTCGTTGGTTTACGTCAAAGAACACAGAGACCCGCAAATTGAAAGGTCCCATTTTTCTGGTATAACACCATAGCAGTTATATATTTGTATACTTTATACACATGTTGTCCATTGGTTTGAGCGTTTCTTACCCGCAACAGCCAAGTTCTTGGCCTTCAGTATTCATCCCATAATCCTATACAATCATGGAATTGACCTATTGGGAATGATTGGATGACCCATTTTCGTAAATCATCCCATATCATTCCCAGAAAATGGTAACCCTATCATTAATCCCAATAGGTAAATTCATAATCTCTACAATAAAGGATTCATCTCTACAATTACCCTCTGGTAATTTAACAGTTTGCTATTGAAAATGGCCATTTATAGTGGATTTTCCCATTAAAAATGGTGATTTTCCATAGTTATGTAAACGTTTACCAGAGGGTAGATTCATCCCATACTCCCATAGAATTAATCCGGTTAATCCTATGAATCCCTTGTTTTATGTGGGTAAAACAATGACAGAATGGCACCACCCATTTTCCCGGGAATGGTAAGTTTATACCACCAAGCAAAAAATGGTGATGACTGGGGGATGGTGCGTTTATGGCATTGTTTTACCGGAATTTCATGGGATATTATCAACTATAGGGACTGTAGGGTATTAACTATAGGATTTGCCAACTAATGGGAGAAGTATTATTTGAATGGATTGGTTTAAGGGAAAATTGGAACCGGAAACCATAGATTTTCCAAAGAAACATAGGTTTTTTCCTGTCTTCCCAACAAAACCAATCCATTGATTCTTGTTTTACCCACATTTTAACCCACATTACTGGAATGAGAAAGAGATTATGATGCCCTACGGTCAATCCCATGAAAATTATATGTTAATCCCATGTTATTATATCATTCCCTATAGTTAACATGCAGTTAATTCCCATAAATATTTTTTGGTGAAAATTCCATGGTATTTCAGGGATTATAGATGACTATAGGAAAAGGGATTATAGTAATGAATATATCTCGTTGGTGGTTTGGAACATTTTTTTCCATATATTGGGAATAATAACACCAACTGACTTTCATATTTTTCAGAGGGCTTGGTATACCACCAACCAGATATGGTTAATCCCATATTAATTCCCTATGGTGAATCTATAGTAATTCTACGGGCAAACCCCTCAGTTTGCCCGCGCCGACGCAGACGACATGTCCGAACATCAAAAAACACTGTGCTTTGTGGGACAAAATGCACATGTCCATGATCATGGCTTTCATCTTGCAACGCACAGCTTAGCTACCTGTGCGTTGAATGTTACAACAACAACATCATCATCAACATCATCAACATCATCATCATCATCAGCATCATAATAATAATAATTTTCATCTTCATATTCATCATCATATTCCTAATCCCCTTGTTGATCTTCCCAATTGAATGTAAAATTTAACGGGGTTGGGAATTTATATTTCTAATCCCCTTGTTGATCTTCCCAATTGAATGTAAAGTTTAACGGGGTTGGGAATTTATATTTCTAATCCCCTTGTTGATCTTCCCAATTGAATGTAAAGTTTAACGGAGGTGGGAATTTATATTTTTTCAAAATCCCTAAGAAGTTGTGTGGGCGAACTGGGGGGTTTGCGCGTAATTCTACTATATGAGGAAAACCATGTCTATAAATGACTATAGTTATAGTAATGAATCAAAATAAATCATAGAATATAGTAATCCCATGATATTATATAGGTTGTGATTATAGATGACTATAGATGGCTATGAATTAATCTGATTAATCCCATATTAATTTCCTATACTTAATTCTACTAGGACCTATTTTAAATCCCATGAATCCCATGCGTAACTTCGGCCCAGCTGCGAACCACGCCAGGTGCGGCGTGAGGCCCAGCTGCGGCGCCGCATCTTCGCGGCCGCGACCGGTGCGTGGCAGGAGGCCCTGGAAGCGCTACGTGGCACGGCGGACAACGGAGGATTTGAAGCACCGAAGCAGGGAGTTCAGCGATAAAAAAACCCAATGCACATGGTGATTTTACTCGACGGTTACCACTAAAGATGGTCATTTTTAGGGCATTTGCCACTTTGACAGTAAAAAAGTGGCGATTTTGATCACTGAAAATGGTGACTTGGAGTGAACTTCAACGAAAGATGAGGATATGAACATTTCACCATCAAAAATGGGGAGCTAAACAACAAAAAGGGATCCCATTTTATAAGCAATGAAGAATGTGGGCCTGTTTCTTCTTAAAGTTGGGGTGGATTTACCACGATTTTATTGCCATTTCAATAGGGATGATGATAGGAGGATGTTGTGGGAGTGGTTTGGTGAATGCTAGGGACAATCCGGGATAACTAAGAGAAGTAAACTGGAAATAACAAGGCGAATGGTTGGATGTAGGCTGGATGTATGGTGGACATATCTGTCATGGAGGTTTCCGTCGTGGGTCGTGGGCCCCCACGGCACCGGCGTGAAATCTATGGGTCATGGGTCATCCATGACGACTGGATGATTTGGGGGGTACCATGACTTAGGAAAGCTCCATATATCCACAGATATCCATAGTTAGTGGGGGATATCCCCATATATTGATGGTGAAAACACCATTTAATCACTATGTTTGATGGTTCACTATACATCCATTAGTCTTTTCACCATAGTTGTTTATCACGATATTTATGATTCACAATATCTCACCACTGTTCACGATATTTCACTATGCATCCATGATGGTTGTTCAACTATATGCTTCACTATATGCTACAACTATACATACGTAGAACCATCACAGTATTCGTACATTGATGGTTCACTATACATCCATTGGTTATTTCACCAAAGTTATTTTTCAATATAGTTATATATATATACTCACTATATTCCACGAGATTTCACTAGATCTCACTACATTTCACTATACATCCATTAGTTCTACCCGGCCTGGTAATTTTTCACATAGCGAAAATCACCATGCTTTTTTTAATGGGTAAATCAACTATTTTGACTGGGCCATTTTCAATAGCTTTTTGTATGTTTACCAGAGGGTATATCTATTATATATCCAAAATATCCCATTAAATCCCATTAGATCCCATTAAATCCCATTAAATCCCATTAAATCCCATTAAATCCCATTAAATCCAATTACATCCCATTAAACCCCATTAAATCCCCATGTTTGTTTGCCATTAGTTCTATCTATACGTTTCTTTTTCACCACGTGGCCACCAAGGACTCCATCTTCCCTTGGCACCGCAGCTGCTGCCACTGGGTGCCACGGTGAATGGCTGTGCCAAAGCAACGCAGTGGAGATGGGCGCAGGAGAGCTGACCTGGAGCAACTAGTATTAATAGTATAGTAATATTCATAGTACCAATATGGTACCCATAATATTTATAGTACCTGACTGATATTTATGGTATGACTGATAGCATATTCTGCCTGATAGTAATATTTATAGTACCAATATGGTATCATAATGTTATCTATGATAATCATATACTATATATCAACTATATTATATATATATATATATTATTAGTACTAAAGTAGAGAACCTGATATTAGATAAACTATCAATCTGATGGTACTATAAATACTAGAATATATATATATATATACACATACTATGATGGTATATTCTATCCAACTACTATATTATCATAGTATACCATTATATCTGTTCATATAAGACTATAACATGTATACTGTGATGGGATATATCTCGATGAAATTGATAATGACCTCACGTCGCTCACGTCAATGGAATGATGGTTGGTAAGGGAAATCATCCCCGCATGGTATGATAATTTTCAGCTATTTTTAGGTTTGTGAATTACGATAATGCAACCAGAGAGAGAGAGAGAGAGAGAGAGAGCGAGCGATAATTACTTATGATATATGGAATGATTTTTGGAATAATACTAAGATAGAAATCTTAGTATATTGTACTATACAATTCCACATATTATCTGATACTATATGGATACTCTATGGATATATACCATGCTATATGTATATATGGTTGTAAACTATGCCATGCTATGCTATGCTGCATGATATACTATGATACACCACAAGTTATACTATGGATATATGGAATCATGCAAAGATATACTTATATTTAGGCCTTTATTTCTGATATAAGATGTTATACCATTATCTGATATATTGGGGATATACTGGGGATATACGAACAATTGCGGAGAATGGATGTAGTGAGAATTTTGGCCAAGTTTTCACTGATGGGATTTTTCATTGTTTCAAATGGGTTTCAATGAACGAATGAACTGACCATAGTGAGAATACAATGGCGGTACCCTCTGGTAAACTAACATAGCTATTGAAAATGGCCATTTATAGTGGATTTTCCCATGAAAAATGGTGATTTTCAATAGCTATGTTAAATTACCAGAGGGTATCCATGATTGACAACATGATGTTTGGGTTGATGCCTCGACGTAAATTGTGGCTCATGTATGTGGAATTATCGGGTCAAAGGCCGTACATTTCAGGTTGGTGAGTTATTATAATTTATCCATATTCTACCCTCTGGTTATTCAACATATGGCGCATTTATAGATGATTTTCTCATTAAAACCTCCATTTATTAGGGATGTTCCATGGCTATGTTAAATAACCAGAGGGTATCCAGATGAAAAATGTCTCCTGGATTGTAACCATTTCCATGGAGAATCATCATGTACAACGGGGATTTCTGCTTTTCTGAATAAGCTTTGGTGACAGTATACATGGAGTAATTATTGTTAACCTAACCAGCTAAGTTTTTTCTTGTTTCAGAGAGTATCTAAGAGTAGCCATGTTTTCTTTTGGATGGACAAAACTGGAATTAGTAGAATCTCATAAACTGATGCAGAATTCTCACTGCCAAGGTTTGTGAACTTGTAGCAATTGGATTGCCACCAGGACTCCCAGGTGTGAGTGGTTCCCCTCAGCTAATTTAGCGACAAGTTCACAAACTGATGGCCATCATAGAGCCAAATGGGCCATGGAAAGCTATAAATTACTATGTTAAATTACTATATTACCTATTTCACACATCATCTACTGGGTTAACATGTTTAATTACTTTCTATTAAATTGCCAAGTAACCCTGTTCCGCACAATTTGCTTCATCAGTCGGTCAGGTCGCCCAAGACCTGTGGAATTTTTGGAATTTTGGTACGACTAGAGACCATCCACTCGTTGCTGACCCATGTCTTGTGCCCCTACGTATGGTAGCTAAGTTGGTGAACATAACTCCAATAACTCAGGTTTATGGGAGATAAAACTATAGTTAAAGCGGGGGATTATAAACCAACGTCTAACTGCAGGGGTTGGTAACTGTCCCATTTTGGATATATTGGACATCACCTGAAAAAGTAGCCATTATAGACCATATACCATTCATGGTTGGGTGATGTTCAATGGGGACATTTAATGACCCATGAACTGGGGGGGCACCATCCTGCAATTTTCGTAGGCGCTGACAGCTTCCAACTGACGGATCGACGCGTGCGTTTTGCGCCCCGAAGGAGTTGTTGGGGGTCCCCGAGACGGTGCGGCTGCAGCACAGCCTGGTGCTTTGCAACTCTGCTACTTGGGTGATGACCGGGCGACAAAATGTGTTGGGACTTGCTGTGAGTCAGCTTTTTTGAAACTAAAGGCCGATACATTTTTGTGTTTCGATGTTTGGTGTCGTCCATTCCGGGCGTTTCTTGAAACTGGGGTGTTCTTGAACTTGAAGCTGATGATTCCTTGTATTCTTGGATCTCCTTAGCATTTTCCAGAGTCTTCCCACAGCAAGGGCCCTCAGATACAACTTAGTTACTTAGTTCACCATCTGATCAGTTCGACACATCCCCCATAAACCCATCCATCAGCCTAGTTTTCAAGTTTTTCACCAACAAACTGGGTGCCCAGCTCGTATCAAATTGACACTATTTCATGGGGATTCAGTGACACAGATGGACACAGCTGATATTTTAAATCCCATGGTTTTCTGGTTTATTTATAGGCTGTGTCACTGAATCCCCATGAAATGACATGATTTGAATGGAACATCCATTCTCAATTTCCCATGGTGAAATCTCCATGAACTTCCAGAACTCTTCACCCTAGCCTCGATGGTAAACTAACATAGCCATGGAAATTGTCCATTTATCATGGGTAAATCAACTATAAATGGATATACATGGCAGTTTTCAATGGCAATAGCCATACATTTTCAATGGCTATGACAGTCTTCAAGGTATCCATGGCAGTTCAAGAATTTTCATGGCAATTTTTCACCCTCAGTTGGAGGGTAAATCTGCCTTCCAACTGCTCTCCCAGGTTCTCTCCGCGTGTCGCGACGGTCGCGACGCTCGCGCTTCGTGGCCTCGAGGCCTGCAGCTTCTGCAGGCGGCACGGCGCATGGCGCTGCGGCCAGATGTGGTGAGCCACAGCAGCTGGGTGGAACTTTGGTGCCGATTTTTGTTCGAGTGAGATATAGTGATATAAGGTATGTATGTGGCACTTATACATATATATGATATAATATATAATATATAATATAATATATATATATAATATATAATATATAATATATAATATATAATATATAATATATAATATATTATATATACTATATAATATATATAATATATAATATATAATATATAATATATAATATATAATATATAATATATCATACATAATATATAATATAATATATAATATACAATATAATATATAATATATCATACATAATATATAATATATAATATATAATATAATATATAATATAATATATAATATATAATATATAATATAATATATAATATATAATATATAATATATAATATAATATATATAATATATTATATAATATATAATATACAGTATAATATATATAATATGTGATAATATATATATATATATTAATTATATATATACATCGACATATCTGTATATGTATACATGTATACTGTGTACCTATTATGTATGCATATATATATATATATTGTATAACTTAATGTAAATAGACATAAAATGCACCCAACATGCATCTGGGAATATCCCTGGACCGCCCGAAGCGCCGAAGCACAATTCGAGCTGCACCAAGTGCCTGGCCGGCCGTCGTCTCCATCTTTATGTATAAGTTCCCATCTTTAGTCGTGCTTAATACTGAACTATCATGCTAAATAAAGTGTCCATATCTTTAGACTAAACACCGAATTTTGATTATCATGCTAGTATAATCAATTGATTGGTTATGAACTGCCATGATAATTCAATGTTTAGCCGATCTGGTGGTACAAACTGCTTAATTACGCAGTTTACATGTGGATATGGGTCAAAATTGGGCGTTCCGTAGTTGGATGGTTCAAGGACCAAAATTGGGTCTGGGGCACCAATGGACCTACCCATCTGAACAGTCTTTGAAGGGCCTAAAGGCCAACCATTCAGAAGTAGTTTCACAAAAGGTGAGGATTTAACTAACTTAAGTGGAAAGACCTTCCCCCCCAACATTAAGTGTCTCCCAAAGAAAGCGTGGCTTAGTAATTGGATCTTTTTATGGACCAACTGGGGAACTCAGTATTAGCATATATTAGCTGGATGGGGGGATTGATACACCTTGGGTTGTTCCCCCCCCACTAACAGTGGACTTTTTGGATGCTTGGGGCAAACACTGAACACGTTTTCTGATCTGGGTAGTGACCTAGAATCACGAGTTGGGGGAACCCCAAAATAAACCTATATTTGTTGGTTGACTTATTTGCTAATTTCTACTTTTATCCCCATTAGTCACATTTTTTGGCCAGGATCCCTGTTCAATACTGACAAACAAATGGAGACAGGTCCAAATGGTTGCCCCTTAAATTGGATGGTTCATACTAAAAAATAACATCTGGTAATCAAAGATGGCAATGGAAATCCCCTATTTAGTTAGATGATTTTCCCACTAAAACCTCCATTTAGTGCAGGGGTTTCCCAGCCACGGTTCACTACCGGAGGATATCCAAAAATATCTAAAACTCATTCGAGTGTAAGGGAAAACTTAAGGGACACCCCTATGTTTGCTGCTAAAAACCATGGTTTTCCTGTAGATTTTCCCTTACACCAATACATTGATTGTCATATTTGGCAATTAAATGATATCCAATCCATCATTCTCAGTTGGTTAGCCCTGTAAAATTCCATAAAATCCCTTAAAATCCCAAATAAATCATCCTAAATCCCCCCTGGTCAAAACCATGGTTTTCCTGTAGATTTTCCCTTCAACGCATCCTTTCCAAGGCACTGCGCTGCTGGGCTGCTCCGAAAATTGGCCCTGGTCCTTGCAACTGTTGGAGTTGGCCGAAGCCAATCAGATCGGCAGCCTGTCAGTGGGATTTCATGGGATTTATTGGGATTATATTTACCAACTTGAGGGAGTGTAGCGTATTAGCCACTAACTATAGGGTTTGTGTGGTATTACCAACTATAGTTACTATATGGGATTAAATATAGGATATATATATATATACACATTTACCATTGGGGTTATATTTAATTTAATGGGATTATATTTACCAACTATACGGACTATAGAATATGAACTATTTACTATTTGGTGGACAATTCACCAACAAAAACGGAGATTTACCAACTGAATGACACAGAGATTGAGTGGAAACGATAGGGATTGACGGAATTTATATAGTGGGATTGAATGGAATTTAAGCAACAAGAATTTCGATGATACCCTCTTGTGATTTAACGTAGCGAAATGGATAATCTCCATTAGAATAATAGGTAAATCATCATAAATCATTCATAAATCAGCTATTTGATAGGCCATTGCTTCCATAGCCCTTTTAAATAACCAGAGGGCATATACCCAAGAATTTTGGGAATATAATGGTCATTTATATATATCTATATATAGAGCGGCTTACCATGGGGGTTGGAGCAGCATGCCTTCACCCCCCCTCATCCTCCCTTCTGTATATATATATATATATATTTAATGGGAATTTCATGTCAACCCAGGATTTTTGCGAAACACTTGGGCCGTTGATCTTGGGTACGGTACCATCAATTCCAGTAGCAGATGACGAATGATGACGACCATGCCCCGAGTTGGGCTTGGAAGACCATTCTTTGCCCCTATAACTTGGTGGATGTTCAGAAAGTGGGATACCCTCTGGTTATGTCAAAATAGCTATTGAAAATGGCCATTTATAGTGGATTTTCCCATTGAAAATGGTGATTTTCAATAGCTATGTTAGTTTACCAGAGGGTACAAACCACGATTATCCCAGTTAGAAGTGATGAAATGTTCCTGCTAAAAAAGGCCCCATATTGTCCTGGGATTGGCTTCATTTATTTTGGGTGGAAATATTGTTCGGGGGTATTTAATTATGGGGGGATGTCATTACTAAGAATTGAGGATCCAACATGGCATAGAATGACACTCCTTGGTGATTTTGGGCTCTTTGAGGACTAAGCCATGTTTGACGACCAGTTGGGCATGAACTCAGATTCCCCAACTCAATCAGATTTTGTCCAGATTGGGTGACCATGGATCATTCACCCAGTGACGCCCTCGGGATGTTTACTGCAGTTATAGGTCTGATAAAAGGGTACCTCAACAGTTCCTAGTTCAGAAAAGCCTTGTCCAAATCAAAGTGGCCGTAATACGAGGGGTATCCCCCATTGTTGGACAAGCACATTTCCATGATTCATTTCCCCATTTTGATTGGCTTAATCTTCATTTTGGTTGGTTCTGAAAAATCCCAATTTCGATTGGTAGAATCCTCATTTGGGTCAAACCACCATTTCTAAATAATCCCCATATTTTTTGATTAAATCAACTCCATGCTAATCCCCATATGATGTTGTTTACCGTATACGTCCCCCTCCAACCCCTTCCCGCCAGGTTTCAACAGCGCTTTGACGGCCCTGCGTTCGGATGCTTGGGACATGGCATCGGAGCTCCTACAGAATATGCAGCAGTGTTTCTTGGGGGGTTGGGTGGTCACTTGGGAGATCGTCCCGCTGAGCGAAGTGCGAACAACCTCTGGTAATGACTGTGACAGTTTGCGAACTGGAAAATGGGCCATTGAAATAGTTGATTTACCGAAGTTACTGATTGTGATTTTCCATAGCCATGTTAGTTTACCAGAGGGTAATAACCAGAGTTAGTTCACCCATTGATGGGACACCCCGCTTAGGGTGGTATGGCTTAGTTGTGCTTACTGTAGGTGATGTTCTATTGTTTTTCTCAAAATAAAGCTCTATTTGATGATTTGAGGTTCTAGCTGATGGCTCCGAAAGTTCGTTGACACACATGCTTTGCTGGGTTGTTGATAAACTGTTTCATAGAGCTTCATGCAAGCCACACATGGGAGTGGGTCTCCAAGCAAAAGACACCATTCTCTGCAGTGCAAGACTTGGGTAACCAGCGGAAACAACCTCACTGGGATGATGCTAGCAGTTTTTCTATCCCAAGTTGCCCTACAACGATGAGTGAATCATGAAATCGTATATTAGTGAATGTCTTTCTGTAATATAATATATGATATGAGTGATTATCATATTCTATCTATAATATATGATCATTTATCCAGATACATGATGTTTCTGAATAGCAGATGCATTTTCAACGCCAGTTACCAATGAACACTGGCCATTAATGCATTGGAATTTTCCAATAGGTTTCCAAGACCCATTGTTGATGGCAAAACCCAATTCAGAGTTTTGATGGTCGAATCCCCGGTTTTGCTGATCAAATCACGATATTTGCTGCTTCAAATCCATACTTCTGAAACTAGATCTCATTCTTTCCTGGAAAAACATCAATTCTGGAAATCACGCGATTATTTCGGTCAAATCCATAGTTCTTTCCATTAAACTTGTAAATTTTTCTGGTTTTGAATCCCCACTTTTTGGGTCAACAAACGGCCCTCAGCCAGGCTCTCATCTGCCGGACGTGTTCGCCTTCACCATAGCCATCGGTTTTAACACGGACAGCGACACCTGCTGGCGACAGGGGATGGAGATGATGGAGATGCTGATGGAGGACGAGTGGGTGGAAGATCTGAGATGTAGATGAGATTGGGATATGGGCCTGGGATTTAGATCTTATATCTATAGGATATTTATACATATAGATGGGATTAGATTGGGTTTGGGGTATAGATTGTGGATAAGATATGGATAAATCTATATAAATCATTCGATTTATCCATAGATTCATGGTTTCATATGGATAAACATCATGAAACATCTCTATGAAACCGCGATTTTTATGGTGATCACATGGTACAATCCGTTGGATTTTGCAGAAAAGAACTATGGGATTTCATGGAAAATATCACCTACTTTGTGAATAGAATTGGGATATCATTGATACATATTGATACAAGTTTCAAGAACATCCAGTTGATGTTCATGGGCGTTTATGGGATTTCCCGTTATTTTTTGGGGAGTGAAGTACGACATATACTCTCCCGAAAACTCACTTTTTACAAAAAAAAGGTTCCATGTTGGCTCACCTATGTTAAAATTCATAAGCGGGATAAGTATTATACCACCCAAAATGGCGACAAACTGGGATTTAGCCAACAAGAATTGGGGAGTTAAGCATGACATGTACTGGTTTAACCACCATGAACTCATAATGGTTTGACCAAGAAACTTGGTGACTTTGTAATCAGCAAATGTGAGGTACATCACAACATTTATGCCGTTGAAGTGGTTTAACAATCAAGAACTAGGCGTTCTATCATCAAAACATGGAAGGTGGATTGGGGCACCGGAATGCAAAGGGGATTGTTGTTCTTTCTCTCTCTGTAGAAAATGTCATATCTTTACTGATCTATCATGATCTAGCCACCATATCTCTGATTGTCGATGCATGTACTCATGACCTCCGTTTTTGTTTCTTCCGATTTGACTTTCATGGTTTACCCTTCAGTAAGCAAATATGGCAACGGACAACCCACTATAAATAGAGGCTTTCATGGAAAAAAACAGCTGTAAATGGCGGATTTTCCAGCAAGCCATGATTGCAAGAGGGTATATAATTCGACTCTTCCAGGTGGCTCTAAATTTCTGGCCCATAATGCCATAGTAATTCCCATAGTAATTCCCATAGTAATTCCAATGGCAAGATGACACTATCCCTGGCACTAGAAAGTAACCCATAGTCATTTTCTGAAGAAATACTACCCAAACAATAATGGGTGTGTCTGAGCATGGGGTCTACCGAAAAAACACCCCATTTCTGACCATCTAAACGCGAAACATATATAATGACAAACCACCCGATTTTGCGGTACCATATTTTCAGACAAACCCAAAAAACAAGTTAATTATCAATTTCTATGTTTAGATGTGGTTCCATTTCCTTGGAACAAAATGATAAACCCCTTACCATGGATAGCTAAGTTGGTTTACAATTCTATTTTTAACTTTAGTTTATGATCCTTATAAGCTCTTATAAAGATCTTATAACAGTGAAAAACGGGTTTATAAAGTTTCTAAATCCACATCACTGAGGCCCACATTCTCCAGGGCCCTGGCAGCTTCGTCCGCTTCGTCCCAGGAGCGCCAGGTGAAGCCCAACTCGGCCACGCTGAATTCGCTCATCGAGACGTGCGAGAGGCGACCAGAAGGGATGGGTTTTAGGTGGGAACGGAATTTGGGGGACATGTTTTTTTTTGGGGACATGTTTAAGAAAAAACACAATCGATGGAATATCTATGGCATATCTATGGTTTATGGGAATATCCAGGGTTTATGATGGTTGAATTTGGAATTTCTGATTTTTGGAGATATGAATTTGAAAAAAATGACTTAAGAGTTAAACTTGACGCGTTTCAGGTTTGGGTCAGTTTTTAAACAACTAACTTTGACTTTCGTTTTGGGAAGATTGATCGGTGAAGGGGGGTTGACCTAGGCCTATCGCCTTCATCGGGACCTAAAGATAAGAACCCGATGTTTGTACCATTATAACCCCCATAAACTAGTTCGTTATACCTACCATAAACCATAGAATTCAGCCACTAATACTAAGGCAACTGAACGCTATCGACTGGGGGCCCCAGCCTCAGCCTGTAGTACCCATCTGCCAAGCTCCAGGAGTTGTGAATGGCCGCTGACCCTCTGGCTGTTGCATGACCACCAGCTCCCACGTGCCACCGCTGTGACGCCTCTCGGTATCCGTGAAGTCATGGGGGGCAAAGCTTTGTGCCAAAAATGCTGGTGTCAAGATGTTTTGAGATGTCTAAAACATTCTAAAACTGTTTATATTCAGATGTTGAAGGTTAAGAATGACTAACATTTGGGGTTCACCTAAATCTGCAGCTTACAACCGTGACCCTATAGGAAGATATGTGACTCCAGGTTGGGTTGCAAACAGATCCTGGGAGAATTTGTACCCTGCAGACTTAGCCATGAGTTGGTGGAACCTCTCCATTTGTGATTTTCCGATATAAAAGCTTCAAAGCATCACTATTTTAGACGTCGATTTTCCCAACAGATATTTTTTTTTTGGGTGTACTGTACCAATATCTCCATCCCGTTTTTCCCTTTAAAAGCTGTGGTTTAGACATCATCCAGCGATGCTTAAAACGAAGGTATAGCGCCGCCATGATGACCTGCATCCAGGGCAGCCTCTGGACCTTGGCTCTGCAGTTGCTGGAGGAGATGCGCCAGGCACAAAAGGATTTTGTTGGGAGATGAATTCCGATAGGGATTTTGATGTCCAAACGATAGGGATTTATATAGGGATTTAGGGATTTATATAGGGATCTATGATATGGTGGAATTTACCATGACATTTGACGTTTTTTTTTTTTAATGGGACCTGTGGTGGATTTTCATGGAATTTCATGAACATTCAATGGGATTGGATCGAATCTTAGGGCTGCAAGGGTGGATGATAGCCTCTGGTGATTTAGGCTAAAATCAACCTTCGAATGGTAGGTACCTCTGGTCAACTAACATAACTGTGCATAACTATGGAAAGATCCACCATTTTATAGCTGGGTAAATCAACTATTTCTATCTATTTCGACTGGGCCATGGCTTCCAGTTCGCAAACTGTCACAAATTACCAGAGGGTAGATCATGAAATTTCACAAAAAAACCCATTAAATGCCATTAAATGCCATTAAATGCCATTAAATCCCATTAAATCCCATTCCATTAAACTTCCATTAAACCTCCATTAAACCTCCATTAAACTTCCATTAAACCTCCATTAAACCTCCATTAAACCTCCATTAAACCTCCATTAAGCCTCCATTAAACCTCCATTAAACCTCCATTAAACCTCCATTAAACCTCCATTAAACCTCCATTAAACCTCCATTAAACCTCCATTAAACCTCCATTAAGCCTCCATTAAACCTCCATTAAACCTCCATTAAACCTCCATTGAACCTCCATTGAACCTCCATTGAACCTCCATTGAACCTCCATTGAACCTCCATTGAACCTCCATTGAACCTCCATTAAGCCTCCATTAAGCCTCCATTAAACCTCCATTAAACCTCCATTAAACCTCCATTAAACCTCCATTAAACCTCCATTAAACCTCCATTAAACCTCCATTAAACCTCCATTAAACCTCCATTAAACCTCCATTAAACCTCCATTAAACCTCCATTAAACCTCCATTAAACCTCCATTAAACCTCCATTAAACCTCCATTAAACCTCCATTAAACCTCCATTAAACCTCCATTAAACCTCCATTAAACCTCCATTAAACCTCCATTAAACCTCCATTAAACCTCCATTAAACCTCCATTGAACCTCCATTAAACCTCCATTAAACCTCCATTAAACCTCCATTAAACCTCCATTAAACATCCATTAAACCTCCATTAAGCCTCCATTAAACCTCCATTAAACCTCCATTAAACCTCCATTGAACCTCCATTGAACCTCCATTGAACCTCCATTGAACCTCCATTGAACCTCCATTGAACCTCCATTGAACCTCCATTAAGCCTCCATTAAGCCTCCATTAAACCTCCATTAAACCTCCATTAAACCTCCATTAAACCTCCATTAAACCTCCATTAAACCTCCATTAAACCTCCATTAAACCTCCATTAAACCTCCATTAAACCTCCATTAAACCTCCATTAAACCTCCATTAAACCTCCATTAAACCTCCATTAATTTCTGCGTGTTTTTTGGTGCAGAAAGCCGGGAATTCCCAGGTGGGGCTGCAAAGGGATCTAGTGGCCTTGGGTTCTGGCCTGGCAGCCGCAGAGATGGGCAGAGAATGGAGGCAGGGAGCTGGGGGAGTCGTAGAGATTTACCCTCTGGTAATGACTAACAAAATGGTGTTTAATGGTGGTTTAATGGTGATTTAATGGGATTTAATGGTGATTTAATAGATTTACCTATTCTAATATTGCCTCTGTGGCCATATTTTGTTGTAGATACCTATGGTTTAATGGAGGTTCAATGGGGTTTAATGAGATTTAATGGGATGCAGTGAAAATTAATGATATACCCTCTGGTAATGACTAACATAGCTATTGAAAATGACCATAGAAATAGTGGATTTTCCCATGAAAAATGTTGGATCTTTCCATAGTTATGTAAACGTTTACCAGAGGGTATGCCACTTTTTGATAAGTCATATGGTGTCACGAAACCAACGAATAGTGAAAATATGGGTCAATCAGAAATGAACCACGGTGGTTGTCCCATTTTTGTAGGGCTTAACTGTGTCTAACCATCAAAAATAGGGGTATAACATGGTATAGGCAGCAATTAATGGGCATATCATGGGCTAATCTATGGGCATCCCTATTTTTAGCAAAAGATTGAAGTCCTAAACAGATTCAGTCGGTTCACCCAGTACATGTACATATGGCATAAATCTGGAGGGATCCAGTTTTCAATCATTTTCAGTCAACCAATACCCTATACTACCATAGGAAAACAATGATGGGCACTTACCAGTTCGTCTCTGTGGGGAAGCCAAAGCTTTTCTGAATAGTAATATATATATATACAGTATATATATATAATATACAGTATATATATATAACATATCTATAACATATATATATATATATTATATGTATTCACAATGACAAATCATCAATCCTGGTCAACTTGGTAAACTCGGGGAATGATGAGTTTGAAGCCTATGAGAACACGATGGCAATTTTTGACCTTGGGGGAAGAACATTGCGATGCTTCTTTTGCCACCTTAGTGCTGTTCAAGCAAAAGATCACAAGGTAGTCTTTGAGCGACTTGAAACAAACTAAGCCTTTATTGAGCCATGCCGATAGACTTCTTGGGTCCGATTTGTAATCGTAGTGTTTTTCATTTCAATCACTCGCCAGAGCCCACATGACACGGTGGTGAGGACCGGTCTCGACATCTTGCAGCAACTCTTTCTGACAGAGGCCTTCCGGTGGTGGACGAGTGATTGGTCACGATGATTGGTCATAGAAAACCCCCCTGAAGACTCACATGGAACCCACACATAAACTCTTAACTCTGCTTAAACTTCTCAGTAGCCTGTTTGGACTCACTAAGTTACCAGGAGTGACCCTCCATTTCCGAAGTTCGTTTTCAGGAGGGTAGCTGATTAGATTGGGTGGATGACCTGAATGACAACTTCGATGATGATGATGATGATAATAATAATGATGATTCTTATTATTATCACTGATTGGTGGTTTGGAACATGAATTTTACTTTTCCATATATTGGGAATTTCATCATCCCAACTGACCTTCATATTTTTCAGAGGTGTTGAAACCACCAACCAGATCAGTATTATCACTATTATTACTATTATCACCAGTATCACCACTATTATCATTCTCCCTGGTATTCTTATTCTTATCATATATTATTTTCGTATTTTGATGATGCCGACTTTCCAGCAGATCCAAGATCATCCATTTTCCGAAACTTCTTTACCCACCATATCGACATTTTTAAATGGTAATTAAACGGCAAAGTATAAATCCATTCTACTTTTATATACTTTTATTTCATAAAGCCATCATCAAATTCATCAAATCGACATGTTCGATATTTCTTAGCTTCGCCAGGTCTTTTCGTCTTTTCCAGTGATTCCCAGGGTTTCTGGCCGTGGCATCGCCAGGTCCTTCCCAGCCAAATGGTGTATGGCTCAGCTGTGGCTTGTTGCCAGTCCCAATGGGCCTGGGCCTTGCAACTGCTAGGCGGGGGAGGAACCGATGGCCCAACGGGAAGCGATTGAGGACGGAGGTACCGATTCCCATATGCTCCATGTATGGAATATTTACCTACATTTACCCCAAAAATCAACCCAATGTCGGTAAATATGCCATACATGGAGCATCTGGGATTCCACATATTTTTGGCCGGTACTGACGGTAGCTCCATTTTAGGATCCTGAAGATCTCCCACTAGTTCAGTTCGCTGGGATCAACCAAGATGTTTTTGTTGGGACTTACGAAGCTCACCAGGTGATATAACCACCCAAAGGATTCGTGGGATGATTTTTCAAGTGGCTCGGTTTTCATGAGTTTCTTGGATCCTCAATAAATAATCATATGAATTCATTGGTTTTTTCATGAGTTTTCCAATAGTTCTATCAATTCATATCCCATTGGGCATATCAAAAACCATTGGATTCTTCATGGGTTTCGCCCTGGTTTCGAAGAACTTGGCGTTTGGGGGTCCGCGGAGCCCACTCAGTGGACCAACCAGTCGCCAGTCCGAAAACATCATATAGAATGCATACAATATACATATTATAAAAAATATATATACCTGGTTGGTGGTTTCAAACATTTGGATTATTTTCCATTTCATACATGGGATGTCATCCACCAGCCATTGACGAACTCCATCATTTTTCACGATGGTTATTGCACCACGAACCAGATACACATTATAAATATATCATAATATGCATTTCACACAATGTAATTCTACACAATACCAATGCCACACACACACACATATATATATATATTATATATTATGTATATATATACATTGATTGTAGTAACACAACAGTAATTGAATACAACTATTATATGATATTATCCCGCATTATATTTTATTATATGCCATAAAATTGGTTCAAAAACAATTACATACAACATATAAATACATAATTTACACATATATCTGGGTAAATTATAACGACCTCACTGTTCTCCCTCACTGGAATCATGGTTATTAAGGGAAATCATCCCCAAATGGCCGCAAGATTCAGGTTAGTGAAATATTACAATTTACCCATATATATATAATATGTATATATATATATATGTATGTATGTATATAGTTAGTTGGCACCTGGTCAGGCCACATGGAATCGTTGCGTCGTGGGCTCCGGCCAGACCTGGTGACCATGACGTCTGCCCGGAAACCCGAGAGTTGGGTTTTGGGCCCGGGTTGTTTAGCGGTGGGGGGAGTTTCTGCCAGGTGGGATTTCCAAAGTTTCTGGGACAAGAGAAGTATCATCTGGTAATTTAACATAGCCAGGTTGGGTAAATTCCATTAGATCACCATTAGTCACCACCATTAGGCATCACCCATTTTCCATGTCTACAATTACATTATATATATATTCCCATTAATTATATCCCTATATTACCATTACAGGTCCCATTATATTCCCATTATCCTCTGGTAAACTAACATAGCTATGGAAAAGCACCATTTTTAATGGGTAAATCAACTATTTCTATGGCCATTTTCACTAGCTATGTAAAAACTGACTTGTGCTAAACGTAGGGAATTTTCGGGAATGATCCACTGGCCAACTCTCAATCATCCCAGCAACCCCCAGCAACCCATCCATTCCCTACGTTTAGCACCAGTAAGAAAAATCGGCACATAACATAACCACTAAACATGGGCCCGCTGCTTCGCCCGAAGATACACAGGGGATCGGGATCTAAGCATGGCGCATGGCCAAGAAAAATGGTCGAATGCAGAAATCGATCACATGGAGAAATCGCATCATTTACCCTCTGGTAAACGTTTACATAACGAACTGGAAAGATCCACCATTTTCAATTGGTAATTCCACTATTTCGACTGGGCCATGGCTTCAAGTTCGCAAACTGTGAATGTCATTACCAGAGGGTATCAGTGGTCGTCAAAACTCACCTGCAGTTGGATTGCCATCTACCCTCCAGTAAACTAACGTAACTATGGAAAGATCCACCATTTTCAATGGGTAAATCCACTATTTCTATTGCCATTTTCAATAGCAAACTGTTAAATTACCGGAGGGTAACTCATCTTTCAGTCAGGGTTGAAACTCATCCGATCGAGTCCAACCGTTCGATGAACATCCCCAGATGGGGGAGATCCACCGGCTGGAGATGCATCGGAGATGGAGATGTTTTGTTTTCACCATTCCTGGGATATTCCAGGAATGGTGACTGACGAATAGTCTTTGCCCTATTCCATATAGTCATCCTGGAGTAGAATATGGAACATTTCAAAACTCATCACGAACATCTGGATCCTCAAAAAATCGATATTCGATCTACATCAAGACGATTATACATACAAAACATACATTGAAATTCCCTCGGCCCACTGAAGCTCAATGCTGCGGCCTAGCTATTCAAATATTGAACCAGAAAGGCTACAGCGCTCCAGCAACGTCTGCCCCCAATGTGCAGCCGTATTCCTTTACATCCATGGCTACATACTGGGACAATTGAGCGGCTGGAGGATTTGGTACGCTCGGATACTCCTTCAACCGAGTGGTTCGCCAACTGCCATCGGCGTTTTTGCCGATGGCAAATCCAACATGAGTTGAGGAAGATTGGCGACCATGAGATTCGTTGGCTTTGGGGCGTAAGCGTCCAACAAGCCTTGCGAAAATCGGATCTTCTGTACATTTGGGAGTGCTACTGTAAGATTGCCAAAACAATCGGAAGCTTTCATATCGATGCCGCGTTAGAGTCCCAAAATGTCCAAAATGACTCTGCCGGATGCTCCAGGATCGCAAAGCCGTCAATAATCCTGATCTCCATCAACATCACCAAGGTAAATCCCAGCAACGTGTTACCTGTGGACAACTGCCTTGATCCTCACGCAAGGGAGGCCCCAGAGATGTTCCAGAGTGCGGATCACTCGTGGTTGATGGCGATCCGTGTCAAGCGCAGCAACAGCGCGGGCACATGACCAAGTCTCGCAAGGAGGCCCCGCCAAAAAAGGCGATTACGTGTCGTCGGATCGCAGCAATCCAGAGATCCCATGTCTTCGGGTCCATTGCATTGCCCTTCTCCTTGTCCACAACGATGTCGACCGAGACAACGTGCAAGATATACTCGGTCTGCTGTCGAGCCAACTGATCTAAGTAAAATTGCACATCGCCCAATCTTCGTCGTCCAGACAAAGCGTGCAGCATCACTGTGCTTGCGAAAAACACGGGACACGATCTCCACGTCCTGCTGCTCCAGGTGTGCCTCAATGTCATGGCATTCCTCGGTCAACTCCTCCAGGTCGTTTCGCACCAATGCGGGCGAGAGCACCTGTAGAAATTCCCAGTGATCAGACCTGCACAGGGTCTCAAGGAGAGCTTGCACCCCATCGAAGTCAAAGCCAATGAGGTTCGCGTCCTCCTCCATTAAAGTGTCCTTGAAGAAGATCAATGTCCGCCTCAAGCTCGTCCAGGATATGGCCTGTTCTTGCAGATGACTGTAAAACCTCTGTTCCAAGTCTTGAACATCAGCTGCATCGCATAGCGCGTCGATGAAAAATTGATGCCACTGCCCATTAACGTCAAGATCCTCACCAGGACGAACAGGGCGTTCATGGGGTCCTTGTTCTTGTTCCGGGTACGGGCTCTCTGTGTGACCTCCAACGTGTTCGTGCAAAACATAACGTATAATACAGCCTGAGCGCTGGTGAAGAATCCGAAAGCTTGAGGTCCAGGGTCCCTCAAATTCTTATTTTTAAATACAGGCAAATTTACACTACAACAGGCCGAGGGTCCCTCAAATTCTTAAGGCATTCTTAGTATTGTATTGCAGGCATCTGCACAATTTGGAGCAAGATTAAAGAATTTGGCAGTCCTATTCCAGGGTCCCTCAAATTCTTAACGTACTATGTGTTCGGTATAGCTGAAAAATGCTGAAAATATGAGCCCGCCTTGGAATCGAGCCCCTCAAATTCTTATACAGTGAATTCTGGTACAATACTCAAGCTGCAGCTGTATATATAACATCTATTTTTTTCACAAGGCTTTGTACCTTTGATGCTTCCGAAAATCGATGCCTCCCAGGCCCTGCTGAGTTTGGCCGCCGCGGCGCAGTGGCAACGCGCCATGCAGCTGCTGAGGCACGGCGGCTTCGCGGTGAATTTCCTGAGTTTCTACGCGGTCCTGCGCGCCTGCGAGGTCGGGGGGTTACCCTCGTGGGTTGCGAATATTTCTGGGTTCAAAAAAGGTGAGTCACGGTGAGTCATGAATATCTGGTTGGTGGTTTCAAACATTTTTCATTTTCCATAATATATGGGATAATCCTTCCCATTGACTTTCATATTTTTCAAGATGGTTAACACCACCAACCAGATATTTTTGGGGTGCTTTTGAAGAACCAAGGCCAAGATAGATTTTCGTGAGGTACCACTTGGATTTTGAGTTTGCTGTTCAGTTTTTTATTTTCTTAGCGTGACCAAAAAATCGTTGGCCACCCAAGAGATACGGGTTTGGGGATGGCCGCCGAGAAATCGCCATGGAATGATGGTGAAAAAATGGGCATCTCTCGGATGGCAATCTCGCTTCAACGGGATCACCGAATACGGAATACCCACCTTCTGCTACTTTTAGAAAACCCTACGGAACATGGCCTATGTAGTTCGATGATCTAACTATATCTAACTGAATCTAACTATAAACATCTTGATTTTTAATAGCTATCTTAAACGACCGGGTATAAAACCAACCGTCATGGCGCACATGTTTCTTTGCTGTCGCTGGGATGGAACATTTTTTCCCAAGATGAGTTGTGAACTCCATGAAGTTGGTTTACAATGTTTACAACCCCCATGAACTATGTTTATATCAGTTATATCCTCAACCTAAACGTTAGCCAAGTCATATGTGTCAACTTAGCTATTGTAAAGGGGGGCCCCATCTACGGTATCCCTGTCTTCTAAAGGCGGTTGAAATGAACAGGATTTGGGCCTCAAAGTTTTGATGATTATATGTGATCCCTTTTTTTGTTTGGGTCGCCGCTGGTAATATGAGGCATTGCAAAGTTACGGTTTTATGGGGGATTCATTTTCGGAATCAAGCCAGGGGAAGTCACGATATTTCCAAACGCATCCTGACTCCTGACCATAGGGTTGATATCATAGGTCTGGGTCGAAAATTGCAGAAAATTACTAGGTAGCCTAGAACTGTAGAACTTGGATAGTTCAACAGTTGCTGACCCAAAAATGATCAAAACTCTGTGGCTTTCGCCAGGACCGTCATGAACATCTTCAGGTGCCGGGTGATTTGGAAGATCGTGATTATACGAGTCCAGATATCTAACGGAGATAGAAGGGATGTAGAAGCAACAAACCTGGGAAATCCATGCATAACCCAATTTTTCCCTGAAACAACGTGACCAAGTTGGAGATGGTCTATGATTAGGTTTACCACATTAGTTGACATGCGTTTTTTTTTGCCTTCAATCTCGTCGCTGGTGACCTGTCAAACAGTGAATAGTCCACCCATTTGGGTGGCTGCTTGCGGGTGCCAGATGCAGCAGATGCACTGAAACCATGGATATATGAAGGTTTCCAATGGTTTTTTCAAACTAACCATGGCCCAAATGTTGTGATTTCCACATCTTTCAAGCCTTGTTTTCACCCTGCCATCAGATAGACCGCTGTTCCTCGATTCCTCCATGGGCATCTTCCACAAAGAAGCCATTGCAGCCAGGTGCTACGTTTGTTCCCCTCCATCCACGACATCACCATGGATACCTTCCGTCGCCTGGCAATGTCCCACATGTCAGATGAGTCAAATGTTGGCAAAAACTCAAAATCTTGTTCCTTTGAGACTTTGTGAGACTTTGAGACCACCGAAACCGTGCTTGAATCCCTTGGCAAATATTTGTGCAAGGCAATGTGGTAAATCCCAATCCCATAAACTACCATTTTCAAGGGCTTAAATCCCATCGAAATTGGGGATGATTCGATGATTTTACCGTTACTTACGGTAATACCACCTTTAAAAAACTATCCAAAAGCCCCCTTGGAAAAGCCATATGGGTTTCCTGTAAAGATTCTCCAACCATTGATTGTTAAACGCCTACTCAATAATTTTTTGCAGTACCACATACATTATGAATTGGCAAGTATAATTTATTATTTATTTCCACTATATTTCACGTATTACCACATATAGTATTTACCCTCTGGTAAAACTAGGATAGCTACACCATCTTTAAGTTCGGTAAATCAACGAACTAAATGGGCCATGGCTTCAATAGCAAACTGTAAGAAATTACCAGAAGGTGATCCCATATCATTCCATTATTCACCATTGTTAGTTAACCCATTAATAACCATGACATTTGTCACCATTTATAGTGGTTAAATCCCAGAGGGTAACCCACTGTTAAACCATGAAAAATCACCATGACAAATCACCATGAAATCACTAAGAATGCTTCGGCTTCATCGAACAATCAAAAAAAGCTGCCAGCTTCACTAGCATGCCATCTCAGGTGAGGAGTCAGGTCGCAGGCTGAGTGTCAGGTCGCCAGAAGGGCTGTGAGAAACGCTGCGATTTGAGGATGGAACACCTGGGATTTCCAGATTTTAGGGTGGAAATTCATGGGATACCAAGAAAAATGGGGATGATATACTGGTAGTTGTTCACAGTTTGCGGAGCAACCACGGCAAGTTTAGTTCAATGAATTTACCTATAAAAAAGATTGTGATTTTCCATAGCCAACTGTTAAGTTACCGGAGTGTAGACAAGAAATGAGGATTCAACCAAGTGTAAAAAAAATGCTTTCCACAATTGACATATGGATGTGAACTCACTCAAATGGCAATTTCGAAGCTAGACCAAGCATTTGAAATCCATTCTTTGGCTGGTTCGATTTTTTTGCGTTTCAGGTGTCCCAAACGATGCAGGTATTTATACGTATTTATTAAAATGCAACCGCCAGGTACCCGTACCGGTTGTGGTTGCCATCAATTCAGTTGACTCCGAAAATGGGTTTGGGAGATGAATCCATTTTGTTCCATTTTCAATTTCAGGGCTGCAACGCCTGACATTCAGAATCTCACTTCAGATACATTCAGAAAATGCACTTATCTAGACTTGAAGCTGTGTTCCTTTTCCGGCCCGCACTTCTTGTCACTTAGTTACGACTTAGCCATGGGGCCAATGGGCCCTTGGGACAATGGGCCATTTCTCTCCGCCGCTGCAAAAAGAGACTTCTGCCAGAGAGAACCTCCATCACAAGGCTGCTAAAGAGATGAGAATACTTGGATGATGGAACGTGGGCACGGACGACACCGCAAAATTGGTGGCTTGTTAAGTATTTGAACATCCCATTTTCATCCATTTTTATCTGGAACTTTCACCCATACCCACTGTCTGAAGGTCGGGGTAAGTAAAAAAACCCACCCAAATGGCGCCATTTCACGGGGACAATGATGTTTCAACCCGTTTTTTCCCCCTAAATCAGACAAACTAGACAAACCAATCTTTTGACAAATCCATCTGCAGATGTATCTACCATGACCCCCAGTTGGATCATATGTGTAAGCCAACTTACCTATCTTGTGGGGTCCACCTCTCACCGACCTACAGGGGGGGTGCCAGGAAGTGGCGGTGGAACAAGCACTGCCAGGGTTCGGACACGGGCTTTGGGTTTGGAAAGGGGGGCAGGCGAGAAGTGTCTGATTGGTGGTTTCAAGTTTCAAATGGGGTATGGATTAAAAAAAGGGTTTTGTGTTGGGATATAACCGACAAAATCATGGGGATGTATATATAGTTCGAGGTATATTGGAGCTTTCATATTTGTCCAACAAAGGGGAGATACTGCAATTTATGGCAATTTTACTGCGGAAAATAGTGAACAATGATTGGATTTTAGGGTACCTACAGGGTGGTGCCACTTAGATAGCTAAGTTGGTTTGTAACTAGGTTAAGTATGGTTTATGGTATGATATAACTATAGTGAACGGAATTTATAAACCAACTTTAAACGTTTAACTTAGAACCGGGGGCACCATGTTGTAGGTTCAGACACACCCAAACATGCCGGGCTATCAACACAGAATCCCGATTTTCGGAATCCATGACGGCCCCGTGCAGCGGCTGTTCATCATCAATCTTGTCACTTTAGGTTCCACCACGGCAAGGGAGTTTTTTGTTGATCCAAAAATATATAATATTATGGATATGGATATAATGGATATTAGGTTCCACCCAAAATTGCCCTGAAGTTACGATATATCTCGATCCATCTTAATCGGCCATGATTTTCGAGGAGAGGAGATGGGTCGGGGAATCTCCCCCGAAAACAATCGAACGGTAAAACAATGCCACTATCAACCAGTCACCATAAATTTATAGGTGGGAGAACTCAACCATTCCCATGGGTGGTAAACATGGCATTCTTTTACCCGCATGAAAAAATCAAAAAAGTCTGGAACCATGGTGGTTAGGCATCCCTGGCTATTGGACATACTAATAGAGTCTAGTACCAGTTTGACCCACATACTGTGCTGGTTATATGTATATCCTTTGGCCGTCAAAGATGGTAATGGGAAAATCCCGATTTTGTTCCCATCAAGTCCATCCCATTTTGGGCAATTTCCATTGTTACCATTTTGGGTAAATGATAAATCAACACCCTAAAAGATGGACAAACACCAATCCCACTTTAAACATAGTAATAAACTTTCTGTCTATCCTTTTGGAGGTTGCTATACTATAAATGGCAAATCAACTTCAACATTTTTTTAAAAAATTGTTGACTCGTGGTCCACATGACCAACTGCAGGTCGCATAGGCGGGACGTGATTCGGCGCGTTGGACGGGTCTCCGTGCTCTTTTCAGTTTGGGTTTCCTCTTGCAGGGATTCATGCGATATATGATCCTAGTATCAAAAAAGATCCAAAAAGGTATAATATATAATCCTAATATAATCCTAATATCCATTATATCAATATCCATCAAACTTATCAGGGGTTGGATTTGTGTTCTTCGGGATTTGTTTCACATCTGTAAAAGTCTCTGTTGGAGACGATAGATTCCCAAGCGCTGTCTTCTGGACTGACTAGGGGTTTTAGGTGGATCTATCTATCTATCTATCTATCTATCTATCTATCTATCTATCTATTGGATGGGGTTATGAAACTATAACAAACACACCTGGGTGGCCCTTCCTAATCCCATCTTTCACGAAATGGATGTGTTGCACCAGTGAATCGGTGGCGAGTGAGTTGTGTGAGAATGCGAGGAAACTATGTCATTTTTATAGCGCTGTCCGAAAATGGCGATATCCTCCTATATACCCTCTGGTAATTTAACATAGCTATTGAAAATGACCATTTATAGTGGATTTTCCCATTAAAAATGGTGATTTTCCATAGTTATGTTAGTTTACCAGAGGGTAGTATATAATCTTATTGGGAAAATGATGCTCAGCCATCATTTTTTTGGGGCTCTACCCTTGTTTTCGGACACCCAGATGTTTTCTGGGTGGATAAAGTCATTTTGGCTATTGCCCCAAAGAGGACGGACATGATATGTCCCAAATGATGCTACAACAGTATGACCATTCTGACCAGTATGAACCTGGTGGATAACAAAACGAGATAAAAGTGGATTCTTATCACACTTAGAAGTTGGTATTAACTGGTGGATTAGCATTCCATTATTATCCCTGGTTGATTATACCCTCTGGTAATTTAACATAACTATTGAAATTTGCCATAGAAATAGTTGATTTACCGATTAAAAATTGTGATTTTCCATAGTTATGTCGGTTTACCAGGCCGGGTAACCATTATTATCCCTGGTGGATTATCACAGAAGTTGCATTATCACAGTTGCGTTGCCCTACCCGTCCCCAGATGCATTTGGCGAGATGAGCTGGATGTCCGCGACACTCGGCGATCACGCGACAGACGTCCATGTCAAGATTTTTTGAGCCCTCTGTCACAAAGGTGTAGTCACTTTTTTTTGCCTCCACTAAACATACAAAAAGCTATGGAGAGATGATCTACCAATGCTGTATTTTCCATGTTTATGATATGTTGATTTACTGGAGGCTACTGCAAGTTTTGTTCTCGCCATTGACACACCTGAAAAGTGGCATTAGCCTTTGGGATCCTAAGATAATAATGTGGTAAACTCAAGAATAAGCCTATAGTGGTTTGGAACATTTTTTATTTTTCCATATATTGGGAACAATAATCCCAATTGACTCATATTTTTCAGAGGGGTAGGCTCAACCACCAACCAGTATTGGATTTACCGTACCGGGGATTCGCATCATCCATGAACTGGGAAGCCCCACTAAAAGCCACTTTTATGATACCCTCTGGTAAACGTTTACATAACTATGGAAAATCACCATGTTCAATGGGAAAACCCACTATACCATTTTCAATAGCTATGTTAAATTACCAGAGGGAAATTAGTTAATTAGTTTGGAATCTTCAGGTTTTTGACATCCGCGGTAAAGTCCATAGTCAACGAACATGATTTTGGCATTTTTTTTTCACGACAACCACTACCATCCATTACCCATTTGCTCCATTGGATGGACTCACCCCAAAAAGTGTCCCACATGTTGCTAGATATACCATGGAGCAGATGGGTTAGTTTCACCCTATCTGGAGGTCTGGTTTACAGAGATGTTTATGGAAGGTTTGTCCCGAGTTATGCATAGATATGTATATATATATACACAGTATACATATCAGAAGGTTTCACTATATATATAACATAATATAATATAATATGATATAATATGAATACTATGATATAATATGATATAATATAATATAACATAACAGAATAAAATTGTATACAATGTGATTATAATTTGATATGTAATATAGTATAATATAAACTAATATAATATGATATATATATATACATAATATAATATAATAGAATAAAATCAAATATAATGTAATAACATATATAATTCATAATGTCATGTAATATCATTTGAGATAATATAATATATAATATAGCAATACAATATAATATAATATAATATGAAATGATATGATATAATATAGTTTAATACTTAATATTATATAATGCACTATTTAATTATAATATAATGTAATATATACTATAATATAATATTATATATAAAATATAATATAATATACAGTAACATATAATATAATATACAGTAACATATAATATAATATACAGTAACATATAATATAATATATAATATATAATATAATATAATCTAATCTAATCTAATCATAATACAATGAAATATAATATAATATAATATAATACAATATAATACAATACATTGTATTGTATTTTATTATATTATATTATCTAATATATATATATGGTAGTAGCCCCCAAAAAGATAGATTCTAGTAAATTCTAGTAAAAAGGGTCGAAACACATCCGCCCTGAGCCCAGGAAGGACAGCTTGAGAAGATCCAAGCAGAGGAACAACACATCGTGGCCGCGCTGGAACGGATTCAGGCCATGGCCACCTGGGGATCACACGGAATGGCATTTTCTTTCAGCCAGTTTTAAAAATAGTAGTCTATAATTATATAATGTTATATAGATATATGTATATGATATATATAAGATATACCGGTATATAGGTACATTATTGTGTTATATATGATATGTGTACAGACTATATATATATAAACACATGGACTATTATCATTTATGGTTTATATTAATGGCTTCACCACGTACTCTCCACCCGGGAGACGCAGCCTTTCGCCGCCTGGCAGGGCGCCTTGGCGGAGCATTCCGCAAAACATCAGGCCCCGAAGCAGCGAAAAATTGGATGAGTTGAACCCACATTTATTTAGGGATTGTCTGAAAATAGGGTATATTCCCAATTATAGCCATTTAATAGGGATAATGATCATTAACCATTGGGCAATATATCTTTGGAATATCCCTATATACCCCCTGGTAAATAAACATAGACCCTGAAAATCACCAATTTTTAGTGGAAACTAATCTTCCAACCCCGACAACTGGCAGGGTCTATGTTAATTTACTGGAGGGTATTTAGGGATTGATTTTCCTTGATACGTGGCAAATTTGGGGAACATTTTAAAATCGGACTTATCAGATTTTCCCCAAATGATTGAAAATCTGAATGATGAATCGGACAGTTGATTTTCCCTGGTTCAACTTATCAGATTTTCGCCAGTTTTGCATCTGATATCATCATTGGTGAATGCGTTGATGTTTCAATTTGGTGCATCTGATGTTTTTCCCAATAAAATGCTTGATTTTTTTAGTTGAAGAAAAGTCTGACTCAAATAAAAACTGACTGGTAGTTTTGTGATCAAGTTAAATGATCCAAATTCACGATTTTCCTGAAACCATGGGCGGCTCCCATGGTTTTCAAGATACATTGAGACTCACTCCAGAAGCATGGCTCAGAATCTTCGGGGACCGAACTTTGGGGTCCAGAAATCTGGTCACTTCGCACCCAAGGATCGTCTTTTGAAGGACGAAGATGTCTTTTCCCACTGTCTTTGATGACAGTAACTACTGGGCTGATCTTTTTCTTCGGTCGATCCACGTTTCCATTCAGAATTTTGAGGTTTTAGATGAACAAATCCACAAAATGCGGCCCCTTTCTTTTGCAGTGCCACTTACTAGCCCTGTGAGTCGGAAACATGGTGTCACCATGAAAATATGTCCAGTAAAGATTAACTCGTCCGCACGTTTTCTTTTTTGGGTGACATTCATCTGACATTGTGTTTATCATTTTCCCAAAGACTTTAATGTGTCATCATTCTTCACTTCGTCATTTCTTCATTTATTTTCCAATCTATTCCAACTGTTTTCCACGCATACGTAATGTTGTTTAAAAAGCACATCATTTGTCATTTGTCCATCATTTTTCCATGATGTTTCCTACATTTTCATCATTTCACCATCATTTTCCAGTTGTTGATTCTCTCCCTGAAAATCACGGGGTTGCTCCAAGCGTAGCTACATTCTCCGCGGGGGAAATGGCTACTTTTCACCTCCTGATTTACCCCATCAGCTACCAGGAGATGCAGCTTCGCCACAGCGAAGCGGAGGCGAAACTTCGAGAGGCGACTTGGACCGGGTGACTTGGTACCGGGCCTGCCGGAGATGAAGAATCCCCTTGATATTTCGAGGGTTAACTGATATTTCACTGGGAAAATTGGCGGATTTGTTTTCTTTTTCCTCAGTTGTAAACGAAGTCATTGAAGATGGTGAACTCTAAGAGACATGCAATGGATGGCAGAACATATCACAGGATTTCAAACAATATTCCAATCAGGGAGCCAATGGGATTGACAATGTCGGAAACCTGTAGCTTCCTTATGACAATAAAGGGAGGCCTGAATCAAAGTTGACCACAATGCTTGGGATTTCTACGTTTGCATTTTCGACAATTTCCCCTGTACAATCATGATTTATTTCATGAGCCTGTTGACTAATGATTAGTTCCAGGGCTTATACCAGGGATCATCACAGTCCATTTCCTGGGACTCTCAAGGACTATATATTGGCGCGACTGTCATTTTTTCCCAGTCATCCAACCATGGTTTCCGGGGGGTGTTTTTGATGGGGGATGGGATGGGAAATGGGGAGCGGATAGAGTAGATAAAAAAGTTTATGGTGACAGATTCATACAACCATTTTAAGATTTAAGCATAATATAAATTGACCTGGATATGGGAAAACATGGGAATCACAGCAATCCAAGATGAGGATTCAATATCCAGTGGTGAAGAGAGCTGTTTGGAGCGATCTGCGTGTTTCATTTTTCCCCCCTCAATGGGGAGCCAAAGAGTTACGACTTGAGTTTCCCAGTCACAGGATTGTAGTTTATTGGTTCATTCATGCAAGGAATTTCCCTAGATGTAACCAGAAAGAAAAGGGTTGAAGACGTTTGTATTTCCTGTCATAGTTTTTCATAAAAATCCCAGTAAAATGTGGGGATTTTTCGATGATTTCCCCAGTAAATGGCCATGATGCTTTGAATCATTTGATGGAATGGAGTTTTTTTGGTATGGTTGGGATTTGACCCTGGGCGTTTCTGGGTCCAAAAAGCGAGTGTTTGGGGGTTATAATCAATGGGACTGCCAAATTGATCTGGATATTATAAATTGGATCATAAATTGGCAAAACATGGGATAGATGTAATTGGATATGCAACCCATATATGGGCTTTTTCGGAGGCCAGATTAAAAAAATCCCAATGGCATTGAGATCCTGAGGGAAATCTCTACGAGATCTACTTGTCCTTTTTTGGACACCCCTTCAGCAGATCCTTGTCTCAAGATGTTACAAAAATGGGTGGCCGTCTCCAGATGTTACAAGCACATCACCATGTCTCTGGGCCAGCTTGCAGCGTTCGGGCTCAAATTTGGCCGCTGAAGAGGGGACTATCCCAGGCATTGCAAATTATTTAAACACCCTTGTGGTGAAGGAATGTTTACCAAGTTTACCTGATGACCTGGGGAAGCTGTGTGCTTCCTGGCCCACTCATTTTGAGAAAAATCCTGTTGTCACTCACCAGCTTTTTGAACTTTACAGGCTTCCCAATCCAGAAAATGCACCACGGAAACTCTCACCGGAGATCCTGGAAGCTCCCCCCACATCCCCAATCATCCCCCTACCCACGTGCAACTGGTGAAGTACACCATCCCATCATAGAGCACCATTTTAAGATCCATTTTCTTGTTGCTTGACGCTTCAGTGAAATCCAAATTCATGTTGCTTCACCCCTTATTTTCCTGCTTCATTCATATTGGCTCCATATGTATATATATATATATCTATGTGTATATATATATACACATATGTATATGTATGTATCAAATGTAGATTATATTATACTACATATACGACCATATACGACCAATATATACATATATATATATGTATATATATATGTATATATATATACACACATCTATACATGTACTCTTAGCTCCATCCGGTTGCACCATCACAGCAAACCGCCATGGCCTCGACGCCATGGCGCGACGTCTCGCCCCACGCGGCGTTTCCGGCGCGGACCGGGCGGCGTTGGAAGATCCGCTGCTGGTGGCGAAGAGTTTGCAGGTGGGGAACGCGATGGTGGCTGATGGGGGCTGATCTCCGGAGTCATCCACGATGGCAAGCTGGGAAATCCACCAACGAAATGCGATGCAAATGGATGTTAATGGTGGTTAATATGGTGGGTAATGGTGGTTAATATGGTGGTTAATATGGTGGTTAATGGTGGTTAATGGTGGTTAATGGATAGAAATGGGGGTTTATAGATAGCTAGGAAAATCACCGAACATGTTTGATAGTGTATCCAGCACGCCATGTTTGATTACCGGAGGGTACCCCAATAGCTGGATGGTTTATAATGGAAAATCCCAATCTAAAATGGATGATGAATGGTTTACTAACCCTCTGGTAATTTGTTACAGTTTGCGAACTGGAAAATGGCCCATTGAAATAGTTGATTTACCGAACTTAAAGATGGTGATTTCCATCGTTATGTTAGTTTACCAGAGGATAATGGGAATATAATGGGACCTGTAATGGTAATATAGGGATATAATTAATGGGAATATATGTGTATATATATATACAATGTAATTGTAGATATGATATAATGATGGGCATGATAATGTGTATTCTAATGAAAATAGAATGATCATATGGGGATATACTGGGAATATAACGATCTACACACAATGGGAATATAACGGTCTAGATAATGGGAATATCATAATTATATGGGATTCTCATGGGAATACACGGGTGATACAATGGCAATATGGGGATATCATAGGAATATCATGCGAATACAATGGGCTATACATGAATATACATGGATATGATTATTTTGGGACCCCCAATGATGGGAGCCTCTTTCCCACAATCTCCCATACGGAATAGGATAGGGGTTTCTTGTGGGAGTACCGGAATGGGGGTTCCATCATTGTCCCTATGGATTCCAATAAGAGTTTCTAGTCTCTATACAGTTTGTATTTCTATTCTAGTTTTTTCTATGGAACCCAGATCACACACATATATATATATGTATATACATATTGGGAAGTTGTTCAATGGGATATACAGTATATATATATATATGTATGTAAATGTATACATAATGACATATGGGTATACCATGAACAGTATGACGGTGTGTGATACCATATGGACATGTAAACTAATTATGATATTATATGGATATCATCCTTAATTCAATATGGGTATACAAACTTCATGGGAACTTTTCATGGGATATATATAATTCACAATCTGATATGTGTGTGTGTCTGAAAAAGGGGGGTACCTGCATATGGCCATCAAAATGGGAAGAGTAAGTCCATCTTTGGACAACACGACTGTCTGAGTTTTTGATTATTTTCAATCCCCATTTGGTGTTTATCATTTCGTACATCCAAAAATTTGGGATGATGTAAAATATAATCCCCAAATCGTAGATGGGGGTGATCGATTGTGGGGTTTACTCCATTTTTTCTGGGTTTTAATGGATCTATAAATGGATCATAGTCAGTCCGAAGATGATGTTTCTGGGCCACGGGTTAGCTGATAGCCAAAAGCATCAGCTAGGTCACCAGGGTACCAGGTGGAACTGACCCGTACATTTCTGTAAACAGCGTAGATTCGCGCTATTGGTAGTTGTATCTCTCTGTCATTGGTAATCTTATCATGTTGATTGGTTTTCCAAATGGCCAAATAGAATGTCATTCCATGTGACTCTCATTTTTTTTTGGTCTATATAGCTCTTCTTTGATTCTCTCCAACATTTGTACTTGAATCTATACAGTATTTTCAACTTGTTGTTGGCTCACATCACAAATACATTTCTTACTTGCCACCCACAATCCGTTCTGGTAATCTAAGCTGGCAATGTGAAATCCATGGAAAACACAGTTTTTTTCGTCCGTGAATCACATCCACTGGTGCTGAAAATGGTCATTTTCGTCAAGTTTAACCTCTCCATCTACCAGGCTTTTCCCATGTTTTTCCCCCCTCTGCAGCCAGATCTCCAGCTGAGGCGCTGGCGCGACGGAGGAGTTCCAACTTGGGCGCATGGAGGGGGCATCTGCAGCGAGCCCAGCAGGTGGCCCACATGGCGGATGCACAGGCGGCAGCGCGAGTGCTCAATGCCTGTAGCAGGTGGGGTAGGGATGGGGTTGGGGGTTGGGGGTTGGGGGTTGGGGGTTGGGGTTGAGGTTAACTTATGGGAGTTATGACTTTATGACCAGGGTTACACCCAGCACCTGAACCGCACCCCCAAGTAGGGATTTGGTTTGTATTTTTTCTTTGAGGGAAGAGTTTTTGGGTGGAAAGCTGGGGTGAGGGTGTGTTTGAGCGTTTTTTTTTGCAGAAACGATGCCACAACGGTAATCACACGTGGCAATGGAAAATCCATCATTTATAGTTGATTTTCCCCTTAAAGCCTCGTAGTGGATTTCCCAGCTAGCCATGTTTGATTGTTGTTGCTGAGCCCCTGTTTTTTGATGACTTAAATATCAATTGAATTCATCCAGCGCAATCGCCCAGCAGATAAGAGGTCTCCTCTACCAGAGCTGGCGAATCAGGTGGCGGAAGCGTACCAGGAACCCTGTGCCAGCGCGCTGTTAAGGGCAATGTTTTTGTTGTATCTCTGGGCATCACAATTACCTCAGATGACCTGAAGGAATAGAGTTTTCTTTGTTCATCAATAAAGGTGATTACAGAACGAGTAGTAGGGCTCTGATCGCTTTATATTTGGGATTGATCCAAAAAAATGCTGATTTCACCAGGGTTCTCCACCATCCACTGGGATTCGCATGAAGTTGGAGACAAGAACTTCCGTGAAGTTCTTGCGATTTCCATTCTTGTTTTTTGTTTTACCAACTGAATGGCAACAGGCTTTGTTTTGCTGTTTTTTTTGATTCCAAGAGTTTTCTGTCGGGACCACGAACAATATACCATGGGGATCGCCGGGATGGGATTGATGACGCAGACCCAAAATCATAGACTCATAGACCCTACGGATTTTTTTAAAGGGCCAATCAGTTACTTAGCCATATACCCTACTATAGATACATACTGGGTTTATATCCACAATATACCCAGTGAATCATATACCCTACTCATAGACCTAAGAAAACTCTTACGTACGTGGGTATATAACGTGGATGATGTGGATGATCACCCATTTACTAAGTCATCCATGATCGTCCATGGTCCAGCTAAGTAGTTTCACCATGATGGCACGACGAGTTTCCAAAACTTACAATGTTTGCCAGATTACCGCAAAATGATGGGAGTATGTTGCGTACTCAGCATCAAAACTGAGCACTCAGTGATTCAATGTGTGTTGTGGGTCATTCCGCTTGGTCGCTCTGGGCCCATCAGGGTATAACCAGCTCTGTTCGTTTGATGCTGGACCCAATGAGTAGCTGCTTCAAAAAAACCCATGGTTCATTTCGCGAAGCCAATGGCAATGATGAAGCCTGGTCTTGAAGATCTATTTCAAGAAATACATTTTCTTGAAATACATGGTAGAATTAGAGACAGTATGGTATGTGGTGTTGGTTTCAAAATGCTCGTTTGTCCCGTTGCACATAGGACACTTTGTCTCCACTAGGGGTATCAAAGCAATTACATGGAAATCAGGGTCAACTATCAGATCCTTAAAGCACCAGCTGATGTTTTTTTGGCTGTGTTGAATGTCCCAATTTCAAATCGCAGATGGAGGGTAAACTGTCAGTACAACTGCAAAAAAACCCACATGGCTGTTCTAAAAATTCGATCAAAACTGGAGCAACCCGAATCTTTTTTAGGCAAGCCCAGAAATTATATGATACCATATTGTTGGTTATATAATTATATATCCATTATGTTCCCCTGATTTGTTGGAAAAAAATATCCCCCATTTTTGGACATAATGGGTCTCTCACGTTTGGCGGGTTTGCATGGTCAGTCCCATTCCTGCCATTCAGTGCCACATATCCACATAAATCCTCTACCTGGGTGTGTCTGAAAATGGAAAAAAAAGGCCCCGGAATTGCAATCTGAACACGGGAACATGAGTTATATGCGTGGACTTAGATGTTTTTTTTTTCCCAAGGTGAAACCACCCAAGTCCAGCTCATGGAGGTTTCCCAAAATAGGGGATACAAAAAAATCCAACTTATATCATACATCATATCATATTGGATATAAGTTGGATAATTAATATAAGTTGGATTATAATCATTATCATATCCAATTAAATCAACTAATATGAAATCCCATGAAATCCCAATTAAATCCCCGTTGGTTATGCCACCCTCCATCTCCTGGGTCAGGAGCGTGCCAGACGCGTGCTGGGCCAAAGCAGCGCCAGACAACTGGCGACGGCGGCGAATGCCATGGCAAGGTGGGGCAAGTCATTGGGCTCCCCGTTGGAGATTCACAATGTCATGTGGGTTATTATGGTTGTTATGGTTACCCTCTGGTAAACTAACATAGCGAACTGGAAAATCACCATTTTTAATAGGTAAATCAACTATACATGGGCCGTTTTCAATAGCTATGTTAGTTCACCAGAGGGTATGGTTATTATAATGATTATCTGGTTGGTGCTTTGGAACATGGCTTTTATTTTTCCATATCTTGGGAAAAATCATCCCAAAGGACGAACTCATATTTTTCACAGGGGTAGGTATACCACCAACCAGTAATGGTTATTATAATGATGTAATATGTGGGTTATGATGATGATCATGATATCAACATTATTGATGATAATGGTTACCATTATAGATTATAATTGATACAATATGTAATGGTTAATGGCTATAATTGATGGTTAATAGCGGTTCAAGCTGGACACCATTGCTTTCATCATCTTCATCACTGTCTTTGAGTCTTTATTTACAATCTTTGTTATTTCAACCACTTTAACTTTCATCATCAAATTTCTTGTTTACCAATGTCATCATTTTTTCACTGACCGTTTGTATCATGTTTATGCAAGATTATGAAATCTTTATCATCCGATCAACCGCTTTACCATTTCGACTATTTTGACCGTCTTGACCATTTTTCACATTTTTGTTGGCAACATGTATAATCTTCGTCATGGTCGCCGTCCTCATCCTGGTCCTCGTGATGGTCGCGATATGTCGTGATCCTTCTCCTTGGACCTTATCATTGTCATCACCAGCAGCATCAGAACTGCTCGGATCACTATCATCCTCATCCTGATTCTCATCCTTATCGAGGTCTACCATGTGCGTGCAGTCATTGATGCTAAGTATAGGAGTACAAGATGGCTCACAGGAGTTTGAGTGATGATTGTCACTCTTTCTTTGGGGGTCGGGTGTGTTCATGAGGTTTGCCCCAGTGGCAGTGAATGAACAGAACGAGGCTGTCTGATTCCTTATTGCGATTTAGCTGGTGCTTGAACGTTGACATCAAATTTGCTTGGTTGCCAGACTGTATGTAGATGATGCGTAGATCAACAGACATGATCTTTGATTCCGAATTGCTCAATGGCCCATTCAGGTACCTAAAATAGAGGTACTGTACCAATAAGGCCATATTTTGTGGGGATATTCCCTTACATAGACCTTACATAGACCTTATGGTAGGTACCTCCAAGTTAGGAACCTGCGTCATGGCCATTGAATTGCTGGCCTTATGAAACGCTCCTTCGGCTGGCCCCTGCTGGGCGCTCTAGTTGTCAGGATGCTCATCCGTGACGAGGACTACATCATGCGGCTCTCCAGGGAGCTCCGTATGAAGTTTGAGCATCCTGGCCTCAGATGGCGGGGACGTTTCGCGCGCTTTTAGCGGGGATGAATACTTTTGGGGTCGCCTTCCCACAGAAAACGGAACACTTGGCAGCCTTGAAGCCGCCGAATGGCGCGCCCAAAATGATCCAACAAGTAGGGCTCTAGCCAACGCACAAGTTGATTTGACCACTCTGTATGGCCCGGCGTTTACAGCCTGTTGGCCGAGACTATTCAATGCTGTGGTGCTTTGGTCCACCAATTTGTAGCGAACTATGACATGGTCAGCTGGAAGAACCAGACCCGCAAGTGTATGCATGCAGCCTTCCAAATAAACGGGGGCATTCCCGGCCATGTCAAATGGAATGCCTCTACGTGCTCCTTCCCTGGTGGAAAACAACTGTTTTGGTGTTTCTGGTGGCATTGCTTTGTGGCACGGTTGGGAAGCGGAAAATGTACATGTATCATTCAATGTAGTGTTTTCACTTTTGGCTAAATGGTTTTTACTCGCATGTCAGCTTTGCAGGGCGCGCAATGCATTCATCATTGATCATTCACCCACCGCCGGTGCTCAGGAAGTGCAACACGTTTCAAGCATCGTTGATTGCCAACTCCTATGTTCGTTTGATGGTGGTGGAGAGGAACGGCAGCCACATTGAACATCTGGAATTGCTTGCCCCATTGGCCCAAACTGCTGACGGTTGAACTCAGTGCTTCTACTTTTTTTTTACATGCTGGAACTTGCATCGTTTCGATGGTCAAATTGGCCGTAAGGTAAATGGCTGACAGTCAGGTGAAGGATTCACCCAAACCCGCTTGACATTATAGATTTAGTGTGTGTGTCCTTTCCAATCGCACACGAATTTTGTTGTTTCCCATCCTATTTGGGGTGTCAAGGTGCCCGCTGTGCAACCCATCGTAGAGGACCCTTTTCGGACAACTGCTGCCGGCGTACGCGAAAACCCACGGTCATCGTTTCCGTGTCAAGGACAGTCAGCTCAGCCAGTGCGGCTGGGAAGGGGTGGAACGGGACGAACAAAACTGCTCATTGAACTGCATGAGTTTCATGTTTTTAGTTATGCCTGCTTGAAATGGTTGGGCAAGAGCACCTGGGAACATGTCGGCTCCACGTTTTTGGATTTTTGTTTCATTTTTTTCCAGAATGGGTGTCCACAACAATCCGCGTCACATCCAAGTAGGGTACGGCCAACAAACATTGCCTGGTGCAATGAGGATTTGGCTTTGGTCTTGCACGCCTATGCCAAGGTGGGGATCGGCATAAGCAAAACATGGCAGAACGACGGTTTCTGCAAAAATGTTGTGGTGAAATGAAGGGAAGGCACAGATTTTCAGTGTTTATGTTCTATCTTGCGGTTGAAACTGATTGGATCCAGAAATGCACTTGGACATGTTTTTTTTTTACAAAACAGGTTGCAGAGAAAATTCAATCATCGGCGATTGAGTCCTTGGATGTTCATCGAAAAAGATGGATGTCAACCAGCCAACTGTTACGTCATAGTTCGTGAGTGGTTTGGGTTGGTCTGGAATGGTGGGGATACCACATAGTGACAACATTCCAAGCCACCCAAGCCACAAATCAATTGATCTGGAATCTGGATAAACTAGAACGACCTCACTTCGACATATCACTGGAGCGATGCGAATTGCACTGGTAACTATCCCAATAGAAGCAACCATTTCAGGTTAGTGCATAAATGTGGTCTATCCAGATCTGATTTTTTTTCATGGTGTTCAAGGGCCATTCTCGAATGCCCATTTGATACCTAAACTTGACTGGTTGGTGTTTTTTTTTTCTATTTTTCCATATATTGGGAATGATGATAATCCCAACTGACGAACTCATATTTTTCAGAGGGGTAGGTATACCACCAACCAGATGGTAGCTTGCCGTGCCGTTGCTGGAGGCGCAATTGCGGAGCAGCGCCGTGTTTGAGCCTTGGTGGCACTCGGTGGATCCGACGTGGTTGCCATATGTTGCCATGGAGCACGTGGGCCATGGGGGTGTGTTAAGCCAAAATGAGGAGTTTCTCCAACAAACATAGAATTGAATTATGGGAAAATTTACAGGAAAGCCCTATATTTGATGGTAAAAACCATGGTTTCCTGTAATTTTTCCCTTAAACCAATCCAGTGAAACAAACATGGCAATTTCAATCTGCACAAGTCCACCAACCAACAACCAGCAAGACTGATGTTGAAGCAAGCAAAACTGCTCAGATGGGCCGTAGGATTAGCTATTTGCTTAGTAATTTGGGTTATAACCAACAACATCCCCGATTAAAACCCATTTACTAACTAGGTTAAGTAACTCCAAGACCCATTTAAATCATTTCAGTGAGGATGTTAGCCAAAAAGGCCCTTTTCCCGGTGGTGGGTTGATGAATAGAGGCTTTCCCCACAACTAGATGACTTAAATGATGATATATACCAAACCGTCCCCGATTTGATTTTTCCCACAAGGACAATATGAGTTTGTCTCAAAATAGGGTTTACTCCCCAACATGCCGTTCTTCTAATGGTGATTGACATTGATAAACCATCAATTATAGGGGTACCTATTTTCAGACAAAATCCATATTGACGTCGATGGGATTTGGTCATATTTTGTCAGCAGTTTGGAAAAATTGGGTCAATAATACCAAAGCTAATATTCCTCCAAACATAGCCATGGTATAGATGGCCCATTGAAATAGTTTTTCTTTACCAAAAAAAAAGTGGTGATTTTCTATATCTTTAAAGGTTATCTCTGGTTATATACCTAAAAAGATAAAGAGATATAACATGGCCATACTGGTTATTAAAATGGTGATTAAATCACCAGAGGGTATCTCTTTATTTTTTCCCACAACAAGCCATTGATGTTGCCGTGGCCTCCTGACCCCCGTGGCCCGACCAGGAGGCCCTGGCTGAACGCTGTCGAGAACAAACGCCCCACATGGATTGCCAGGTGAGGACCGAGTTTGAGGGGGATGGATCAAGATGTTTTCGGGACGTGGAGAATTCTTAGGTTATTCGAATTACTATTGGATCAATATATTTATTGGATCTTACTTATTCTATATATATATATATTCTATATATATTATTATTCTAGTTACCATCGTTATAATGATGATACTCTTGTTTTTTGATGTCAACTATCGAAGTTTGGTGTGTTTTTACAACTGGGAGATCATGGGTTTCATGAGGACATTCTGCTGGCGGATTTTTCGAGTCAGCCGTCCATTCTGCATGTCTCATAGACGGTCTGGTGGAAGATGCTACTTTTGAGTCACTAAAGGCACAGGCAAAAAAGAAGAAACTACAGGTATCTACAGGTGCTTCTACGGACCATGAGAGTTTAAGCACGTGGGCAAAGGAATGAAATCCATTAAGCAGAGTAGGACGCACGAATGGGTCAAAAACAATTTTCTTTTTGCATGTAAAATGTCACTACTTGGTCAGAATACCAGTATGAATTAGACAATGGTTGTGAGTGGCTTGCCAAACATTCAGCTAACCTCATGGGCTATCCACATCCGGTCAACCTATCGTAGTCATTGGGTGACATAAATTTTGCATCCTAGTGTATTCATGTTCATTCAATAATTAATGGTATAATTAATGGCATCTATAATAAATGGTACCATGAAAATTATTAGTTGGGCTATCCTTCAGCAGCTGTTGGTAAAAAAAAATGGTCTCCACTGACTCCACTGATGGGCTGCCGGTTGGTTGAAGGTCACATTTTTCAATTGTTCCCCCGCATGGAGCTATTCAATGCCCCAGGTTTCGTTTCGGGGGTAGTTCATATTTGGAGGAAGGAAAATTGTTGCAGTTTATAAGCCAACATTTCTTCAACATGGCATGTCAAATTGTTGGAGCTCAACCTTTCAGGTGCAATCCAGTCATTTTAAATGTCGAATTCTACTGATTCATGGCTTATGAACAGTTCCAAGGATACTTTTTAATGATATGTTATAATAAAATAGATGTTGGTAAGCATTACATATACATATACCGTTCCCCTAAACACTGGTGATCAATGCAACTGATATATCAACACTTTCTATGAACATGCTAATGATATAGTCCATGATATAGTGATTGATCACATACAATATCTCACATATATATACATATTGACGATACATTCCACCATATGTATAATGACATTATGCTATACCTTCATAATATGATATAGTGATACATAAAATGGTATAGTGATATATGGTTATATGGTTATATAATTTTCTTTTACTGATATATCACTATAGACTATAGCCATGGTAAAAATTAATAACATATATGGTTTATATGATAGTCATGTAGATTTTGTAACATATCAGGGTATCAACAGTTTACCATTATACGGTAATGAATGATTTATTATATTGCACATACCATATTTCAATATATTTAAATATTTATCACCACTGTTGAGTGGTGATAGACATGTGGTATATCATTACTTAACAATGGTACTTAACAACAGGTGTTACGAGTTGAACACTGGTTAACAATGGTATTACTTAACAATGGCATTTCACAATGTGTGATGTGTTGATGAACATGTGATATCATATAACCAATGAGTTCAGCACATCGCATGTTTATCATCACATCACCGCTGTTGGATGATTACCATCATCCTCCCCAAAGGCCCTCAGCGTCATCGCTGCGGCGCACGCTAAGCTGCTGATTAGCGACGAAGCGCTCTTCCAGGTCGTAAGAATGGTGGAGCGGAGCGAGCAGATTCTGTGAAGAGATGGGAAGCCATTGGTGAACATATTGGAACATATGCTTCAAATATGTTGAGCACGGGACATTTCACTCGCAAAAAGGGGGATTTGATTTGACCATATTTAGCCAATGAAAAAGGATTTGGTGGCTGATACTGGTATTACTAGGGAGGTTAGCTGGATGGAACAGAGCCATAGGCCATACACTTGAGATTTTTAGCATCTTTTTGGATCAGATCTTTTTACCGGTTATCCCACCAAAAACTGAACTTGAACAGGGGACCAGCAAACCACCAGCTTAGGCAACAAACTGTGGAGAGTTATCACTTGTCCATCAAATATAAGGATGTATGTATAATATGTGTATATATATATACATATGTCATATGTGTATATATATATGTATACATGCATATAGTTGACCTAGACATGTGGGAGGTTCAGCAACACAAGATCAGTGATTTCATGAATTAAAATATAGATTTTAAACAACAGCATGTAGAAATTTAACAATCAAACACAAATGAATTTAGTCATCAAAAATATGACGTTTCAATGAGCCAGAACAGCGGATTTGACCAGCGGAACATAGGAATTTGACCAACACAACTTTTGGATCTCAAGCACATGTTTTCCTCTAAAACACAGTACATGGGGATTCGAACCGATTCGAATGGCGGATCTTGATGTGAGAAAAAGGAATACCATGTGCCATGAAGGGATTGACAGGAATACCATGTGCAAAAAAAAAGACATGGGGTATGGTTCACAATCTGCAAAAACTGGCGAGCATACCCGAGACATGGACTTCAATTTGACGGTTAAAAGGATTGGATGGTTTAAACGTGAATAACGTATCCCACAAAAGTCACACTTATCGCAGATGATCAACAAACTGGCAGGTTAAATGTGAGTTGCTTCACCAGAATTATATAATGGTTGGGGCTTATGAGTTCAACAAAGCACCAACTTGTCCAGACCCCAGATGACGATCCGCTCTGACTTTTCAGCACGTGTTGAAACCACCACCGATCCGAACATGTTTGGTGGTAAAATCTATCATATCCTCCAACAAATCTAGTGAAAACATCGAACTTTCAGCAGAATATCAACAAACACAACCTTATTTACCCTCTGGTTATGTCAAAATAGCTATGGAATATGGCCCATTTATAGTGGATTTACCCATTAAAAATGGTGGATCTTTCCAGTTCGTTATGTTAGTTCCATTGAAATTGCCCGAAAAAACTGGGGCTTTCATCAGCGGTGGATTTCACCCAGATTTCCGCGTCAAACGCCAGACGTTGGCTTGGCGTTTGCGATCCTGCGCGCGCACGTGCACCTTCCAGGTGCAAATGAGGGTAGCCTATTTTTCCCAAGCACAGGTGAAGTTGGTGAAGTTGGTGCAATTTTTTCTGGGTTACGTAGGGGTATGGTAAAAAGAACTACAGTTCGGTGGATCTTTTTGGACACCGATCCTTGGGCCACCACCGAGGATTTCGAAAGAAATGTGAAGGGACCCCCTTTTTTTGTCATTCAACTTATTGGCCATTTTTGACAAGGCGAAACCAAGGGTTTGTGATTTAAACCAAGGGTTTGTGATTTTTGAGGTGGCCCATTATTGATGTATGAAACCAACCTGAGGTCAATTGCCAAGTGTGCCATTTTCCATGGAATATGGATCCCTCAAGTGCTAGATGGATGAACATCCCCTGTAGACTCCTCAGATTTGTTTTGGTATGTGAAGAGCATATTTGTCTTCGAGGTGCTACCACCCAATGAAATGTTTGCTGGCTTGTAAGCCCCATGACAACTAGTTCTATATATATAATGTTATATCTCTACCGTAACCAATAGATTCATGGTTCAACCAACTTAACATTTTGGACGGGTTGGTATATCTACCATAAACCACACTTCGTCCTACAATGTTTTTTTTGGGGCCCACCTTGATTTGGATTGACCCAAGCCACACATGGGGGAAAATTCTGCAGAGGCCGTGGCAAATTTGGCCAATGCCTATGCAAAGTTTGGCTTCCAGAGCCCTGCCTTAGCGCCTCAGGCCGGGTGATTTTCGCAGGGATTTCACGGGAGTTCCCCATGGGAAAATCATCGAAGTTCACGTGGGAGGTGATCAAACATTGGATGTTAGACCCAGTCTTTTTTTTGGGATGGGAATGAACCCATGTTCAGTTCGGGATACAGCCATGATGTTTGGATTTCTATGGGATGGATGACCATTATGCAGTGACTCTAGCACATATATGCAGATATGATGTTTAATGTGTTTGACCCCTAGTCATGACTTTCATTCCTTTCTTGCAGGAGAGGTGAGCCCAGTAACTTAACATTCTGTGAAGGAATCTTTGAAATCATCCGAATGAATCTATGTTTCGGGGTATGGGGGCCTAGCCAGTGAAGCAGCCCGAGGATGGCCAGTGCCCTGAACTGCCCAAATCAACCATTTGGGTGTCACCAACATTTCTGCAGATGTGCCGGTGGGTCAAGAGTTACACTTTTTTTTTTGGGGGGGATGAACGACATCCAGTTGCAAGTTATGTTGATGTGAACATCAGCATGGTGGTTTTGATCCATCCTCACAAAATCAACCAGTTGGTGTCCATTCACTCATTTCCTTTTGTTCAGTTGGGAGAACCACATATCATATTCGGTATCCCCAAAAAACAATCAAACCAGATATATTCCAAGTCAACATTGAATGTCTGTCACCTGAAATACCTGATATGAACCCACTTAACTTAATGTTTGATTGTTGGTTATTTATATCAGTTATATCCCATATTATCTGAATATATACATCCTATATGATATTTCCATGATATCCCTGCCTTTTATAAATCCCTATTATTTCCCATAATATTCCATTTAAAAATCGTACTTATCCCCATTACATTTCCCATAAAATTCCAATGATATCCCATAAAATCCCACTAAAAACATTTTGTTCATTTATTCAACTCCTCCAAGATCCCATGTTTGTTAGTTATATCCCATCATCTTTCATGATATTTCCATGATATCCCTGCGAGGTAGTCCCCATGGCTTGTGCCAGGCGTTGCAAAGCGACAAGCCGTGGACGTGGAGCCCGAGCTCGGGGGCCGTGGGCATCACCGACGGCGTCTTCGATTTGGTTCTGGAGGAGCTGCCGAGGCCGTTGGAAAGTCGTCAGCAAAGCGTGAAGCCAACTGCCCAGGGCTGGTTGGTGGTGACTGGAAATATATGACATCGGCAGGTTGCTTGATCACCAGGCTAAGCTAGGATTTATTCGGGTTAGTGATCCCAACATGACCTTAAAATTTTCAGGTTAGTGAGTTAGTACTGGCTGGTGGTTTGGAACATGAATTTTATGACTTTCCATTCAGTTGGGAATGTCATCATCCCAACTGGCGAACTCCATCATTTTTCAGAGGGGTAGGTATACCACCAACCAGAGGGGATTGGCCCCAAGTTGAGATTGTTTATTTGAGAAGACCGTCTACGCCTTGATGTTTGTTGTTTTTTTCTGGCGAAATCCACAGCGTTGAGTGATGGATCAGCCTCTGGAAACTTGAACTGACAATGGAACATATCCGTCTACATAAGTTTATTGATGATCTCTCAAGACAAATTGGCCCGACCACAAGGAAGCCCCACCTTTAGGTATATACGCACAGTATATAATAGTATATAATATATCTCATTCATTGTTGGTAATTTTCCCCATTTTTTGCCAGCCCATTCTACCCATTGATTTTCATTTTGATGGTTTTTCATGCACATTTTATCCCATCATCACTGGTTCATATTCTCTATTTCCATTGCTCTCTGACTGCATCTCAGCCCCGTCCGAGTATGCAGGCTGTTGTTGGACAGCAACGCCCACAGCATCGTGCTGCTGAGCCACGCCGCGGCGCGGGCAGGCAGCGGTCAGGAGGGCTAGTGCCAAGATGCAATCTAGGCGTGTATATATAACTGCCATAGATGATGATTCATGTTGGGTGAGTGATCCCAACATGACCTTAAAAGTTTCAGGTTAGTGAGTTAGTACTTGTTGGTGGTTTGGAACATGAATTTTATGACTTTCCATATATTGGGAAACATAATCCCAAGTGACTAATATTTTTTAGAGGGATTGAAACCACCAACCAGTATATAACTATACATGTACTACGTACATAGATACGGTAACGACATTTGAAATCATTTAAATATGTGGGGGGCGGGCCAGACAACAAGGCCCTGAGGTATGATGTATGTTTCAATAACTAGGATTCCGTATGTTTTAATGGCCGGTCGGGCCAAGGAAAACCTTGCCGGAGGTAGTCTAAAATACCACTTCGTATATTTTAAAGATCCGCACATTTAGATGTAGTTACCATATACATGTATATATATATATACACACACATTTATGTACATATGAATTTATCATATCAAGACCGATATGATCCTGCTACCGACATAATCTGCAAAAATGGGGGTTTTGCCCATTTTGGCCAAGTCTTAGAAGGTCAAAACCTCCAGCAACACTTCTGCAATGGCTGGAAAATTCCCATTTACTTGGATATAAAGGGAGACTGTCCACTGCCAAGCTTAGATAACTTAGATCACTAGGCTACTCCTCCAGAGAAAAACAACTCCCACTATTTATGTTGGGCTGAACTTTTCTTTTTCTTTTTTCTTTCCAGGGGTTACATCCAGTAGCTTTTCCAACGAGGATGAACATCCACCAGACATAGGTTTTGATCTGAGAGCTGAACAGGTGAATAGTGAATATCCCCGAGGTTTGATGCTGAAGATCCTATAACCACTACTTTTCACTGTTCAAGTCCAATTGTTTGAGCGAATCCCATTTAGCCCAGCTTCGGATTTACATTTTGCCTAACCTCCATTTATCTTTTGAGATAATGAAATCCATTTTTCGATGCTTAGAATGTCACACTCCCCCAAAATTGATGGTAACATCTCGGTCCCTCAATTCTTCAACGGAACACAAAACAACAATCCACAGAGGACAAATATGGAACATGTCAAATGTCCAGAACCATCAGCTTAGCAACCATTTTCCAAACAATTGTATAGAATAACGAGATCTCCGGTTTTATATCCACACATTTCCATCAGCTTGGAACTCAACCCCAATTTGGGTTCATCTCAATAGGTTGAAATATGTTATAGCACCCCCCAGCAAGAAAGATAGAACAGTAAAATCCTACTAACAACATATTGATATATATATATATATATTGAACCTTTTCTATCGACCTTTGGGGGTTCCTATAAACTCGCCTTGGTGACGTTAGATCCCCTTATATAATTTCCATCAACTTCCACTCATTTCCACTAAATTCACAGTAGTTCACATGGAATACCCAAATGGTGAAATCCCTCAACAGCTACCCAATTCGACGAAACTCCATGGTGAAAGCCCATGAATTCCCTTTCATTCCCAGCAAATTTCATCAAAGTTCATGGTGAAATCATGTGAAATCCCATTACCCTCTGGTAATTTGACATAGCTATGGAAAATGGCCCAGTCGAAATAGTTGATTTACCCATTAATAGCATGGTGGATCTTTCCATAGTTATCTTAGTTTACCAGAGGGTAAATCCCATTAAACCACCATTAAACCACCATTAAACCACCATTAAACCACAATTAAATCCCCATTAAATCCCATTAAATCCCATTAAATCCCACTAAAATCCCATTAAATCCCATTAAATCCCATTAAATCCCACTAAAATCCCATTAAATCCCACTAAAATCCCATTAAATCCCATTAAACCACCATTAAACCACCATTAAACCACCATTAAACCACCATTAAACCACAATTAAATCCCCATTAAATCCCATTAAATCCCATTAAATCCCACTAAAATCCCATTAAATCCCACTAAAATCCCATTAAATCCCACTAAAATCCCATTAAATCCCACTAAAATCCCATTAAATCCCACTAAAATCCCATTAAATCCCACTAAAATCCCATGTTTCCGATCCCCAGGGCAACACCACCGCCTGGCGGCGCTGCCGCAGCGCCTCGCCTCCGCGGCGCAGCCAACTCTGCCGTGCTGCGATGGCGCGCAGTGCCGCGGAACAACGGCGCGCATGGTAGCGGATGGGTAGCGATGGTCACATCGACATAGGGATAAACCGCGGATAAACCGTGATCACTAGTAATATACATACATAGTTTTCGTGATCAATAATATGATTCATGATTAATATGGATAACATATGTTATGATAACAAATAATTCTATATATCATACCTGAAGTACTGTATACAAGAACATATCTGAATAGCACGAATATTATGGCATAGTCGATGGTGGTATATGATTGAATATGATTGACGTTTTATGGCATATTGTTGGGTGATTTGATGGTGTTATAATGACAGCATGCAGCCCCTGATCACACCAGCCCTGGTCACTCAACAGGAGGCTGTGGCCTCCGCCCCCAGTTTCCATGACATTTGATTCTGGACAGTGGCACCTGGACCCCATGCAGCTTCTGGGGCTGGTGAAGAGCGCCAACCTGGAGCATGGGGATGCCATGGACTGCGCCAGCCACATTCTGAAGCACGGCGGGGAGGACGGCATCCTGTCCTTCGTGCGGAAGCTGCTGGATGGCTTGCTGGCAGAGGAGCCGGCGAAATATCTGGTGGAGCTGAAGGACGCTGGGATGCCCCAGCCGCTGAGAGCTTCCGTTCAGCAGGCATGTCGTCCCAACATACCGTGAAGGTCGTACGGTTTCAGTTTGGAATATTGGAGAGGATGGTATACCGGATGCTTTGGTTAAGCTTTGCTTGGTTGTGGCCGCCCCCCAAAAGATAAGTATTGAAAAATAGTATTGAATTGTAAGACTAGCTGTCAACATCAGTTCATCTATATGAGCGATGTTATGACACTGAGTATAATAGATACATGAAATGTGTGAAACTACACTTCTTGGACCTTTTCCAATTTTTCATTTACTGTAGGTACATTTGCTCACAGACGCGCTTCGTGTGAAAACACACATTGGAAAAAACAGCGACTGACACAGTCACACCAACCCCAGGTCGATTCTGTGCTCGTGAAGGGCTCCGTTTCAGCAGGAGATTCAAAAACCTTGCCATTCGCATCGCTGACGCAGCCATCCGTGGTGGTAAACCTTGCTTTTGAGGCCGACGAAAACACCACGTTTGTCGTCAATGTTGGTGACTTTCTGCAGGTCACTGGTGAGTGCTCGCGCCGTGAGCGGCACACAGAGTGGGATGATCTTTTCGATGATTCCCCCAAGAGGGGTCCATTCCTCGAAATTGCAGATCTCCGGAGTGGAATGGAGCCAAAGGTACAGAGTGAGTGCCGTGCACTGTGGGATGGGCCGTCGTCCCCTTGTGATTTGAAAATCCACGTGGATTCTATGGCGGGGCACGTGTCCACGCAAGTGCTGGCCTCCAGCAAAATCCTTCTCAGCGACAGGCGTGAGCATCATGATGGGGTAGCAGCCATCAACTTGTTGAAGCTGCACTGTACTGAAGGTTCTTTGCGGCACGTTTCCTGGAGTTTCTCTGTTTCGGGCGTGCCTCACACTGGGAAGTCTTCTCCTGGTCCCAGCGCTTTGTTGCCAGTGCATCCCAACTTCATGCAAGGGCGGTGTGACGAAGATGTTCCGAAGGTCATAGACATGTTCACACCAACACTGGTACAAAGGGATTACGCTTCCGGCCTCATTGAAAAATTCAGGCAGGAATGGCTCGGTAACATCCAGCCTAGTGGTGGCCTCAAAGTTGTGGATGTTGTGCTTGTTGGGTCTGCTGCTGTGGGGACGGCGCTGAAAAAGAATTCCGATCTTGACGTGTGCGTTATCTTCAACAGCGGAACACATGCAGAAAGGCTCTCTGCTTTGAGTGCGTTGGCTGCAAGCTTTGTGAAGAGCCATCCTGACTTCATGGTTGGGGAGGCCGAGAAAGTGGTGACAGCACGTCTGGACACCCGAGGGGTGTTCCGCCTGCCACGAGAGGCCTTTGCTGCAGCGCTAGGTGGTACCGAAGCCTATCAGATTGTCACCATCCAGGACAAGTACAACTGCTCCATAGACTTACTCCCGTGCATTCCCGTGAATTGTGTGCCCAGGGAGTATCAGCCTCAGATGAATCTGAGTGCCAATCCTGCAAAGGTTGCTTTCTTCCAGTCCCTGCCTGAAGCAGCTTGCCAAGCAATTGTGCTCCTGAAGCTGTGGTCATGTGGCGCATCTGCAAATGAGCTGTGCCGAGTCTATGAGAATGCGGCTGAACGGCGTTGGCCGCTGACAGACTGCAAGCTGAAGATTGCTGGATACCCGTTGTCAGTGCTTGCGGCGGCTGTCTGGGCTGGAAACAGGGACGCTGGCCTTGATCCCTCCCCTTCCCGCATTTTGGTTGATGTTCTGGCTATACTTGCATCTAGTGTGTCCAAACCACTGCTAGTGCTGCGGAATGGTACAGCAACATCTGCCGATGGACCTGCTACCGCCACGGAGGTCTTCCACCAGCTGGGAGTGAGGAGAAAGACAGAGCTTGAACCATGCATCTTTGTCCAAGATGCATTTTATGATTGCTTGTTTTTCAAGGTAGGCCCCATGCCTTTAGACAAGATCCGAAGGCAAGCTGCTTCAACGTTCTTCCGAATTTCGACCACCTGCGACCTTGGCAGATCATTTCGCTGGTCCAACATTCTTGCATCTGGAAGCTCTGAGCACGAAGATGCTGCCATGATGCCGCAGAGGTACAGCCAGATATCTGGTAGAATGAACCAATTCGCTGGTTTAACCACCAAGAGTGTGTGCCCCCGACGGCATCCCTTGACACAAATTCATTTGGCAAGGCCATCTCGGTGCCATGAGTGTGAGACAGTCGTTTTCGGCGAGGAAGGCGTCATGTACGGATGCCCAAGTTGTCCCGGGCCCTTCCAAGTTAGATTGTGTTCGCGTTGCAAAGAAAGTGACTCGGAATTGCTGCTGGAACCATCTATGGCTGACCTCTTGCGGAGCCATGCTGGTATTCTTGACTTCGCTGCATCTATGTTGGCTGAGTTGGCTTAGAGAATACTGTAGGGAGCGGCAGTGCATTGGAGAAAGTAGACTCGGAATCTGGAGCCTGATGTCTCGATTGGAAAGATTCCTTGATGGCCCAGTCCCACAAACATCCGCAATGTTAAATATGTTAGAGTTGAGTAGAGTCGTAGGCTTGGTTGAACCTTGGTTTTAGTTTATGCTCCTGGGCCAAATCAAAAGACATTTATGTTTCTTTCAGGACGGCTTAGATATACTACTATCAACTTCAGCATCTTGGAGCACATCGATTTGTCGATTATGGTCAGGGTGCATGATCCTCTCTCAGGTGCCCAGATGTAAGTGGTGTTTCATAAATGCGTGTGACTGCAGCTAGTGCATTCGCCAGATGGCCAAAGAAATTCCCCATGTCCACGATCTCGAGCAGAACGGCGAACATAGAAGTCATGCTGATGGCATACAAACAACACATATTGATAGATATTGATAGTAACCCTCAAAGGAACGTCATGCTGATGACATACAAACATAGTAAATTTTCCTGTTTGTTTTTTTGATGGCTTTCATTAGTTTGATGACTGACTCACGCAATTCGTTCAACACTTTTAGGCATCCAACTATTCCAAACCAGCAAATTTCTAAATGATCCCAATATCCTGGTTAGTACTATCCCAAATTTCAGATTATTATCCCAATTATTCTATGTTAGTTGAAAATTATACCAGCATATTTTCAAGGCCCTTCCGAGAGTAGCTGTCTTCCAAGGTTGGGGATGCTGTCTGTCGCCTTCGCCGAGCTCTGGCCGTTGGATCCCTTGGATGGGGAGAACGAGGCGATCGAGAGAGATCGTTCTGGTGGTACCTGGGGCAGGGATACCCTCTGGTGAACTAACAGTTTGCAATGGAAAGATCCACCATTTTTAATGGGAAAATCCACTATCAATGGCCATTTTCAATTGCTATGTTAGTTCACCAGAGGGTACTAAAGCTGATCGATTTTTGTTTTTTTTTTAAATGGGGAATCCCCAAAACCATGGGTTTCAATACTAGAATGGTCTATATAATTTTGGATGATTTGGGGGCACCCCTAGGAAACCTCCATTTGATTCATTTGACAGATGCTTTGTTGGGACATTCTCCGATTTACCCTGTGGGAATCTAACCGTTTGCCATGGCAAACGATGGAAAATGGCCAGGTTTCATAGGTACGTCTCTAAGCCATTTACACGTGAGTAATTTTCCACAACCATGTCACAGGTTGCAACAGGAAAATGATAATGTCCATAACTATGTTAAATTACCCCACATAAAATTTAAATCACAATATCAACCTACCCTTCACACATCTTTACTCAGGCGTGGATAAAGGCGCCCGTCCTTGGTCTATGTTGCACCTTCAAAATATATGAGTGACGGTAAAATGGTTGAACACCACTCACTATAGAATTGCAGAAACCCTTTTGTCAGATGTGCATGAAACACTGCAAAGCGATAGGGCCCCCTTCCAACAGGGACAATGGCACAAAACACTGGAACGTGATACCCAAAAAACGATAACCGATAGTAAATAAGACAATAGCAACTACTGAGATGTAAAGGATTGTGATGGGAACTCATATAGATATACCTGCCAGATCCTGCCAGAAATCCAAGCGTTAGCCTATAAAGCAAGTTACCAGTGTACGTGGCCCCTTCATGTGGTTGGTTGGGTTTTGATTGCCTGGTTGATTGGTGGCCGATGTATCAAGCCAGGATTCTAAAATAGCAACCAGTTGAATTCATTCGGGTGGTCCCCAAAATAGTGACTATTTTAGTATCACCCACAATGTGGGCCCCCCCAGTTGTGTGTTGTTGGTTTATATTGGTTTATAAACGCCAGTATCTATAGTTGCAAGTACCACAAACCATAGTGAAATTGGAATTATTTGCACCAACTTAGCTATCGCAAAGTGGAGCCCCACTTTGCACAATCCTTCAATATATATATATATACATATCATATATCATATATATATATATAAATATGATATATATATATCTATCACCCATGATCCTTCCATTCGTTTCCTTCATCCCTCCAGTTCACCCATCAGGCCTTTTGGTTGGCTCTGGCCGAGGCGGCCGCCGCCAAGTCTTTGGCTGGCCAGCTGAGCGCCGCAGTAGCTTGGCGAAGGTTCGGTCAACCAACTGACATTCATAAGCTTAATTTATGGATTAAATAAGTTAAGTAACTAGGTTTAGTAACTAGGTTTTAATTAAGTAGTTAATTTATGTCACTTTACGGGTTTAGTAAACTTAGTGAAGTATAATAACTAGGGTTAAAGAACTTTCTGGTTAAAACGAGGAGCTAGGGTTAAAGAAGTAACGTATTTAAGAGGCCATAAGGTTGGTGTACGCCTGGGGTTGTTGGTGATTGTACTATATCGTAACATATCGTAACTATAATGAAATAAAAAGGTTTTGAGTTTTGACTGACAAATCGATGGAGTTCACCCATAAAAGAAGAATTTGTTTGTTTGACTTCGCAAAAACGTGATTCAAAAGTGGGAGTCGAAAAAGAAGGTCTTTGCCAAAGGAACATGATCAAATCGGGCATGAAACCAATGAAACCTAGCGAAATTGAGGGTTTACCCATGAAATGTGATGAACTATGGGGATGCAAGAAATAAAGAACTGGAGTTTGAAGACAAAACAACATCATTATGGTGATTTTGAGATTATTCAAGGCCAAAAATAGATAAACATAGGCTTAGCAAGTCCCTTGATGGAATTGTTCAGTTCAATTCCCGGGATGGTCCCAGGGTAGCGGAAGATTGGGTGCCACGACTTAGTGACTTTCGATTGAAGGGATTCATCCCCATTCCCAGTAGTTGCAATGATATACAGTGTACATATATATTATATATGTATAATATATATATATATATGTATGTATTATATATATATACAAAGACCCACAATGATTGTGGGCTTTATCAAATCACATTCCCCGTTTTTTTTTGTTTTATTTCAGTAAGCATGCCCTCTTGAAAAGGACAACAACTCTATCCACCGTGTCAACTCATTTTCTTTAGGTACTGCTGAATCTCCTGGTATATAACACTAAAATTCCCTATTAAACTTGTAATATTTGGAGTAGGCATATTAATGCACACACACACAAATCCATTCTTCGTTGTTTCAATGGCCAGATCACAATTTTTCATGGTTGAATCGCAATTTTTCACTGTTGTTGATGGTAAAATCACTGTCTTTCACGCTTCACCACGGTTCACTAGCAGATGAACCCCCCATTGAATCCCTGTTATTCCAGTGGTATGTCACAAGCTACCAATACTATGAAGATTATTTGGTATAACCGTATAACCAGTAATAAACCACACGGATATACCACTATAGTCGTCTCCAAGAGAATAGAACAGTAATTTCCTACTGGCTTGATGATTTATTTTTTTTAGAAATCTTTTCGGGGGACTATATACCAAATCTGTACCCATAATATCCTTGGTTATCCTGTGGTATTTTAACAGTCTGCTATGGACATTCATTTTCTTTGATATAACATAAATCATCGAACGAAAAAAGGGCCATTTTCCATAGGGTCAAAGTACCAGAGGATCCATATCTACGGTACCACCATCCATAGTATACCACCAAATATAATATATGAAGATTGCTACAATGTGGGCTTCCCCAGTTGTGTTTGTTGGTTTCTAAACCAACACGTGAAATTGGAGTTTTTTTCGTGGCCCCCAACTGAAGGTTTTCGTGGCCCCCAACGGGACCCTTGCGAAATCCCAAGTCTTTATGCTTAAATCACCATTTTTCCATCATTTTCCATCATTTTCCCATCATTTTCCCACCATTTTCCCAGCATTTCATCACTTTCCCACCATTTTTCATGGTGACATCTCCAACTTCCCAGGATGCGGCCAACTGCGGGGTGGCCTTTGCAGCCACTCAGCTGCCAGCGGAGCAGTTGACGGCGGCCTTGCAGCTGTCGAAGTATGCAGAGGACGGGCCGCCCCCAGTCGATAGCGTTCGGTTGAGAAGTGACTGAATTCCGATGGGGTTTAGTGGCACCAACTATAGTAGATATTTAAGTATGGTAGATATATGTAGATATAACTATGGTAGATATAACTATGTAGATATAACTATGGTATAGATTCAGATATAACTATAGTTAATGGGGTTTATACACCAACTTATAAGTGTATAAGATGATATAAGCAACCAAAGATTGGATTTACTGGAACCAAGGTTGGGAACTGGTGAGTGGCTGCAGGTTTCTTTTCGACCAGTTGTGAATGGGATTAGCCACGAATCGGGGCTAACTGTTAACGAGGGTTACCCAGCGCAGTTTCTAAGTTGGATAATCCTCGAAGTGGTGGAAATCAATGGACTGTTACATAGCCATGGTTTTGCCATGGCCCTAATCGAAATAGATGGTAAACACCGAACTTAAAAAAGTCGGGTGGATCTTTCCATGGCTATGTTAGTCATAACCAGATGGTAAGAAATGTGAGATATGAGATATCACTTATATGAGTTGGTCTGAAAATGGGATATACCATCAAATAGCAATTTTAATGGGACAAATGGTGATAAACCAAAGGGTTTGGAGGTACTCGTATCCGATTTTGATGCAAAGCCATACAACCAACATGATATTTGGGGTACTTACCCTCTGGTGAACTAACATAGCAATTGAAAATTGCCATTTATAGTGGATTTTCCCATTAAAAATGGTGATTTTCCATTGCTATGTTAGTTCACCAGAGGGTAGGTTTGTTTGAACATGCAGCATTAAACCCCAATTTATTACAGTACGGCCGTGAAAACCGGGAGATGAAAGAAGAATATGTGAGGATTTACAGCAACCGATTTCATTCGCAAACCAAAAGAACTTGGATGAAGCTGATATAGCAGCTATCACTTGAATTAAATGACTAACAGTGACTATCAGATTTGTGACTGAATAAATCACTGGCAAACCGATTTTTCTTTGGCATCGCCGAGGATGTGGATCTCTCCCCTCAGACGTGTTGCGCCCTGCTGCTGACGCACGGCTACGCGGGCCTATGGGCGCCGCGGTTCCTGGAGGCGTCATGCGTCATGTACTTGGAGGACAACTTGGTTTTTTTTAGCATAATTAAACATAAGTTAGGTGTATATAGTGTATGTCATATCAAGTTGGTGAGTTATATACTTACTTGTGCTAAACGTAGGGAATGAGGGAAAGATCCACTGGCTACCTATCAATAATCCCAGCAACCCCCATTGCCGTCCATTCCCTACGTTTAGCACCAGTAATTAAGCATAAGTTAGGTGTATACAGTGTATACCTCCAACAAGGTTTTGGGTTTATGGTGGGGGTTATATCGAACTAGTTGATAACCATCGTGAGTTCATAGCTATCTTGGAGGATCACTCCACTTCAACCATGCATATGTGGGATTATGTATATCTTATTTGCTCAGAATTCGATATGATACATGGCATAATACAATGATTATATACTATATAGAAACCTATCTGAGATCATCCGCCCAGGCAATGACCAAGCAGATACCTGACCTGCTATGGCAAGCGACTGATAGACACGAGGCTGCTTTTAGTGGCAAAGATCCACAGAAAGCTGTGATTCAAGGATTATACCTGCAGAAAGTGTTTCAAGAAGGGTAGATCCCTGACAATTTTCAGAATATTTCAATCATTTCATTCGCCTTGCCATAAGACGTTACAAGTTGGCTATGGGGACGTTTGTAGAAATGCCTTGCTTAGGATTCTATGCTAATATGATCTACACATATGTGATCAATATATGATCTTTCTACTCTTATCATTGGTATCAATTATATATAAATAATTATATATATATACATATATATATATCACCATTATATATATATATATCACCATTATATATATATGTATATCACCATTATATGTATATATATATATATGTATATCACTAGGTGATTTCTCGTTTTTTGTTCCTAGGCATTTCCCTACCCCCACCACCTCCAAGGCATCGTCTGTCGCTGGGCCCTGGCCACTTACCTCTCCGGCGGCCGCCTCAGCGAGCCTCTCCGGGAGGCCGTGGCGTCGCATGTGCTGCGCCAGGCGCAGCTGGGTTCAACGAAAAAGGGGGGAAGGAACTCACAAAAACCAGGGTGAACTGGAAAAACTGATGTTGGTTCTGTTGGTGACTGTGACTAGAAATGGGGAGGTTTCGCATTTTTCGGGCGAAAAGGTGTGGGTCAAGTGGAAGCGGGGATTTGAAACAGCCGAAAATGGGGGTTCACCAATGAAAGCGGTAGGATAACCAGGGAAAAACCAGGTTGAAGCACAAAAGTCGGGTCGACGCAGCAACCACATGGGGTTTAGGCAAAAAAGTGATAGGTTACCCCAAGAAGATGGTGGGTTGAGCCAACCATGAACTTGGGCTTATGCAGTAAACAGGCAAACACATGAGTCTTAACCAACAAAGCTTGTGGTTTAGCCGGGAAAAAATGGTTATGATCAGATGATCTCATGAAACTTGTGGTTTTGGCAAGAAAACAGGGTGGGACGAGTCTGACACTGATGACTTGGATCTTCCCAGACTCGGTATGGCTTTCTAGTCCCAGAAATACCGGTATACCCCAGAATATCACTTTGATGATCATCTATTATCCACAATATACAAGTATTTTGGTGTAAAAAAAATTATCCCAGAATTGTCAGTATCCCAAGAATTATCTCATCCACGGAATTTTGGGATATTTTTTTAAAAGCAATTTCGTGATACACAGCATCGCCAGGCGAAGGCCCTCGAGGCGGGGGAAACTCGGCGTAGCCGGGGTCTGCAGATTCGAGTAGCCCTGTCCCGGTTTCAGCCACAGAATTCTTGGAATCTGATTTTCCCTCGGGTAAACTAACATGAATATGGAAAGATCCACCATTTTTAATGGGTAAATCCAGTATAAATGGTCATTTTCAATAGCTATATGTTAGTTTACCGGAGGGTATTATCTTAATCCAATTAATCAAATCCTCCGTTCAATGGATCTTGCGAAAAAAAAACCAACTGGGGGATAGTCAGGGTCATAATGTCGTCCCCCAATATGTCGATTCAAAGCAACTATTTCCGGTTAAATTTACATATGTTTGATGCAACAGAAAAGTGGGTGTGTTTTTTTCCCAATTTTTGCTGATTAAATCTCAATGTGTCACTGCAAAACACCGTTTTTTTGCAGGTCAAGCCCCCCATTTCTGGGCGAAACAAAGACATGATTTGAGCAGTGTTCCAAACCCCGGTTGGGTGATGATTAATTCGGGGATTATACTGACCAACATCTCGTTTTTTTTTTGCAAATCCATGAGCGGAGGATCCCGATGAACCAATCAGCATAAAGCGACGATTAAACGGGCTTTTGAACACTGCGCATTTTGGTCGCTGACCACATCAGTTACTTGTTGCTGCAGGCTGGTGACGAATCGGATGAAGCGTCTTTGATTGCTTCGTGCTCGGGGGCTCAGGAACGAAACTGCGGCCTCTGGCCATTGAAGCAGCAAGAATTCAGGTGTTTCAAATCTTAGCCAAAAACAAATCAGAACGGGGATGTCAAGTCTCACAAGTGAAGAACTGGATTTAACTAAGCAAAATGGGAGGATTCAGTCTCAGGATCTGAGCAGTAATCTTTGTCACTTAGGGAGCGAAGTTTGGGATTGAACCTTCAAACATGAGGATGTGAGTAAGAATGGGAGACCACCGGAATCTGACTTTGACCTCTTGAACCATATCTACCTGGCGAATCCAAAAATTCCAAAGGAGTCCGTCATGGCTCGCTGATGAGGAAATAACCTTTAAACATGAGTTAAGTTTGTAGATCGACCTTGTTGCTACTTCAATCCCCACATTTGTTCAATCCTATATTTGAATTACTCCAAGTCCCATTGTTCATTCAAATCCTTTTTTATACTTCAACCAACAAAAATAATTCATAGGTGGTTTACCATCAAAAATGGGTTGAATCATCCCCTATCAGCCAGCGTCCCATCTCAAACCCCAGTAAAACCATCCGGAAACCCGGAGAATCATCCCGCTATAAGTTAATCGATGTTAAATATCGAATGGTATATTATTATATTATATTATACTATATTATATATATATTCCATTTTTTGATGGTGATAATCAATCTTGAATCATGTTCCATTATACATTCCAATTGTTGGTTGGATCCCAATGTTTCACCATATTTCAGCATATTTCAGAAGCAAAACCTATGAAACATAGCACCCAGGTCAGGGTGCGGCCGCCCTACTGGTGCCCGAGATGAGTACAGGCGCCCTACTGGAACCCAAAAGCAGCAGAAAAGGGTGAAGAATGGTGGTTTTGACCGGTGAATTCACAATGATTTGGGATTTCACCAGCAGAAATTGGGAGAAAATCATGTCGAACATGGGGATTTAGTGGTTGTTGAACTATGAACTAATGGAGATTTATATTGAATCCATGAATCATGGATTTGTGATTAGAGACCCACTTACTATATGGATTTATAACCAACAAAATCATTATGGCAAGATGTTTTTGACATGGGAGTTTATGGATATATATAGTTGTTTCATAATCAACAGCATGATATTTGAGGTTGTCTGAAAATGGTTAGTCTAAGGGCAACCCCTTCACCCCTGAGTGAAGCGTTCCTCCAAGAGATGCAGCGTTCCCTACGAAGACGCCGAAGACTATAGAATTTCAAGTTGCCTCGTTTTAAGGTTTAAAAAAAATAGTGCACCAAGAAGTAGTATTGCCCTGTTGGAATGCTTTTTGTCAACTGACGGCAGAGGGGTGTTGGGCACAACCACTTGTGAAGCCTTTATTTCCATACGAGGGTTGTTTTGGTACATTTTGAGCACCTTCCACCTGCAGTTCATCCTTTCGTTGCCATTTCTGGTTCATTTCCTTTTCTGTTTGTAATCAGAACATGCATGCGCTTAGCTAAACATAGTTAAACCATGTGAAATCAGTTTGGGGGGACAGGCGTCCCAATGACTTGGTCAAGTTGGTCAAACATTGACCAACTTGGTCAAAACTTGGTCAATTTTTGACCAACCCAACCAACCTTTGACCAATTTGACCAAGTTGGTCAATTTTTTGACCAACTTGACCAACTTTTGACCAACTTGACCAACCTTTGACCAACTTGACCAAGTTGGTAAATTTTTAACCAACTTGACCAACTTTTGACCAAATTTGCAATTTTTGACCAACTTTGGACCAAGTTTGACATTTTTGACCAACTTGACCAATTTTTGACCAAATTTGTCATTTTTGACCAACTTGACCAACTTTTGACCAAGTTTGTCATTTTTGACCAACTTGACCAACTTTTGACCAACTTTTGGCTAAGTTGGCCATTTTTGACCAACTTGACCAACTTTTGACCAAGTTGGTCATTTTTGACCAACTTGGCCAAAAATTGGCCAAGTTTGTGATTTTTGACAAAATTGGTCAATTTTTGACCAAGTTGGTGATTTTTGACAAACTTGGTCAACTTTTGACCAAGTTGGTGATTTTTGACCAACTTGTGCAATTTTTGCCAAGTTGGTGATTTTTGACCAACTTGGTCAATTTTTGGCCAAGTTGGTGATTTTTGACCAACTTGGTCAATTTTTGACCAAATTTGTAATTTTTGACCAACTTGGTCAGTTTTTGACCAAGTTTGTGATTTGACCAACTTCGTCAACTTTTGACCAAGTTGGTGATTTTTGACCAACTTGGTTAATTTTTGGCCAAGTGAGTGATTTTTGACCAACTTTGCCAATTTTTGACCAAGTTGGTGATTTTTGACCAACTTGGTTAATTTTTGGCTAAGTTCGTGATTTTTGACCAACTTGGTCAATTTTCGACAAAGTTGATCATTTTTGACCAATTTGACCAGCTTGACCAACTTTTGACCAAGTTGGTCATTTTTGATTACCAAGTTGGTGATTTTTGACCAACTTTTGACCAACTTGACCAACTTTTGACAAATTTGGCAAAGTTTGTCATTTTTCACCAACTTGACCAACTTTTGACCAAGTTGATCATTTTTGACCAACTTGACCAACTTTACCAGCTTTACCAACATTTGACCAACTTTACCAACTTTTGATCACCTTTTGACCAACCTGACCAACTTGACCAACTTGACCAACTTAAGGGCACAAGAAGTGTTTGCAGCCAAATTTAGACCATTCAGAAGTAGTTTTGCTGGTAAAATTTTCAAAATTTACCACGAAAAACACTTCTGAATGGTCTAAATTTGGCTGCAAACACTTCTTGTGCCCTTAAGTTGGCCAAGTTGGTCAGGTTGGTCAAAAGTTGGTCAAAAGTTGGTCAAAAGTTGGTAAAGTTGGCCAAAAGTTGGTAAAGTTGGTAAAGCTGGTCAAAAGTTGGACAAGTTGGTCAAAAGTTGGTAAAGTTGGTCAAAAGTTGGTAAAGTTGGTAAAGCTGGTCAAAAGTTGGACAAGTTGGTCAAAAGTTGGTAAAGTTGGTCAAAAGTTGGTAAAGTTGGTAAAGTTCGTCAAAAATTGGCCAAGTTGGTCAAAAATGACCAACTTGGTTAAAAGTTTGTCAATCTGGTCAAGTTGGTCAAAAATCACCAACTTAGCCAAAAATTGACCAAGTTGGTCAAAAATCACCAAGTTGGTCAAAAATTGGCAAAGTTGGTCAAAAATCACCAACTTTGTCAAAAATTGACCAAGTTGGTCAAAAATCACCAACTTGGCCAAAAATTGACCAAGTTGGTCAAAAATCACCAACTTGGCCAAAAATTGACCAAGTTGGTCAAAAATCACAAACTTGGCAAAAATTGCCCAAGTTGGTCAAAAATGACCAACTTGGTCAAAAGTTGGTCAAGTTGGTCAAAAATGGCCAACTTGGTCAAAAATTGACAAATTTTGTCAAAAAATCACCAACTTGGCCAACCGTTGGTCAAGTTGGTCAAGTTGGTCAAAAATCACCAACTTGGCCAGAAATTGACAAAGTTTGTAAAGAATGACGAACTTGGCCAAAAATTGGTCAAGTTGGTCAAAAATGACCAACTTGGTCAAAAGTTGGTTAAGTTCGTGAAAAATCACCAACTTGGTCAAAAGTTTGCCAAGTTGGTCAAAAGTTGGTCAAGTTGTTCAAAAGTTGGTCAAGTTGGTCAAAATTTGTTCAAGTTGGTAAAAAATGACCAACTTGGTCAAGTTGGTCAAAAATGACCAATTTGATCAAGTTGGTCAAAAGTTGTTCAAGTTGATCAAAAATGACCAACTTGGTCAAAAGTCGTCAAGTTCTCAAAATTTGACCAACTTGGTCAAATTGTTCATTAATTGGTCAAGTTGGTCACAAAATTGACCAACTTGGTCAAAGGTCGGTCAAGTTGGTGAAAGATTGGTCAAGTTGCTCAAAAGTTGGTCAGGTTGGTTAAAAAATTGGTTAAGTTCGGCAAAAATGTGAACCTTAACTGATCTTCACATGTGTGAAATCAAGCTGGACAATGTGACCAATCAAATCGTGGTTGAGATGAAAGCGGACCGCGGGTGACCCCTGGGGGTAAACACCCCCATTTTTGCAGTGCTCCTCTGCACAAGAAATATGTAAATGTTCATAGTCCCCAAGTTATGATGCCTAAAAATAGTGCAATCCAAAGTTTTTTATGTTTCAGGAATTAGCACCACAAGAAGTAGTTGAGACACTGTTCAAAACGTTTTTTCATGTACCACCCAGCCGATTTTCAAAAGGTAGGCCCAAACACTTGTGGCCTCCTTAAAACATAGCCACTCGAAAGTCTACACCGAAGACACCTAAAGAAACCGCCGTCTTCCTTGCAAATATGCATTCTTCCTCACATGGTACAGAATCCCTTTAAAAGGCAACATTCCTGCACAATATGGAGTATACTTTAACACACAGCATTCGAATTAAGAAAGCGCAGCATGAAAGACGCTAATGCAGCATTCCCTTCTGTCAAAGAAAAGGACCATGTGTCATTCACCCAATGTCTCTTTCAAAAAGCAGCACCGTTACAAGTAAATGGAAGGCCCCTCTAGAAATTTAGTATAATTTAGTGTTACTTTTCAAGAAGTCCAAATGAATGGAGCACTCCTGCGGTGTCAGATTGCAGCTAGGCCAGGCTGCACCATCCCATTTCACACACGTGCGCAAACTGACGGCTTCTTGCACCCGGACATGTCTACAGAACTGGAGCTTCTTAAACTTCCTGGGACAAGGCTGCTTTGGCAAGGTCTTCAGCTTGCAGCGTGGGAAGCTTAGACGGGTCGCTAGATGCCCTAGATTTACGCGAAGATTCCTCGAGACGATGGGCCTATGACAGAATCAAAGAATTCTCCTCGGGGAGTGTCAGCAAGCCTCCGGTCTACGCATTGTGTCCACATTCCAGATTCTTTAGCGGCCCCAGTTTATGGATTGACGCAGCGAACAAGTTCTCAATTCAGTTTTTTTGGTATTTCTTAGTTCAAGTGTTTTCATATTGGGTTCCTTCTGGCGACCTTCTGCGGGCTGCTTCATCCCCACAAGTTTATTCCACGAAACGCACCTGAAGAATTGCATGGCTCAAGACGGTCAATGCACAGTTTCGCCGCCTCCAATGGGCCTCCGGTGTGATTCGTGGACAATCAGTGTCGTAGCTGGCAAAGCTCAGCGGAGGCACCCTCACATTGTCCAAGCCTTTGGTGCCGCGGGCCGCGCGACGCTGTGGTAACTTGTGCAAGGAGTTCCATGGCCTGATGCTTTTGCGAAGCTTACCAGCGATTTCAAGATGCAAGGCCACGAAGCCACACACGGCCATGTATGATACTTTACGCATGTCAAGAAGGATGTGTGACATTTCCTCGCATGGTCCCGTACAGGTCCTTGAGAAAGGATTTTGTAGCCATCCTGGTGAGATGCCGACAGGAGGTCCTTGAAGATTTCGCACAGGTCGGTCGTTGTGAAAACATATCGTCGGGGCCCTGGTGAAATCATCGATAAGAGGCGCTTGCATGATCCTGGGCAAACCCTCGACAAGTTTTTTTCGGTGGAGATCTTAGTACCTGGGGCGCCCTAAGTGCCAGAAAAAAAAGTGATATTCAACAAAACCTACTTTTTGAAGATCCGGGATGGGAAAGGCTTGAAAATTTGAAATATCGCAATTTTTGGTCATTTCAGGTGTTCTCAGGTTCTTCACACGCTTTGGCCGCCCTTTCCATTACATAATATGAAAAAGGCAATCTTGGCTGAAGATATGAAAAAGGCAATCCCAAAAAATTGGGTGATATGCCTGAGCTAAACTCTCACAACAGTTGAAAACAGGTTTGCAACATATTTCTTGTAGAAAAAAAACAAAACACAAATATCGCGGAAATTTGCGGGAATATCGCGGAAATTTGCGGGAATATCGCGGAAATTTGCGGACATATGTTTCAACCATTTTAAAACCAACATTTCCGGCATGTGTGGCCATGGCCCAAGAATTTCAAGATCCCGCCTCTCTATCTTTTATTTCCACAGAACCAATTCTCCGAATCCATGGTGCCCAGACTTAAAAGAGAACGAGGCTGTGGGTGCCGCAATTTGGCAAAATCATTTATCGCATTTTTTTGGTTTTATCGCAATTTTTGTTTTCCATCGCGTTTTTTCAAACCAAGATGGTCCATCGCGTTTTTTTCCTGCACTCGGGTTTCGCAGGTAGGGTCCTTTCTAAGAGGTCCTTGCATGATCTTTTACAGGTCCTTGTGAGAAGATCAGCTTGCCAAAGTCCTGATTCATTCTTGCAGCAAGAAAATCTTCTCTGAGGCCTGGCAAAGGAGTTCTTGGCCAACGCGCTAGACTCCTTTGACATGCAGGCGGTCGTCGTGCCTGGAGGTTGCAGCAGCTGCAGCATTCCCTAAATGGGGCTTAATGCGGCCACTGCTCGCCTTCCTCAAGGACAGGTTGGGTCCGTGATCTGCAGGTGGTGTGATCAGAATGGGCCACGCAATGTGGGACCTGCATGAAGCTGATATTTTGATGGAACGTTCGCCCCATCTCGCCATCTCGGACATCTTCATGAAACCTTTGACGCCGATCCGTAGATCACTCAAACTTGAAGGCGGAGGGCTGATCCGGGGTCGGTAGGTGTTTTTTGTTTCAACATGGTTTTGGCGATGTTTGGGCGAATTCCTGGCAAAGTTGAGACTTCTAAGTTCAGATGTGAAAGGTTTGCAGACGCATGCGCCCAAACCAAGTTCAGAAACACCGCATGTGGAGGACGAGGCTTACGGATTGTTTACGGATTTTTACCGGATGTGGAGGACGAGGCTTGCGGATTGTTTACGGATTTGTACCGGATTTGGGGAAGGAGGCTTGCGGATTGTTGATGGATTCGGACCGGATTTGCGGGAGAAGGCTTACGGATTGCTTACGGATTTTTACTGGATGTAGAGGACGGGATTGTTTATGGATTTGGACCGGATTTGGGGGAGAAGGCTTACGGATTGTTTACGGATTTTTACCGGATGTGGAGGACGAGGCTTACGGATTGCTTACGGATTTTTACCGGATGTGGAGGACGAGGCTTACGGATTGTTTACAGATTTGTACCGGATTTGGGGGAGGAGGCTTGCGGATTGTTTATGGAATTGGACCGGATTTGGGGGAGGAGGCTTACCGATTGTTTACGGATTTTTACCGCATGTGGAGGACGAGGCTTGCGGATCCGTGAATAGCTGCTTTCAAACCATGTGCCGATATCGGCGTATTCATGTTTGTTCCTGCACTTTTCCTCCGGACTTGACTGAGTGTGGTTTTTTTTTGCGCTGAGCTGTTTGTTTTTTCTCAAAATCATTCCCGCCCTGGCTGTTGGGTGGGGGGCTTCGCCTGTGTGTCGAGTTCGTCGGGTGGGTGGTTGACAAGGGCGCCGCAGGTATATGCCGGAGATAAGCCGAAAACCTTGAAACATATGTCATATATGTCAAAGACGTGTCAGAGAGGCCGAAGACGCCCAAGTTGCGACATGTTAAAGATGAGTGCCAACACGTGTTTTTCGCAGTTTTGCCAAAAAAGTCATGTCGGGGCCCCGCGCGTATATGAACCCCCGCATGTTGAGGCCCTCTTGCTTTTACCTGTTTAAAAACATATTTTCAAACTTTGCGCGCTGGCGGCAAGGGCTGAAAGTGTAGGGCAGGGTCGCCATGATGCGCAAATGATGCACATTTGATGCACGCAATGCTTATCAGTGCTTACTTTATCTATGAACATGTCAAATCATTCAAAAAGGACTTCCGCGACATGTTTTGAAAACATGATTTTATCGATCGATTGTTTTCTGCAGGAATTTGTGTCTTTGTGCCTGATATCGTTGTGTTTTCGTGCTTCCCCCGCTTCCACTGTACCTGTGCGATGTTGAATTGACCTTGACCAAGGATTTTGGGCCCTAGGGCCCAGTAGGGTCTGCTACTTACTGTTGGGTCTTGGGCAAAATACTAAAAAAATACATTATGCATGGAACATATATAAAATACATCTGCCCTAAAATTTGCCAATCTTTGTTCCAAAGTTTGTTGATCTTTCCACTTCGCCCTGGGCAGGTGCTGAAGCGCCAAGAGACGGCTCTTTCTGGTTGGAGGTGCCCAGTAACCATCATTGGGAGGTCATGAAAAAAAATCCAAGGAAAGGGGGATACCACATTTGCGTGGACTTTGAAAACATGTTTTCGGCATGTCGTGAGGTAACCCGTTTTATCGCAAGAGCTTAAATGGATATACAAATATACATAGAATCAATCCAACATTTTCAATCCTTTGACCAGTTGGTTCCAGGGTACTTCTCTGGGTTTTTGTGAACAATGACAATTTTAAATCCAATCTGGTTTGCAAGTCAAGCTAGCCATGAAAATGCGTACAAATTCAGATTTTTGTGAAGAGTAGATTCTGATTTTATGGGTAAACCGTGGATTCTGTGGGTTGGTAGCTTAGTGGATTCAGTTTGAACCATCAAACTGAGGAGTGCAGAACTGCATTTGTTCCGAAGGGCATCCAACCAAGGTTAGCATGGTTTTTGATGGGTACTTTCAGTATCCTAGTGGGTATGTGTCAAACTGTGAACTTCAAGATGGATGGTTTGCTTTGATATATACACATATGTAAGTATATATACATAAATAGACAAGTAAATAGACAAATAAATAGATAGATAAATAGATAAATATATATAAATAAATAAATAAATAACTAACTAAATAAATAAATAAATAACTAAATAAATAAATAAATAATAATAAAATAAAAAAAATAAATAAATAAATATATATATATATAATATGCCGTAATTCTATCAGGGTTGCTCCAGCCCATTGAAGGTGAACGATAGCCACAAAGGGTTGGGGAAATTGGTCATTTGATCTATTTATCTACCCAATTTACCCCTGGCACCTGGGGCGTTGAGAGCAACCATAACTATACCCTAACAACTTGACCCGTACCCAGCTGGCTCTAACCATTTACTGCTGGAATTGATGGGAAACAGTTGCAAGATGGCCCCGCCGGATACACGTTCATTATCCCATGCAACTAGTTAGATTAAAATATATGTATAGTATATACCCACACAAAACCAAGTTATTGTACTATGTAGAAACTTAGCTCAGTATGGTTTACATTCCGATTCTGGCTGATTGGCTCGCAGGTCACAGGTCCCTCCAGCGCCATCTTCCACTGCGCCAGAGCGACAGATGCTGACAGCCGCGCGGCAGGCGCACAGCTGGCACGGCAACTGGTGCAGGTGAAACCGCGCTTGGGGCGAGACTTGGCTTCGAAGGAGGTGAGAAAAACGGTGGAAAAAATATGGTACACTGGTACACTATTTGGCTATGGATCAATACCGTTCAATACCTACAAATTTCGCCTTTTTTTGGGGATGAGCATCCATAAATCCGAGCTATTTTGATGTGAACAAAAGGGGTACAAGGTAAACTGACCCATCCCCATTTCAATAAAATCCCAGCTAGGAAGTGGTGAATTTAAGTTAAGTAGCCATATATTATTAGCTTTCCTCCGGTGTTATCAAACATTGCTCGGAAATCCCTGGAGTGCATGGGTGTTTTTTTCATGATTTTCCAGCAAGCCATGTTTGGGAATGGGTCAACTTATTGGTCAAACAAATCGTTACCACCAAAAGGGGTGTCCAGGTTCATCAGTGTTTCAACATATATATATATACATATATATATATACATATATATATATACATATATATATATACATATATATACACATATATATATACATATATATATATATATGGTATGTCATCAGAATTCAAAAGGAGTTTTGATGCAACCAGTTGAATCTGATGTCAACCCTGGAATAGATCCTTTGGCTGTTTACTTGGGCCTGGTACCAGGTTTTGGGTTGATATCATTTCACTACTGGAACGGTAGAAAGCAGGTTGGATTTCACCAAGGGCTGCCGCCTTCACCGCACCCTTCGACTCCAAGTTTCTGGGATATGTATATACTACGTATGTCTAAAAAACCGGCACATCACATACACACATATCTTCATCTACCACCTCTCTCTCTTCCTGTATGCACATCTAGAGATATCGCTAAGAGATGCCGCTAAGAATATGTACCCCAGGGTCAAACTAACGATGTGGAAAACCAGTGGTTTCAATCGGGACATCAATGGTGGGCTTTTTACATCTATGTTACCCGGCCTGGTAAAAGTTTGACGAACTGGAAAATCACCATGCGTTTTTAATGGGAAAATCCACTATTTCGACTGGGCCATTTTCAATAGCTATTTTGACATAACCAGAGGGTATATCATTAATTTTCACAAAAAACGCCATTAAATCCCATTGAATCCCATTAAATCCCATTAAATCCCATTAAACCATAGGTATCTATCTGTCAGATCTGTCCGTTTGAAAAATCGCCGAGGCCTGCTACAGCGCCTCTCCGAGAACACCAACGCCCAGAGCGCCCAAAGTGGCGCCAGGCGCGTCCTGGCACGCCGCGCCAGCGGGGATTTTTCAGGATCGAAGATGGGGATGCGATCGGCTTTTTCGGCCCGATCGGCATCAAAAGTGGTGCTTAAATCAATGAAGAATTAGATGATCTACCCTCTGGTAAACTAACATAACTATGGAAAGATCCACCATGCTATCAATGGGTAAATCCACGAACCAAATCACCATTTTCAATAGCAAACTGTTAACGTTTACCAGACGGTAAGCATATAGAAAACCAACATCCTGGATTTTGGGGTTGTCTGAAAAAGGGGTGTCATATTCCACCAGAATATGACCAACCATTGGGGGTAGTAGGGGGCCCAGCCATTTTTTTGTTGGACAAAACCCATGTAAATTACATGGAATTCATATTACCAAGATGCATGTAGTTTGAACACTGTAATGATCTTATATGTTATAGCTGCTACTGCAAAAAGCATGGAATTTCATCGGTTTCAATAATGAGAGTTATCCATATATTAATTCCATGAATTCCCTATGAATTCCATGAATTTCCCTATCTATCAAATGACTTCAGGATGATTTACTCCCAAAAAGCTCCAACCACTACTTCGCATGACTCATGACATGGCCGCATCGCGGGAATCGAACGTGGTTAACGAAGCATACATGAAAAACTCAGGTGGATCATATGCTATGAGTGGGGGAACTATGTGATCATGACCTAGGCAATAAAGGGGTTTCATAGCTCACCAGAACTATAGTTTCGACATGTTTCGACTGCTTCACGGGCCACGTAGATTTTGTGGACAGCCAGCGAAATTGGAGATTTTTAGTCGAGCGATTTTTCTGGCGTTTTCAAAGGAGTTAAGAGTTCAAAGTAGGAGCGATTTCAAATCACCAGCCATTTTTGTCAAGGTTGTGGTAAGGTCATGCCATTTGGTAATCAAGTCAGTCTCCCTGCCATGCCCGTGGGTTGTTCCCTAGTTCTCCTCATTGCACATGTGGGTTTCGCGATCAGTCACGATCAGTCGCCAGGAGGGGCTAAAATCCAAATCATGACTTGCCAGGACTTGCCACTACCCTTTGGTAATTTAACATAGCTATTGAAAATCACCATTTTTAATAGGTAAACCACTCCCTCAATTTTTTCAGGGTCGCCCGTTGCGGGCGGAACCGGAACCAGGTTGGCGGGGCTTTCTGCGTTGCTGCTGCCCAGCGTGAAAGCTCCGGCTGAGAAGGCCGGCCGTGGAGATCACCAGAAAAGGCTTTCAAGAAGAAAGTAACTTTCATAGTTTATACATGTTTCTAATATATACAATATATATATATACATGTATGTGTGTATATATGTATATGAATGTATAGATATATATATATATATACACATGTATGTGTGTATATATGTATATGAATGTATAGATATATATATATACACATGTATGTGTGTATATATGTATATGTATGTATAGATATATATGTATATATAAGATAATAGAATCCTTTGCCACAAATGGCGAACATTGTATACTACTTAGCTGCAGAAGACTTATTTTTTATTGCAGGGTTTTGAAGATAAGCCATGACAACCAAGAAGATATGGATTAACATGGGGATATGATGGGAGATACAACCTGCAACCAACCAACATGAGGATTGCACCAGGAAAAATGCTGTGTAAAATGCTCAGACTGATGGCACTGATGTCAGGTTTGTTTTCGCCATGAGGGCTTGGGATTTCTGAGCATGACCGAAACTTGGATTTCTTGTCGGCCTTCTCCCTATGTCCATCCCATGAGATTCATACGAGGCTTTCAACAGCCCTTCTTGGAGCTTATATACTCCTTCTGGTTGGCTGAAGAATCATAATCATTCACCAGCCCCCCCCACATTGTTAGTTATATTCCTTCTATATCATCCAACTTAGACTGATGTATGTTATACGCCTAGTATATCCCCTATCCCCATAATCATTCACCAGACCCCATTCTACCTCCATCCGGGTCTGTCTGAAAATAAATCATACACATAAAAATGATCTAAAATGACCATTTGATCGCGAAACCGAGGATTTGCCAATAGATTTAGGGATACCAAGTGATGATATCCTCAAAAAATCCATAAGACCAGCATTTCGCTTGGTAGCATTCGTGATCTCTTGATGGTATGACCCTATAGGCCCTATATCCATTCTATCCCCATAATCATTCACAGCATCCCAGATATCATCCATATATATATATCGGATATCATCTTAGACTGATGTGTGTTTCATGTTTTTTTAGTGATTAGTAAGGGGTGACAAGGCCCCAAATGGCCGCAGGTTTCAGGTTAGAATTTTTTGATCACAAATCTATCCGTATGGCTTGGGTGGTTTATGGCACCAACATGATACCCTCCGGTAATGACTAACATAGCTATTGAAGATGACCCATTGATAGTTGAACCGAAAAAAATGATGGTGAAAATCTCCCAAACGGGGCCCAATGACCAGGTTTTTTCCCTTCTAAATCATCCATCTATATTGGGGTAGCCTTATTTTAGGACACCTCCATATTCAGATTTAATACATTTATCTTTTTCATATAATCTGGGTAAATTGTAACGACCTCACTGTTCTCCCTCACTGGAATCATGGTTAATAAGGGAAATGATCCTCAAATGGCCGCAAGATTCAGGTTAGTGAAATATTACAATTTACCTAGATCCATTCACCAGCTATGTTACTATTTCCCAAGTGTATTTTTGTTGGGTAAATTACGTATCCCATATATATATATATATTACTATACTTTACCCAGATAGATGTTGTATGGCAGGAGCTGCCAAAGACCCTGAGCGCCGCGCGGCGCCTCAGCGCCTTTCTCCGGCGCTTCGTCGCGCCGCGCTTTCCGGCCCCGGCCACGGCGTCCGCGGTGACGCAGTTTGGGACCGTGGTGGCGCCTGGGTGTCGGAAAAACGGTGCCCAGGGGGTGTGTTTTAAGGGCAAAATGCCAGGAAAAAACATGCAAGAACCAGGGGAATTGAGGATTTAACATTGTTTTATGATGTTTTATGAGGGTTGGAAAAAACTGGTTCAAACTTGTTGTCGAAAAATATCAGCAACAGATATGTGTATTGGCAGACAAAATATGATGGGTAAAGCCACACACCATCGCACCATTATCTATGTACATACATACTTGAAAAAGGAGGTCGTTTGTTTTGTTGGTACCGTTTTTTTGCGTAATCAGACATTACCAGACCTAGTTTTACTGGTTTACTTAAAAGATGATTCAAGGTTTGGATTCACCAATAATTATTGCATCTGCATATGTGGTTTATGGATCATCCTGATTCCATTGTGAGAACCAGCCCCGGTTGTACAACAATAGTAGTGCCGTGATTAAAACATCTTGTAAGGTTTTGTATAAACTATCACCACTTCCAAGGTTGGAATGTATTGTCATTATTTATAATACTGTAGACTATCATTATTTATCAGGTATAGAATTTTCCATTTGCACTGGCCCCATGAAAATGCTATTTATTTGTCAACTACATCCCCCTAGAATCCCACCCTTGTTCATCTTAAACACCACCCACATAGTTTCGTACTGGATTGGATCTCCACTATCTGAGACCATAAAAACGGGGTGTTTAATATGAACGGAGGATTCAATCATGTTCACAACAAATTACTGTAACAATGCTGTTCATGATTCTTAAAACATACTGTTCAAAAATTTGCAATTTGCAATTGTGAGCACATATGGCAGTGTGTCAAAACCTTGTACCCCTGGTGAACATCAAAATAGCTGGTAAATGGATGTTCATTCCCCTAAAAATGGTATTAATAGGTATTGACCCATACCCATATTTTTTTTAATTAAAACACCCATATCATATGGCTTTGTCTGAAAATAGGCTACCCCGGGTACCCCTAAATCCCATCATTGATCATCATTTTCCGTAGTTGAAACGTGGCCATTTGAGGGGTGTACCACAATTCTCAGACCAAAAAACACAAAAAACCCTAGGATAAACTAACCATAACTAACCTAGATGTGGAAAACCTAATGTAGATGTGGAAAATCAAGCATTTGACGATTTTCCCATGGGGTTTTCCCCGTGGCTTCTCCACATCTAACAGAAAAACACCCCAGTTGCAGCGGCTCGTCCTTTTTTCGTCCAAGGTGCTGCAGCCTGCGATCGAGGCGAAGGCCCGGGGAAACGTATGGGATCCATGGAGTTGCCAACATGTCTTCAACCATACGTTCCATTGAGTACCCTCTGGTGAACTAACATAGCAATGGAAAATGGCTATTTATAGTGGATTTTCCCATTAAGAATGGTGATTTTCCATTGCTATGTTAGTTCACCAGAGGGTATTTGATTGATGAACCTTGAATGACTTTTCACCTTCGACATACTGGTTGGTGGTTTGCTGGAACCATGGAATGGATTATGACTTTCCCATTAAAAATGGGAATTTCGTTATCCCAAGTGAAGAACTCCATCATTTTTCACAGGGGCAGGTTGAAACCAACAACCAGGTCATATTCTATTTACTTCAGGATGATTCTCGATGTAATATAGATGAGTAGCTAGATAGATAGATAGATAAAGAGATAGATGGATGGATAGATAGATAGATGGATGGATGGATGGATATATATATAGATAGATAGATGGATGGATGGATCGATAGATAGATAGATGGATAAATAGACTGATAGATGGATGGATAGATAGATAGATAGACAGACAGATAGATAGATAGATAGGTAGATAGGTAGGTAGGTAGGTAGGTAGGTAGTTTTAGCAGGAAAAACAACGTCTTGTCGTTTTTGGGGTTGGCACACTTTGACGAATGAAGGACATACCATTTCTCCAAAAGTCAAAAGAAGAAGAGTTTCATCAGTAATTTAACATATAGCTATAGAAAATCACCATGCTATTTAAGTTCGGTAAACCATCTATTTCTATGGGCCATCGAAAAACCAGTTCGCAAACTGTAAACGTTTACCAGGCCGGGTAGTTATCTCCTGGAGGTTTCCCGAGTGGTCTTCATTGTGGATGATAGCGTCACTGCCATGTACCCGGGAGAAGATGATGCAGGCTGCCGTACGGAAAATGGCTAGGATCATGGCGATATTCCGACCAGAAATTGACCAGAAATGGATGATGTTTTTTTCCCCAAAGAACATCAATGATGGGGCTATGATTTGGTGGATGAGAATGGGTTTTAATTTTAATGGGATTGAGAGCAATGAAGAAAGCCACAACGAAAGCACCAGGGTTGGAGGGTGTTCAGCATGGCGCACAGGGCTTCGGCGACATCCGGACGCAGAGTTGTTCCCTGGACCAATGGACCAAGAAACAGGTGTGGAAAATGATGGCAAACACAAAAAAAACACCATCAACCATGCCCAACCCATGAGCACTAACCAGCACTTGGGCACTTGGATGATGTTTTTTCTAGGCCAACATAGGGTCTGAATCATCGGAATATCATCGGAATCAGCTGGCGACAATGGCCAACCAGATCCGGTTAATGGTTACTGGTACTGGGACAGATCCTCACTGGCCAAACACATCCCCTGGTTTTTGTTGGTTCCTGGTGATACTCAAGTTTGACCATGTCCTGCATGTTCTCTGTTCAATCTAGCAGGATGAAGGCTTCAAGTGGGACCTCAATCGGGAATGGCTCAAGACTTGCGGAACTTCTTTTTTGAGGATGAACATCCACAACTACCCTCTGGTAAATTAACATAGCTATGGAAAATCACCATTTTTAATGGGAAAATCCACTATTAATGGCCATTTTCAATAGCTACGTTTGATTACCAGAGGGTAGCAGCTCCAACATGACGTGAAAGCCACACCTTCCAAGGTGAATCGATCCAGACGCCCACCTGTGAGACTCATGTGATGAGCAAGTCGCGTACAGACACAATCCCCTTCTTTTGCTTCACTATCCACTCTATGTACGTATATGATATATTTCTTACTTGATATTCGTACAGATACAATGTAGATTTGGGAGGTTCGCCTACCATGATCTTCTGTAGGCAAATTGTCAAGTATATATTCTAAAAACAGTGGCAACTGCCACGGCCAAAAGGTTAAAGTGCCACACAGAAAGGGCTGAACTGCCACATAGAAAGGGCTGAACTGCCACACAGAAAGGGTTGAACTGCCACACAGAAAGGGCCAAACTGCCACAGCCAAAAGATTGAAATACCAGTCAGAAAGGGCAGAACTGCCACGGCCAAAAGGTTGAAGTGCTAAACAAAAAGGGCTGAAATAATTAATCTATAGTATAGATACATATAATATGTATTATATATAGATACTGTGAAATGATTACTATATTATGGTGGAATTTGGTTTCTTCAAACTGGCTTCAGACTGAATGTATATAACATTGTGTAACAGTCATAGTATACAATGTAAGTGTACATACAGTGCACACAGCAATAGCTTGAAAGTTTGATCACTGACGATTCTTCCATGCGCATGCCGCAAGCTGTCTTTTTTCTCTCTTCCCCCTTGTCTCTAGTTCAGGTAGGTCCCAGGTAGGTCTTGAACTGCCCCGCCACTGTCTCATCCATCTTCATGTTGAGCAACTTCTTGGAAAGACACCCGGAAGCCACCCAGCTTCTGACAATTTCTGCACAGAGGGGGGGTCAGTATCATGCTAGACGGTCCAGCCAAATGTAGATTGATGGATAGATGGATGAACGGATGGTAGGTTGTCCGTAGATGGACAGATAGATAGACCGATAGATGAATTTGTTGATCTATCTATATAACTGTAGTTATAATGATATATATATATATGTATATATATAGACAATCCACATATTTCCTGCACTTTCTGGTGCCATCTCCCCATTTGTTGTCCTTCCGATCGCCGTGCCAAGGTGCGGATACTTGCTGGCCAAGGAGGGGGTCCTCGCGGCTCGGCCCATGAAATGGGACATGGATGGACATGTGTTTTACACCTGAAATATGACATAATTTGGTCTTAATCAAGGCCTACTATAGGGGGGGGCTAGGGTGGGAGGGGTTAGCCTTCTGTGAAAATTTCTGATGTTTTTTTCATGTCCTGAAATATGACATTTTGACATATTTCTATCTATTTTTAATGGTCTAGCAATGAAATCCTGTTAAATATGTCCTTCAATCATCTGAAAAAAACCACATCACAGAATCCTGTGGGATGACTATGGCCTCAGCCTCCGGCATTCCGCCGACCCTCTGGCCTTTGGCTTTTTGGACCAAAGCAGGGGTTGTGTAAAGCTGGTTGGTGTAAAAGGTGGTTTGCGTCAAAGGTGCTTTGTCTAAAAATTGGTTTGTGTAAAAGCTGATTTGTGTAAAAGCTGGTTTGTAAAAGTTGGTTGGTGCAAAACGTGCTTTGTGTAAAAGCCGGTCGGTCGAAAAGTTGCTTTGCGTAGAAGCTGGTGCGTGCAAAAGCTCGTTTGTGTAAGAGCTGGTTGGTGTAAAAGGTGGTTTGTGGAAAAGCGAGTTTGTGCAAAAGCTCGCTTGTGTAAAAGTGGGCTTCTGGAAAAAGTGCTTGGTGTAAAAGAGTGTTTGTGTAAAAGCTGGTTGGTGCAAAACTCCGAAATCCGATGGTAGAAAGCACAATGTTTCCCTCCCCATTCCTGCACAAATCCACACATGAGGATTCATTTTCAAACTCCTTTATACATAATATAAAATGTGATTGGATTCTTGAAGCCCCACTGATTGATGACAGATTGATGGCGCATAATATAATATGGCAAATATTGAATGAATGATGAAGGCAACTGATCGGAACTTACAGGAAACTATGGGACATAATATGTTTTTTTTTGGATAAGTATGGAAGTGGGAAATCACGCTTGGGAAATGATGGGACATTTGTGGGATGCGTATTGAACACTTATTTGACAATTACGGGATATGAGTGGAAACGCTGGGTGATTATTTGGACGCTTATGGGACATAACATGGGAAATTATGTGAAAATTATTCGATGGGAAATCATAGGATATGGGAAATCATTGGGTAATTGCGGGAAATCATGTGACAACTATTCTGGCAAATAGACCTGGGCATTCCCATTCACTGAAGAGAAACAGTCCCTGTATGTAAACAACATTTCCTATGATTTCCCAGAAATTATTCAAACCATGTTCAGAATTGCCCCGTCATTTCGAATAATTGCCGCAAAAACAACAAGATTATTGGAATTCTTCGCGCTCATCCCGTATGGTTTCCATTAAATTTCCCATACCCTCCGGTAATTTAACATAGTTATGGAACATTTAAGGAACATTTTAATTTTATACATGATACACCCAATAAACATGGTGATTTGCCATAGTTACGTAAAATTACCGGAGGGTAAGTAATCGTCCCACGATTTCCAACTCCAAAGTCGTTCCCGTTTTTCTAAGGTCCTACGGCTTTGGTTTGATGAGGTGGGAGCGATATGTGCGGAGGATGCAGGCACGCGACAAAGGGCGAGCTGGACACCATGCTTTATGGTTCATGGTTGTTAGCGTCTATATATATATTATCAATCAATCAATCCATCAATCAATCAATCCATCAATCAATCAATCCATCAATCAATCAATCAATCCATCAATCAATCAATCAATCCATCAATCAATCAATCAATCAACCAATCTATCTATCAATCAATCAATCAATCAACCAACTATAAAATATAATAAGTTATAGCTGGATATAGCTGGATATCGAAAAAATGATGGCTTTAGATTTTTTCCCATCCGTTCATACGGGCCCCACCCTCCATTCTATGGAAGTATCACCTCTAGGGAACCCCCTTTGGATTTAGCACTCAAAAACAATGGCTTCAAATGGGGCATCCAATCCAATGAACATCATAGTAAAATCAATGGCCATGTAAGGCCTAAATTTCAGGGAATATCCCCACAAAATATGGCCAGAAATATGGTACGGTACCTCGAATTTAGGATCCTGGAATTCCCATTGATAAAAGGAACCAAACATGTGGTTTTGATTTCCAATACAGTGATGGAGCTGCTTGGAAAATCTGAACACTTAGAGTTTTGTTCCTCTAATACAAATCCATGGACACGTGGTCTTTGAATGCTTTGGGGTCAGAAGATGTTTGGTTCCAGAATTGTAAAAAAGGGGTTTTTGAAATGTTTTGAAGGTTTGTTTTGTTTTCCATTTTGCTGTACCCTGTAGCAATTTAACATAGCTATGAAAACTCACCAATTTTAATGAGTAATCCATCTATAATGGACAACTTTCAATACCGGAATGGTTGGTGGGAAATCCAGCAGTTGTGAAATTTCTCACGAGCCCCACCCAAAGTTGGACGTGGGATCCCTACAGATTCTTCGGAGGATTTACGGCGTTTGGCCAACCGGAACCGTGGCCACTTTCGACCCAAACGTCGCTCGACGTTTGGTATTGATGAATCGATGAAAACCCGGTGGAAATTCTTCGACTTTCCTGAAGATTCGGTGCACATCTCTTTTTCATGTGTCTTTTCCCCAAGAGCAGACTGGATTCCTTGGCTGAAGCGTGGCTTTTTGTGGATGCATCTCCCCAATTTCGCCATCTGGCTATGAGTTCACTTTGCTATAAGAGGTTTTGATCATTTTGATCCATCCCCATGTTTTTTTTCAAGTTGGTTACCACATGTTACAACTGTGATTAGGAAGAAATCCGAAAAATCACCTTGGATGGTTCAAACCCTATAAATAACATTAAATAATGGGATAAATCGGATAAACCACCTATGAACTGGTGCAGGATTTCTTCCATCCACCGTAGTTAACTAGTTTTAACCCCGAATTCGCATCCCCGTTTTGTCATGAGTACCCTGGTACCCTGGCTTTGACCCAAAATAGTTGCTAGTGATGGATGTTTCTCAAAAATCGTGAAACCTATTTAACCCTAAAGAATATTATAAGTATAACCCCTAAATATATTCATTTAGCCCCGTTTATTATTTCAACCTATTTATAATAATATAATGATATTTAACTGTTTATCCTCAAAACTACAAGCAAATAATATAATGGGTGAGGCCTATTTAACTTTGGTTATAGTCACCGTGATCACCGTAAACCCAACGGTTCACATCTAAAGGTTCAAAGATTTTGGGTGGTGGGTTTTGATCAAAATCCCACTTGAGCAGTGTTCAAAAAACGTTGATGTAGGGGGTTATACCAGATATGTCCCATATTTTTTGGATTTTCATCCATCCATGACCTGAGAATCGACCAGTAAAATCTGCTTGGTGCTTTGATCATTTGTTATTTTCAACCCTTGGGGATGATAATCCTTGCTGACTAGTATTCTTCAGATAGGTTGAAACCACCGTGGCAGCCTGGCATGACAGCAAATGTTGAAGGCCCCAGCAATGTTAATCCCTAATATCTCCCACTTGTAGCAAATGACATTGTTAAGTACATTATCCTTATATGGGCTTGGGTCAAAACCTATGGAATTACCATATTTTGGGGGAATTACCATCCATCTGGGCAAATTATAACGACCGAACCCTGTTCTCCCTCACTGGAATCATCGTTAATAAGGGAAATCATCCCCAGCCATGGCCGCAAGATTCAGGTTAGTGAATTATTATAATTTACCCATATATATATATATATAAATAAGACTATATAAGATGTAGGTACATGTAGGAAATATTATGGAAGATCATCATGAACATCATCCATAACTACTGGATTATTATAATTTACCCAGATCCATTCACCAGCTATATTACTATATCCCAAGTGTATTTTTAAGTTGGGATCCCCAGCCAGGTCCGCAGGGCAATGCTCAGCATCCAGCAATTACTGCCACTTGGGGTCAACGGCGGAGCGCGAAAAAAAACGGTGAGTTGACTGAAGTCTGAGGGTTAACCCATCTCTAAGCCTTGGATTTTGAGAAGTTTGGTTGAATTTGGTACCTGGTTGGTAGTCAGTCCTGGAAAAGATGCACAGAAAAGCCTGATTTTACCCCTAGTTTGGATAAGAAATTGTCCTTATCTGTATCTTTTCCGATAAATGATGGTCAGTTTTCCGCGGTTGACGTTCCGTAAAAAGAGCGAAAGGTGTACAGGAGCCACCACTAGATGGTTTAAGGTAAAATACAACAAACAATCCAAGGGTGGTAAACCCAAGAATAAACCATACCCAATAGCAACAGACCGTCAATAAATTGGGAGGTTCATCTAATCACGATTTTATCTTTCTTGGAACTCGTGTAATCATGTAAAACCTTCGGTACAAGACAAATGTAGACCTTTTCTCACCGGTTAACTTGGATGATACAGGTATATACCCTCTGGTTATGACTAACATAGCCATGGAAAATCACCATGCTATTAATAGGTAAACCATCTATAAATGGGCCACTTTCCATGGCTATGTTAAATAACCAGAGGGTAAGTCAGCCATGGCTATCCTAAGAATGTTGGAACCAACGCAGCATGGGTGCGAATCTAGATGTGTAGGCCTCCAAATTGGATGCCTTCAAAGCTCCAGCCCCAGCACATAAAAACTCCCGTCCCCTTTTTAAAAGCACTCCCCAGAAAACCCTGGTATAGAAATGGGTCACAAAAAAACAGGACACTCAATATTATACTGTATCGGCCTTTATATCTCCATTTCATGATAGTTAAACCATATTAAACTCTAATTCTTGATGGTGAACCCAATCTTTGAGGGCTGCATCTCCGTGATTGAAGGTTTTATCACCATTTTTGATGGTAAAATACAATCGTTTGATGGCTGTATAAACATCCAAGTTCTGAATAGTTATATGAATGACAATTTTGATGTGGGGATGCGGGTTTTACCACTTCCAAGGTTGAGAGTGCAGAGCCTCCGCCCTTCGCGAGCACTTTGGCGATGAACTGACATGGTTTGGAATTTCTGCTGTTGGTAGTTCAATTTTTGTGGGGAAAGCCACAGGTCATGGAGTTTGCTACCATCACCATTTCTTCGATCTCGACCAAAATTATTTTCCTTTGAACCATCCCAGAATTGGTTTGATGGAACATGTGCTGGACCCCCTATGGCCCTATGGATCCATAACATCAATTCCCGACCAGTGAAGCCACCCTGAGGTTGGCTGCTGGGGGTCATACCCGAACTCGCACAGAGACTGAAAATGGTGCAAGGGGAACCCGGTGGGGTGATGCAAGAGAGGCGACCAATCCCCAGGGGGCGCTGAAAAACCAACCAGCAGACCGCACAAAGATGCCCTGTGTGGAGTAAGATTTTTTTTTTTTAAACAGCAGAATTGGGCAATCTCCAATAGGATCATTTTTTCCGGCATTTCATTCATTCTGATCATCAGCTGGCAGCCCCCGGCCAGAGCGAGCGCTTGCGCAGTCAGCGGCAGCGGCGTTGTCAGGACGGCTGTCTTTAGCGCCAATGGACGAGCACCGGTGACGATGTTTTTTTTTTTGTGAAACCATGATTTTCAAGGCAATCAAAGGAGTGTTTGTGTTTTGCATGAAGGGTTTATTGTTTAATTTAACACCTGTTTATTGTTGGGATCGGCACTGCTTTCGTCATATATGATTGCGTAAAATTGAAACATATATTCCATATCAAATTCATGTCCAATGAATTACGTCAACAATTCCTATTGGACCTGGTACTTTTGTGGTAAACCCAATGCCATAAACTTCCAAGTTAGGAGGGTTTATACCACCCCCAAAAATGGGTGATGACTTGGGGATGGTTAAGAAACTGGCTGCTGCGTTTTGTTTGCACATCCCAGGAGCTACATCGCAGCGAAGCGGCGTTGCGACGGCTGTTGGAGGCGCTGTTGCATGATTTCTGGGGGGAGTGGATGGGGGCCCATGGGGGGTTGTTGTTGTTGTTTTTTTTTTTTTAAATGGGGTTTGATGGGAAAATCATCTACACATGGGGATTTTTCTTGGGATTTATGGGGATTTCTTCCTGGAATTTTCATGGTGAACTCATCAAGGGGAGATAATATAACACAGTTTAGAAGTGACCAGCTATACCCATAGGATCCATGTATGCTATATATGGTAACATTTACCATCAATATACCCCAAATGTTAGCATATATACCATACATGGATCCTATGGGATATATAATCTCTCGTTTTCGTTGATATCCAACATCCCCAGAAGCCACGATGGATGTAGGGGATGAAACGACCAAAAATTGGGACCTGGGGTGAGTTCGATTAGGGGGCGAGAAGCAGTTTAGAGGTTTTTGTGGGGTGAAGAAACACATGGAAAAACAGGCGATGTCCTTAGTATTTCAGCGCAAAATGGGATCTTTCAAGAAACTGTCGGTTGAAACATCTGGCAGAAAAACATAGGCCTCTCAAAGGGTACCATGTGCCAGTTGTGCCTGGCCATATTCTCAAATAGCCAGTCATAGAAGCCAGAATTGCTGTGTATTTCCCATGATTTCCTGTCCCCGGAAGTTTACTCAGTCAGGTGGACACCGCAATATATTGGGAGAAATACCCAGAACACTCACGTCCCGTGAAAACCTATTTTACAATGAACATCCATAAATTCCAGCTATTCTGATGTTAACCGGGTGTTTTATGGACTTTTACACAGGTTTACCGGTTTACCCAAGTGGAACTTTTCCAGATTTTGTCAGCTGACCATGATTTCCTTTCCAAAAAGTCATCCCTAAGATCTAGGGGAAGTCACCGGCAGGTGGTCGAAGGTGACGTAAGAGGCGGATCTGTTTGGGCTTTCGGGGCAGCAGAGGGGAGAGCCGCAAAAGATGACTTATGGCCCACACATGGAGATCTGAAGCGTCAAGTCGTTTGGAAATGGTGGTGTAATCCGAGACACTATGCCATCAGTGCGAAGGATCCAAAAGGGAGAACATCACCGTTGAGGTGAGCAAGACTCTATGCCAAATTAAGAAAAGTAGTTCGCTAGTACACCATCATTTTGGTAGGATTTTGGTTAGTTTTTTTTTTTTAAGGGGGTTGCTATACATCACATCTACAGTATCTCTGATTTTTCATGCTTTCTCCAAATTTCCTGAGACCCCAAAGTCATTGAAGTGATCCACCTTGAGCTGTGGGAGTTCTCGATGTATTTTTTCATGTGGATGTCTACGCAACGATGCATGAGCTGCTCATGAGCTTAGGAACTTCGGATTCCAAAAAAAGAGCGTCCCTCAAATCATGTTGGGATCTGCTGTTTTTTTCCATAAAAGAACCTGTTAAGTGTTAATCTTTTTCTGCACTTGTTTGCCACCCCCTAAAAATGACTACCATTGGCACTCTGTGGGGACCCGCATCAATGTCCCACCTCTGCTCAGGCGCCAGCCCGGCCAGTCTCACCAGTCAGCAGAGCGAAAGACCCGTCGAAAAATATGGGGGGAGTTGAATTTTCCTGAAAAAATGGGGATAGATGACCAACACAATCTAGGGATAAGATATGATATAATGGGACATGATTTGATTTGATATGATATATATATAATATTTGATATATCAATATACAGCCAACAACACCATATTCTTTAGTTCGTTTTCTTGGTTCTTCTCAATCTTGGGGTAGCCCAGGCCGCGTTTGTCATGGTTTGTCCATGGGGGGAAGAATTGTATACCCCCACTGTTATTTGTGGTTTCGTCCAAATGTAGGGGAGACTTGAAGATTGCCCTTGAAAAAAATGGGACAACGACAACCGGGATATCGAATGGCGGGCCATAGTTTGGGATCCCAGACACGCATCACCGTGGTTTCTGACTTCCGGAACTTCCGGAACCAGAGAATCCCTGAGTTTCCACCAAATTCAGGGAGACCAGCCTGGTGGGAACGGCTTGTGGCAGATCCCAGCGTCCCTCGTCCCCAAGACATGAAGATTCACCTCCTCCCGGCTCAAAGCTGACAAGCTCTCCGGTCTCTCCGGTAAGAGCTCCACTTGGAAGGCCCCATGGAAATAGGTTGTTTTCGCAGCAGCTGGCAGCTTAGGGTTCCGATTTAGTTTATATATATATATGTTTAGTATATATGTATCAATTTCTTGTTTTGGTCGCCCCCTTAGGTGGCCCATAGTTCATTCGGGATAGACACTGCCTAAAATTTCAGGTACAACCGACACTTTTCAGGGTCAGTTGCTGAACCACCGACCGCAATCCATGATATATCCTGATTATTAAATCCATATAATAAGATCTACAGTATACAAGTCTTACGATATTACAGTATTCATATTTGCCCACAAATCACTAACAAATTTTGGGGCGTAAAAAAAAGGGTTTCACTGTAGATTTTCCCAACAAACCAATCCATGGAGCATCTGCGAGATTTTGTAAGATCCCGAAACATATTCCCATCATATTCCCACAAAAGCACCAATTATCATATTCCCATAATATTCCCATAATATTCCCATAATATTCCCATAATATTCCCATAATATTCCCATAATATTCCCATAATATTCCCATAATATTCCCATAATATTCCCATAATATTCCCATAATTTTCCCATAATTTTCCCATAGTTCACATTGTATTCCTATAAGAACACCAACATATCCATTATATATATAATTTATGTATAATTAAGTCACTATAGTATGGATACCCTCATGGCCAAGTCATAAACTTCAATCAGTTGGATTATAGAAGTTATTCGGATATTTGGTTCAATATATTCCAATCCCTTGGTTTATTATAACCCCAAATCATGAAACATATCTCCATCATATATCATTTTATACATATATCCATTGTAGATCATTAATTCATATTAATAATAATAATAATATATCTCAATTATATATCCATTTAACCACCATATATCCATGTGGAAGTTAAATCCCACTTAAAATGCACCAATTTCGAACCCCAGCGATCCGGTAGGGACATGGCACCTGCCTCTCGCCCCGTGGCGGCCTCTTGGCAGATTCGGCAGCTGGAGATGTTGAGATTTTGTAGCGATTTTCTGGCTGAAACCATAGGGAAACCAATAGGAAAATGGAGGTTTACCCTATGGTAAACGTTTACATATTATGGAAAATCGCCATTTTTCATGGTTAAATCAACTGTAAATAACAGTTTTCAATAGCGAACTGTTAAATTACCAGAGGGTATTTTATGTGACCCGGTTCCTCAAATCACTTCTTGAATCCACTGTTTGGGGTCTACGGTGGTGTAATTTGGAGATTCTATGGTATGGTGAGATGGGGATTTGAGCATCGAACATGATTTTTGGTGAACATATGATCACCATTCTGAACATCTATTAAAATATACATATATATATATATATAAACATATTTAATGGATATGATTGGATATGTTTAAAATGATCAATGATGGATATTTTTTAAACAAATCTTTGACCAAACGCCTGCGGATTTTGTGGCCGAGGTCGCCCTTGCGGCTCTGGCCGCAGTTCTGGCCTGGTCCAACTGGACGTCGAGCGGCTTCGTGCCGTTGGGGAAGCCCAGGAGGACGTGACCGGCAACGGAACGGTGGCCAGGGAGAAAACCTGTGTATTTTTTGGCATAAAAACAAGGTGATCTGGGTATGGATCAATACCTATTAATACCATTTTTAGGGGATGAACATCCATAAATCCCAGCTATTTTGGGGTTCACTAGGTACCAGGGTTTTGACCCATCCCCATCTAGGTTGAAAATGGTTGAAACATGGTGATCCAAGTTGAAACAAGTGGTTTTGGGATTTTTGGGGGGATTGCGACTGATTGCGAACTAACCCATATGAATGGGAAACTTAGCAACTAGTACTTCATGAGATGGGATAGGGGTATTTTTAACAGCTTACGCGTCTTTTTGGAGAAAAAGGTAATCTAAGTTGAAACATTGCGATTTTAGATGGTGATTCTAACATCGGGGGAAAAAAACATAACGTCCAAAAAAAAGATTATTTTCGTGTGAAATTGCGTGATTTGACCATCAGAAAGGGTGAGTTTGCTGATTGTATCTGCAGCGTTCTGCAGCTGAAATCTGGAGTTGTTCTATGTGTTCAATCCTACATGGCTATCGGTCAAAATTCTATCCAAAAAAAAACTCATGTGGTAAACTCAATTTCGCCATTGCCAACATTACCAGTGGGTGGTACCATCAAAAAAAAAGGTGTTTATATTACCCTCTGGTTATTTAACATAGCCATGGAAAATGGCCCATTTATAGATGATTTTCCCATTAAAACCTCCATTTATAAGGGATTTTCCATGGCTATGTTAAATAACCAGATGGTATTGTGTTTCCACAGCATATGATAGTGGCCCTGTGGTACTGGTTTTTCATCCCTTCCTAAAAATTTAGCCCCGAAACGAAACCATGGTTTGGTAGGGCATTTCCACGTACTTGGGACCATGCAATTGGGGTGTTTAACCAATATAATGGTATTAATTCTATTACCATTCATTGTGGGATTAACATTATGTAAAATTATGTGTTTAACCAATAACATTGTTTTTCATACCATTCATTATGGGATTAACAATGATAACACTAAGATTTACCACATGAATACACCCAAAAAACCACCCAGCTGTGGCAGATTGGCTGAGGCCGCCGCAAGTGCCGGCGTCCCCACAGGACGCGCAGGACGCTGAAAGGGTGAGGCGGTGCCATGTTTATCATGGTGAGATCGACATTACCCTCTGGTATTTAATGGGATTTAATGGGGTTTAATGGGATATTTGGATATATAGTAGATATACCCTCTGGTAATTTGTTACATAGCTATTGAACATGGCCATTTAGTTCGTGGATTTACCCAGGAATGGCTGAAAAATCCTAGATGTGTGATGTGTCATGGATTTTCTTGGCGCAGTCGATGCGAAGAGAGAGTGGGGTCGGGATGATGCCCCTGGTGGAGTGTGGATCTGGGTCTAACAGAATATTCTCGTTTTATTAGGTACAGTGAGCTACAGGTATTTGATAGAGGAATGGGATGTAGTACCTATCGTACTTCTATTCCGAGTACTTAAAAAGTTTTGTTGTAGTACTTATAGCATTATAAGATAGTACTGTAATGTACTGTATATTATGTACAGTACTTCTCTCTCGATCATTGCATGATCGTGGCAGATTGTGTTTTACTGTGACGACATAGTAAGACTTCAGCCCCACTGACCATGACCTGAAAACTCGCGTGAGGACGTGGTGAGCGCTGTTCGGGAGCACAGAATGATTCGTTCACGGCGAAGTCTTGGTTGCTCTGACTTAGTCTGGGGACTAGAGCAACCCCAAAAGATCGAAAATACCTTGGAAACCTAGAAATTAAGGAGGAAACATCACCTATAACATCCTGGAAACACTTTTCTATCTTGGGGGTTACTATACCTAATTACTATAGTGATGGATCAAGTGCATGTTCAGTTTTAGAATGTTTTGGCCAACAAGAAGTTGGATGATTCTGCTGGTTCTGCTGGTTGGTATATACTGCTAGTTGGCCTTATCAAAAAATGGTGCTGGCAAGAAAGCATGGAACCACGTGCAACAATAGGGAAAACACACGATTCCCCTGAATTGTGAACAATGAACCCTCCAAAATAACCTCTCCATAGTTTTCTGTGACCTCAAACGACCTCTCCATAGGCGCTTGTGAGTGAGAATTTACATCACATCTTTGTTGACAAATCAAGCTTTTCGAATGCATAAATCATCACATTTCTTGGGACCCCAGGGTGCAGTTCTGGAACTCTACTTATCTTCCTGGTTTCATTGTCCATGCAGCCATATGCTGCCTTTTTTCTTGGGTATGAGTCAAAATCGTTCCCTTCCTCGTCATGCTCTACCATCTTCAGAAACATTGGTTTACTGCAAACTTGCGTTCATTTTGGTGTCCCACACTGGGGATTTTTTTTCGTAGTTAGGGGGATGGGATGGGTTAGGGCACTGGCAGGATGTGGGATGTTTGCATGAAGTCAGACGTGGATTGTGATCCACTAACCAATCATTTTTCGATTCAACCACTATGACTACATTGGTATTTAAAAATCATGATGAATCCTCAATTTCATGGTGGAACAACATGACAAAAACAAGTTTTGGATGGCTAACTTCTCGTACTTTCGGGTAATCTAAACCACGATTTCCAAAGGAAGAGCGGATTGCTGAGGTCTCTTTGGATACGCTGCAGGACTGTGTTGAGGAGACCGGGATGAGGGAACGGGTGGAAGAGCACGACCAGAATCAAATGGGTATATATATATATTGCACATTATAGATAATATATGTATATATATATACATACATATTATATAATATAGATGAATTATATTATATTTAATAGGGGACATGTGATAATTATATTGCATCTTCCATCATTGACCATTTAGGGGCCCAATTTATGATGTCCAGATGACTGAGGTTGGTGAATCTCTGCCCATGTTTGTTTTCCAATTGCCAGCTGGAGATTGCCAGAGAGCAAGACAAAAACCTGAAGAGTGATTTAATGGTGGTTTAATGGTGATTTAATGGGATTTCATGGTGATTTAATAGATATACCCTCTGGTTGTGTCAACATAGCTATTGAACATGGCCTATTAAAAATTTAGTTCGTGGATTTACCTATTGATAGCATGGTGATTTTCCATAGTTATGTCAACGTTTACCAGAGGGTAGAGGGGACCTCCATTTCACTTGAACCGAGTCATATACCTGAACATATCACCACAAATCACTGAACATATACTAAAACCATGTTTTCCTTTTGGTGATTTTCCACTTCAACCAATCCATTCATCGAAACAGTGCATCTTACCTTTCATGTGCCGAGCACCAGATCAATCTGATAAAACATGATAAAGGGTATATGGGGATGGGTCAAAACCTTGTTACCCCTTTTGTTCACATCAAAAAATAGCTCGGATTTATGGATGTTCATCCCCCCAAAATGCTATTTATAGGTATTGATAAAGGGAATATCTCACCTCTCAGTCAGTCACCAGTCATGATATAGACCTGGCTGGTGGATATGACAACAAGTGGGAGGCAACTGGTACAGGGCAGACTAGGAATGAAAGGCGAAGAGAACTTTCAGTGTAGACAAGTTTCCATCTGTGGAAAAGCATCCGTTTTGATAGGTAAGTTATCATAAACCATCTATAAATGGGCCATTTCCGACCATTTCCATAGAGGGTAGTTAATTTGTTTCTCTTCGACCCATGCAACCAGCGTTTACCCCTTGGTGATCAATGATGATGCAACTGTCAACTGGGTAAGCCTAGGTTTCGTGGTTACTGTAATGAGTTTATCTCTACCTACAAAGGGGCCCCCAAGATAGCTAAGTTGGTTAATAACTCCAATCACTATGGTTTACGGTATTTATAACTATACTTACTGGTGTTTATAAGCCAACTTATAACTGGGGGGGGGCCCACATTGTATAAATGGCGTACTATGATATGATCCCATCCCCCGTTCATATTAAACACCCCCATCCCATGATCGCAGATTTTTGTGGTTTCAGTCACTAAACCATGCTTGATATTGGGGAGTGTTTGAAATGAACGGGGGAAGGGATATTTTTTGTATCCCCTTTTTTGACATATCCCATGACATCAGCATTTAGATGATTTTCCCATCAAATCCCAAGCAAATCCTAAGCACCATGAATGTCCCATTAACCCCAATGAAACTCCATGAAATCCAATGTTCGATAAACTATAGATGGTTATACATGGTTCTACCGTATTATAATCCATTACCCTCTGGTAAACAAACATAGCTATTGAAAATAGCCATTTTAAATAGGTAAATCAACTATAAATGGGCCATTTTCCAGTTCGCAAACTGTCACGAAAATTACCAGAGGGTATATCATGAAAATTTTCACAAAAAAACCATTAAATCCAACTAAAACCCCATTAAACCTCCATTAAACCATAGGTATCTACCATAAAACCCAAGAGTTCTGGCACTGCAGGATGGTTTGGACTCCGCGCTGACGGTCCGGCAGTTTATATACCGGGGGGATTTGGGTCAGATCTGAGTCCAGTGTCTTTGGGAGGGAAAACGATGCTATATTAATATCTATAAAATCATATGTAATATATACTATATATAATATATAATTTATCACATATATATATATACAATATTTTATAATATCATTAATTATATATAATATAGATTATATATCATATATATATATATGATATTTTATAATGTATATAGATAATGCATCATATATATATATATATGTGTGATATAATTTATAAATATCTATATATAAACCATGATACATTCAGGGCTATCTGCTACAGTATTCCCCATTTTCAAACAAACGAATACTTGGAAGTTCCAGTGAACTCAGTGGATTCCGATTCTTCCATAGTTCTAGGCGCCCCATATCCCAACTTATGGCGGGTTTGCGGGTTTATAGCCATGGTTATAACAGTTACCCCCTGGTAAATGAACAGTTGGACCCTGAAAATCACCAATTTTTAGTGGAAACTTATCTTCCAACCCCGACAACTGGCAGGGTCTATGTTAATTTACTGGAGGGTATACTCCTTACCTGCAGCCCCCCGTCTACGAGAAACTGTCGAGGCGGTGGATGACATGTTCACCCAGGTTGACAACCTGGTGGGCCCTTCCCTGTGCCCTGGCTGCAAGCTATCTTCCAATCGACAATGGATATATCTGGGTAAATATATAATTATATATAATTATATATAATTATATATAATTATATATAATTATATCATTATATATATATATACATAGTATATTATACATATTATACATATTATACATATTATACATATTATACATATAGTGACCTCACGTCCTGACCGAACCCTGGAATCATGGTTAGGATGCAGGGGATCATCCCCAAATTTGGTCTAGATATTGGATGTAACATGGATATTCCGTACGTATAGAATGGATGCAACCCTCTGATATGCAAAAAACCATCGCGAACTGGAACATCAGCATGTTTTTTTCGCGAATAGGTCGATCATCAATTTTATCATCTATTTCCATGTGCCATTTTCTATAGCTATGTTAGTCATAACCAGAGGCTACTGGGTACACATCATGCACCGAATGTATCTTTTTCGATAGCTCAGGGACAAACTTTTTTGTGACGTCTCAAGGTGGGAATCCGATAAAAAACATCCCATGGTTCCCTTATTCAAAAAGGCCATGTGGGATAAAACCACATCAATTCATATTATGGAAAATCACCATTTTTCATGGGAAAATCCACTATACATGGGCATTTTCAATAGCTATGTTAAATTACCAGAGGGTAGATCCAGCGTTTTGAGACAATGCCAATTTACATCCCGAAGGAACGCTGCTGAGATGTTGCTGCACATCTGCCCAAAAGAGAAGTTCCCGAAGGGATCCAAAAAATGGCCTGACCTTTCTTCTACATTTTTTCATATCTCTTTGTCTGAAAATGCGATGTATGATAAACATGGTCATTTTTTTTTTACGGGAAACATTTTTCGGAGAAACCACGGGATAACTGGGGGGGTTTTCCATATAGTTTTCCCCGAACTTTTGGACAAGCCCATGTTGGATTTTCGTCACTGAAAAGCTGTATCCCAAAGCGGATTTCACCAAGCCCAAGCCATTCCTGGCCTCCAAAATCCCACCAGAAATTCCTGGTTTTCTGGGCCATAAAGCCTCCAAAATTGGAGGTTTCCTGGGTTTTCCGTAGCAGAAAACACCACAAATTTTGGGAGGCTCCACATTTGCTAGAGAACTGGAGCAACCTGCGGTTGAGGAACCCTCAGCTTCTGCCTGCTGGTGGTGTTCCTGCACAGAAGGCGGGCTGAACTTCCAGATATGTCCCGAGACCCTCTAATAATTTGACCATGGTCTTTTAAACAGCAAAATTGTTTTTTTAAACAGCAAAATTGCCTTTTAAACAGCAAAGATAAGGGAATTTATGGTATTCATGGAAAAAATATATATATATATATGCCAACAGGTACCTCTATGATCCACACTTTAAGTTGATATTCAAGCAATCTATAGAATATATATATATACATATGAATATCTTATAAACAGAAGTATGGAACATCACCACGATTGAGAGATATCATCGAACTCAATTCTTCAACTAGCTTCCGTAGCTAGTTGAAGACTTGAATCTGTTGCCATCAATGGAGGCTTGAAAACAACATCAAAAAACATGCAGGGAATCTAAGGTTGGCCATGAGACTTGGGTATCCCGAATATCCTCAAACTTGGACGCTTCATCCTCGGCATGACCAACAACTGTATTGCCTGGGAAGAATTCATCTTGTCATCAGCTTGTAGTTTGGTCAGCACTACCGAGCATCCACCCTTATATTAAAAACACCCCACAAGCTGTGGTGTAGTAGGGGATTTACACATATTTGTGACCATGGGATAGTGGCTTTGAATCTTAGGGGGATGGGAGTACATAAAATCCACTTGACTAAGGGCCGGTTCACTCGGCACATGATGTCATAAGCAGCCAACTTCATGGGTGCCCCTTAAATGGAGATGGCTCAAAAACGCCCCTTAGTATATTATTGATCCTCAAAGGATGTTTTTTCCCCAACAGCGTAAGCTAGTGGGGTCTTCAGCCCGGAATAGCTCCGGTGTGCACTGTGCAGGCGCCGCGTCAGGTTCAACGAGGTTCCGGAGAAGGTTCCGAAGGTTCCGGAGAAGGGTCCGGAGAAGGTTCCGGAGAAGGTGTGGGAGGCTTTGGTGCAGAGCCAGGTTAAGTTCAACAGGAGTCCGGAGAAGGTTCCGGAGAAGGTTCCGGAGAAGGTTCCGGAGAAGGTTCCGGGAGGCTTTGGTGCAGAGCCAGGTCAAGTTCAACAGAATTTGCGGCCATTTAATTCATGGAAACACAGCTGAGGTGTTTCCAGCGCTTGGCTTCGCAGCACCCTGCAGAAAGATTTGTAAAAATAAAACGTTGCGGCTGTTGGGGATACCACCGAAGCTTATTTTTTGATGTTTAGTTAGCTGTTTATACGAAAAGAATCACCCACTGTTGATAGGTCACTGAAACTGCCCAGCGATCCCTGGCCATCGGTGCTACTATGATCCCTGGCCTGTCCAGGATGGCATGCAGCAGGTCATTGAGCCTTTGACCAAGCTCTACATGAAATACAGGAGCCCCGTGGAGCATCGCGATCATCGTATCCGATATGAAAATGATGAAACACGTGCCAAATATGTGGTGCCATCCCTACTAAACCATGGTAGATAGAGGGTGGATTGCTTTTGGGTGTGCAAATGTCAGCTATAAGTGGTCTAGTAATCCATGTAGAACTATAGAGCCGAATATATCTTACATAAAAAACATGATTGCAACATATTGCAACCATGGTTTTTTATCCAACAAAATGGGAAGTGGGATGCACATAGACCTGTGGATCATGAGTAGACCTGTCCAAACGTGTGGCATCGTGTGGCGTTTTTTGGGTGACGAGTTGCTTAAGTTGTGTTTTTCTGATGGCACATGGGTTTGTTTGAAAAATACGATACCCCTATGAACCGTTGGTTAATCATCACTTTTCCCTTTTATATGGCCATGAAAATGGGTATACCACATTTTCAGACAGACCCACATGCAGCATTTTGGGAACCAGGGAATACTCGGCTCGCTTTTTCGAGGTACCTAAAGCAAGTCGAAGGAGATATAGCCATCAAGAGCCAGCGATAGAGACACCTCGGGTATATCCATTTGCAATCACATACATATTATGTACAAGGGTGTGTAAGCAGGAAGATCGGACATTAGGTTCGTTGAAGGAATGGGTCATAGCCGCTAGCGACTCAACTTGACCCAGTTCAAGACCAGGTTGCTGAGGGTGCTTCGAAAATTCGCCAGTTTTTGATTTGGGGGTTTCCTAAAGTAGGGGGGTACCCCCAAATCATCAATTTTCATAATATGATTTTCCATTTTGGGGTACCCCCCATTCTAGAAACCCCATATATATATAATTATATATATACACACATGCATATATGTGTGTATATACTGTATATATATATATATATACACGTATTATGGATATTTTGGAATCTTCACTTTGTGCAGGCACCAAGGTGCAAAGAGAGCTACACTCCTTGACCATCCTGAATTGGTCCGTCTCGGCATCCATCATCCCACCATTTCATTTTAGGGTCAGACTGGGTGAACTGACCCACACCAAAAGTAGCAACGCATATAATGCACCCCCTCTACGAGCCCCAGAAAAATGCTGTTTGTACTGGTATGTACAGTAAACATATCTGGTTTTCTTGTTCATTTTCTTTTGTTATCTATACACACCTACTCAAGTACATTACACTGCAAAACCATCTGTTTTTTTTGTTTATACATATATAATTGTCATGTCCCTTACCTTTGCATTTGCGACACTTCGTCTTCTTTGCTTGTCTACTATTCTCAGATGAAATGGCGCAGATGGCCGTTTTGGCATCGTACCCAAAACCTTGGGGCAGCCACCGGCCAGATGCCTGACGATATTCGTGTTGAAGTTTTGGATGTGATGTGGAAAAATCTGTGCTCCTGTACCTTCCACGTGCAATCAGCTTTCTAATGTCATCCAATACGTGTCTGCCATGTCCTCTTGAGTCCAAAGCCTCTCTCTCATCTGACCTTTCATGCTGTCTGATCATCAAGTTATCCACAAACCATGGCATTCAACCTTCACTGGCACATGCCACCTAACACACACGTTTGCATTTCTGCAATCTCTGTCTTCTGCCTTGCATCTGCTGCTTCCACTTCTCACCCACCTCTGCACCTTGAGTCTTCTTGGAGAGCAACCACAAATTCAATGCCTACAGTCTCAGTCCTCTAAGAGTTGCAGTTCCCAAACATAATGTAGACTTGGTACCTCCTCGGAATGTACAAGTCTATACACGGCTGGAAGGGGGGTATGTTGTTGTCTCCAGGGGTTCGTTTGGGGGGGCTGAGTTTATATAATACATATATATATAATTATATATATATATAACTATATTATATATATAGGGTATATATATATAATTACATACATAGGTATGGTTCAATATTATTGGCACCTCACTTCCGATGGTTTGTTACTGGTCAGGTGGTAATCATGAGCCATGGCCAAATATGGCCACATCAAGAAACTGCACATGAGCCTTGGGCAACAACAAATACGGCCTTGACCAGCTCCACAAGCCTCAGAGCTGTGGCCTAGAAATCCCAGAGTTGGAGAGAACATCTTCACCGGAAAGTCCCAATGATTTACTATCTACGTCGTATACTATATGTATCTAATATGTACTTTTAATTACTATACTTTACGTACTGGAACTGTTCAAAACCCAAAGTTTTTTTTTGTTCCGACGATTCACCAAACACCGACCAGTCGCCATTCTTTTCAGCACTGGATCTCGGTGGTGCGCGTGCAGGACCGCCATCTACCCACGATGCAAGGAGTGTCAAATTGTGGCACTGCTCAGGGTCAAACCTTGGTGAAAAAGGGAAAATCATCGAAGTGAAGGGTGACTTTTTTCATGGGAATATTCATGGGAGCGAGAGAGAGAGAGATATTTATATATATATATAATCTTTATTTATTTATTTATTTATTTATATATGTATATATATATATAACGGTTTATAGTGAACCAACTATAACTCATCCTTGTGGGATCTATTTATGACTATGTGAAAAAAAACAATCCCATGTTCATATGAAACACGCCCCACATATTTGGGACCATTTAGGGGGGGTTCAAATTCAGGGGGATATGACGATTCATCTGGTCCCATTGCGGGACGGAGATGATCGATGATCCTGCAGTGCCACCGTCACCATGGTCCACCGGAGTTTTTTTTTGACGCACATTCATTGGTGATATGCTTCGGCACCCTGCTGGTTGATCAGATCCCTATCAGTGGTTCATTAAAGCCTCATGTCGTCCGGTGAAAAATCCCCCGTTTTTGTTACTTCGAAGTGAGATTTGGCCGGTGAATCTTGGATTTTTATCGATTTTGACGGGTAGACTCCACATGTTTGTTGCTTCAAAGCTTGTTTTCGCAGGTTAAATTTGGAAAATTTGGTGGGTGAAATCTCAAACTGCTTGGTGGTTTTTTTACGCATGTTTCATCGGATGATGATCCCCACTTTTTTCTTTTCCGGGACACCTACCAAGTGGTATCAGTATTTTTTTTGCCTCACAATCTGAAGGGGTAGTTTAATCCTTTGTTTTTTTTGCTACAAATGGAAAATATCCAACCAACCAGCAAAGGATGTGTTTTTTTCTAGAAGAACATGCAGACTACACAATTCTCAAAGATTGAGCATGTTATTATCATTCTTTTTTGTTTTTTTTCAAAAACAACATTATCAACATTTATCAACATATTCCAAAATTTACAGTTATGATCAATTTACCATGGTCATGTTTTTTTAATGGACATCTAGACCAGTACCACAGGGTCACTACGATACGCATTTCTGGTAGTGTTGGGCGATTATGAAAGCCTTACTACATATTAGCATAGCTATACTACAGGGGGGTGCCTCCCAGTTATGTTGGCTTGTAATCCCCTTTGGCTATAGTTGTATCATGTTATATCCCCCAATATCTCCCCATAAATCCTAGTTATTGGAGTTATTTGCAACTACTACTATGTTATACCCAGCAAGTACCAATCTTAATTTTGATCATCAATGATGGTTAGCGAATCTTTGTATATTGTTATTATATTGTTGCCATTATTACCATATTGCTCTTCTTGGAGACCCCACCTTCGTCCGTTCGATGACACCTCGGGTTTCTGCGCTGAGATCGTGCGCTTCGGCAAGATGTGGCGTACCTGCCGTGTGCGCCGTCACAAGGCGAAGCAATCCTTTTACTTTCAACGGAAACTACTTGAGGACGAAGATTTGTTGCCGATCTCGTTCTACCAACATATTTCTATCATGAGTTTCTGTTTTCAAAACAGCAAGGATTTGATCATCTACAGTTGGGACATCCGTGGCCAGGCTCGACAGCCGGGCGTGACCACGTTCAAAAAGAGGATGAACAAGTACCAGGGGCCGCTTGGCGACGAGGGACTGGCACGGAAAGTGGAGGATCAATTTTTAAAGGGGGGCCTCATTTCCAAAGAAGCTCTGGGCGAAAGTGGGGGATACCCAACTGTAATCAACTGTATGGAAATGTTCAGAAGAAATTTAGGTTTTAACCTTCTCTTCCCGTATATCCACGGATCATGCCATTTCTCTTCCCGTATATCCAGAAAGTTGTGCTGACTCATCTCCGGATGTTTCTATGACCCTCACTTTATCAGCAAGCTTTCTAGAATTAGGTTTTCATGGAAAATCTGCAAAACCCCAAAATTGGTGCTAAAAAACCCATGTCAAGACTCAGTCCTCACCTTCAAGACTCGGCGACCTCCGACCGAGGTGGAAGCAAAATACCGCCCGATGAGGCCCATCTGTCTCGGACGATCCAGGAGGAAGTGGTGATTTGAAGGGCGAAGATCAGATGATTCAACCATGGACAATTCAGATTTTACCACATCTGGTCAATGGCCATTTCAGGAACCTAAATTGGAGGTACCTACCATATATATAAGGCCTATATAAGGCCTATGTAAGGGAATATCCCCACAAAATATGGCCTTATATGGTACAGTACCTCCACTTTAGGATCCTGGAATTCCCATTGATCTGGTTGCTGGTCTGGAACATGAATGGATTATGACTTTCCATTCAGTTGGGAATGTCATCATCCCGACTGACGAACTCCATCATTTTTCAGAGGGGTAGGTATACCACCAACCAGACATCTATTCAATCAAAAATGGATCTGGCACGAGAAAGTCCTCTGCAGCCATATATATATATATATATGTATATTATGTATGTATATGTATATGTATATGTATATGTATATGTATATGTATATGTATATGTATATGTATATATATATATATCGTTCTTGGCGATTCCTTCCATCTCTCCAAGTCCCGTGATTCTTGGTTGCATTCTTCCATTTTCGAACTAACAAAGAACCCTTGGCTGTTGATTTAAGGGAGAAATCCACTGTCACCGTTCATCCCTCTGGGGAGATCCCAGAATCAGGCAGCCACCTTAATCTGCGGTCAACATTTTCAGGATGACACCTTTCCTATGTAGCATCCTTCCATTTGAGCCATCTTCATATGACCTACGCTCCCTAGCTCTGAGCTTCCTTGGAAAGGTGGAAACATCAACTCGCATGAGGTCAGCATTGTCAGCATTTGGCGGTGTTTTTTCACCTTTTTTTTTTTGGCTAGTGAATTGCACTTATTGCACTTTCTGTTTGGTTTTAAACATATTTTTTCCTCACCTTTCAGATGGTTGTTGTTTGTGATTCACCTTTTTTCAATCGGCTAGGCTGATGTTCAAATATTCGGATCCACTGAGAATAGAACGTCAGCGGGCACCATTTGAAGCGATCCTCCAGTTTTTTTTTGTGGGAATGTGCAGGCAAACACCCCAAAAAGGTGAACACACATTTATGGATTTATATAATATAATATTCATTTATCTGTCCATCCATGTTTCTATATACTGTATCTATCCATCCATTTCTCCATTTGTCTATCGAACTGCTTTACTATCCAAACTCACTATTCAAACTAACAATCCAAAATATCAAACTAACTGACTATCTTTCTAATTAACTATCTGGCCACCTTTTAAACATATTAACATTATCTATCGATCAAAGCGATGATCAATCGTGAGAAAACTGTTGTATCTTTACCTTATCATTGTCCTTTTCAGCTCCTGTTGAGGCCTTCGGCAATCTCTGAACCAATCTGCCCACGGAACAAAAGAAGGGTGGAGGGAACAGTGATTTGCCAAGGAAGGCCAGATGAGTTGATAGGTAATCCCAAAATTCAGATTGAAGCTTCTGGCAAATAAACGCAAGGCAATTGCAAAAGCTAGGTATTTCATTGGCAGAGTATCGCTGCAAGCCAGGAAATTTTCATCTTGGTGCCAAGTTGTTAATGGTTTTTCTTTGGGAATGCAACAACATGACGTGCCGGCTGGTTGAACACCCCTTGAAAAATACTTCGTCCATCCCACGTTTGATGGCAGCATGGCAATGGAAAATCCAACGTAGACATATGGGGGGTTCTTAAAATGGGGGATCCCCAAAACCATGGGTTTCAATACTAAAATGGTCTATATAATTTTGGATGATTTGGGGTACCCCAATTTTAGGAACCTCCATCTCGTGAAATATACATGTGTGGAATAGAATTCTATGGAGATGACTTCCAAACATGTTCAAGTTCTTTTTGTCCCAGCCAGCCATGTTTGATTGGCAGAGGGCACAAAAACGGAATCCTGAAAAATCAGGCTAAAGTTCACCATTGGATGGGTAGAGAAATCCCCCTTGGCCATAGCCTTTCTTTACCATGGAATGGCTAGGTACTGTGGCCTTCCCCCTCGGTTGCCCTGGGATATCCCAAACATTCCCAAACCATTTGATGCTAACGTGTTTCTGGGTGTCCCGGTTCTTTGAGGACATAGCCATCTTAGACATAATGTGTATATAGTTATTATCTTATGTTCAAATACATTAAACATATTACAGAATAATGCACGTTCCGGTTATCGTCGGCAATTGTGCAGGTTGTGCAGGTTGTATCTTAAGTAATTATCTTCAGTTTGACTGGATTGATCGCACTGCCATGGTGGTTTCACTTAAGTGGGCTCTGCAGCTCCATCTCGCGGCCATTTTGGGCTTCAGCAGAAAAGGATCCAATACGTTCGTAGAGAGCGAGTTCTCGTGCCACACATCAAATTTCGTAGCGTCACAGTCGGTACCTGGGCATGATGGCATGGGAGTTACGGGGAGTCCGGGAGTGACACACTGAGCCACTGAGCACTGGGATATCAGAGCTTAAGATGCTGTTTAAGTGGTGAGATGTTTTAGTGGCGCATGTTAGGGGTGAAATAACAGGTGAAGATTTGGTGGATGGAATGTGTCTTTCATTTTATACGAATGAATGGATGTGATCCTGAAACTCTGAGACGGCCCAGCTCAAACCTTTCTGGATGGCAAGTGGCACTGCTCAAGGTTGAGCAGGAACCCAAACTTTCAAAACCCTGGCAAGTTGGCGTTGATGAGTTAGAGATACGAGTGGTACGTGAATGGTGGGGTTGGAAGAGATTCCATTCCGGATTCTATGGAGGGATCCAGGGAATTCCAATCCCAATCCCGAAAACAACAGCAGGCCAACCGGAAATTTTCCAGTCGGTTTACCTTTCTCAGGATACCTCAAAAATTGATCCATGATGAATGTTTTTTTTTCAAATATTACGGCAAAATTCTAGCATCCATGGCAGCATTGATCCATGATGAATGTTTCTTTTGCTTTTTAATATTATGGCAATGGAGCATCCATGGCACAGCCCAAGGTTCTCAATCGGAAGTTTCGTTTGAACACCCAGCTGAAATCGCTGCAGGTGACTTTCGACGACAGGTGAACGGGGACCAGAGTGGGACCATTGGCAGATGGGGTTGCCATCTCCCTGGTGTGTTGATCAATGCTGTTGTTTTGATGGTGCGAATGTTCCGTTATGTTTGCGTTTGATATATTATAATATATATATATATATGATATATATATATATGCAATGTATATAAGAATATATATATATGTATACTTGTATGTTAACTGAACAGATGTCGCTTCACCATCTCTATTGTTCATGGGAAACTCCCCAATTCTTTTTGGACAACCCACCATTTTTGGGTGGAAACCTCCCCAGTTTCCAACGGCAAGGCTTCTCGACTTAAGTCAAGTCAGCTTCCAACAGAATGACTGCAACTGGGCAGCATTGGATCAATGGAAATCAATGGATTGGCCGGAAAATCGGAAGCGGAAACCATAGCTTTCCCCATGAAATACCCTCTGGTAAACGTTTACATAACTATGGAAAGATCCACCATTTTTAATGGGTAAATCCACTATTTCTATGGCAATTTTCAATAGCTATGTTAAATTACCAGAGGGTATAGGCTTTTCCTGTAACATTTCCCTTAAACCAATCCAGTGATTGGAAGACAATCCAGTGGATTTTTCAGCGATATCGGCATGGGTCAAGATCAAACCTCCAAATCGCCAGGGGAATCGGAGCCTTGACGGACCAACATTTGTTCTGGTATCATTGTCTACTCATTTTTTTTCTCCTTTATGAAGGGGATCTTTCACCAAAACGAAAAGAACTGTCTTTGTTAGTGTTGGTGATTGCCGTTCATGACTCCCTGCCTGAAATGCCCTCTCCTGGCGAAAAGAGTTGGATACAGCATTTCCCGATCTCAAATGACTTAGTGACGAGGATAGAGTTTAAGTTTTTATTGGAATAGTTTTCCAGTGATTGTATGAGCATCTCCCATATTTTGTCGATCACATCATCACATAATGTTAATGATCAAGCTCTCCGTCGGTCCCTCGGTCCCTCCATATTTCATCCCAAGGTCTGGCTATTCTGACCGTCATGAACCATGACATCCCATGGCTTTATCATGACTACATCTGGACATTTGTGATCAAAAAGTTCCCAAGACTTCGTTGGTATGAAATTCTTAAAGGGGTATGGATCAATACCTATTAATACCATTTTTAGGGGAATGAACATCCATTTACCAGCTATTTTGATGTTCACCAGGGGTACAAGGTTTTGACACACTGCCAAATGAGTTTTTTTCTAGAAAAGGACGGATCCTAAATCGATTTTCATGTTTTTCAGTGGCTCATCCACCAACAAGATGATGAGTCATCATTCGCATTATTGTTTGTCAAATCCTCATGATATCCGCCCTAGTACCTATTATTAGCACCACTATTGATATGTTTTTCCACAACTAGAGTTGTTATTTCGTTGTTGTTACTGATTATTACATTTTTCCACAATCGTGATTTATCATTATTTCTATGATGATTTTTGGCAAAATTACTATTGTCATCATACTTGTTTGAATTTCATTTCCTACTACCATCATTATTGCTATTATTCTAGTTATCTTATACTCTTGATTTTTATTCATTACCCTCTGGTAAATAAACATAGACCCTGAAAATCACCCATTTAGACTAATGGAAACTAGTCTTCCAACCCCTATCTGCCAGGGTCTATGTTAATTTACCAGAGGGTACCCATTCGTCCTATATTATGCATCTGTTTTTTGTTGTACAGATGGTCTGCGACAAGGTCGGTCATCACTGCGAGGCGCGGCCCTTTGGCAGGGCTGTTGTCATGGTTTTTCATCATCAGCTTTAGGGGATTGATGAGGTTTCACTATCAAAGATGTGGGGAGATGAGTGACAAATGATACTTCAGCCATGAAAAACATCCCATGGTTGATCGACTAGAAATTGGTGGATTATACTACTTCATTCAGAATGATGCTCCATGGGGATAGCCATTAGCCAAGTGGAATGAGATTTTTCACAGGTTTTTTGTTGCTCAGATGATGGGTCAAAATGCTGCTTGCCTTCTGTTCACACGGAAAATTTCGCTGGGATATATGGGAATTTCAGGATCCTAAAATGGAGGTACTGTACCATATAAGGCCTATATAAGGCCTATATAAGGCCTATGTAAGGGGATATCCCCCCAAAATATGACATCTCCATGAATGACAAAAAACCTGACATGTCGTGACCTCATTGGCATCAGATGGCATCATGGATCCGGGGAATCATCCCCCAAAAATGGTCGTTTTTGTTTCAGCTATTTTCAGGTTAGTGAATTCTTATGTTTCAGCCATAATTATATATAAACATAAGTACTAGTACATACATATATATGTATATTGTTGTATTATATATTATTATTACTATTATTATTAATATTATTATTATTAATATTATTATTATTATTTTATATATGTTATTATATTATATATTATTATTATTACTATTATTATTATTATTGTTATTATTATTATTATATATACATATATATTATTATATATATTATATTCTATACATATAATCAGAATACATACTATATATGTACATGGGATACATCTATATCATTCAGCCAGAATGGCTGACTCGTTTTTGAACTGAGACGAGCAGTGGCTGCTAAACCCCTGTTGATATCCCAAGATACTGGGGAAGCATTTTGCGAAATGAGTCCCAGAATTGGTTGAAGGGAACAGCTGCAGGAAAACACCACATTTGATATCTGGTTGGTGGTTTGGAACATTTTTATTTTTACATATATTGAGAAGAATAATCCCAACTGACTTTCATATTTTTCAGAGGGGTAGGTCAACCACCAACCAGTCTTTAATTCCATTATTTCCTGTAAACTGTCTCTCAAACCCTTTTATGGACAGAGAAGGTTGTTGTAAATGACCATGTTGAGAAAGTTATGAAAGTTCGGGAGAACAATGGTGTAATATGGTGTAATTTAGATTTACCTCGAACGGATTTTCACCTAAATGGGAAGGACAACTTTGGGTTTATAGAATTCTTCACATGCCCGTCATGTCGGTTCCTGCTTTGCTTGATGACCCGTAGTGATTCCTGATGGGAAATACATGATTTTTACATACTTTACTATGGGAAACGGAAACCTGATGGAGCCTGACCAATGGGAACTTCATATCATGAGGGCAGCAACATTGTAGATATACCTGCTATATATGTAACACATTAACATTTAATTTTGCATAGCACGATCAGTATGTATGCGTACATACGCTACAGAATACCTACGTGTGTATGTATATATATATATATACATGTTTATCATACACATGTTATACAATACATCCACAGATCTATCTCTTTAATATCATTATATAGATCTTATCCTATCTTATTCTAATCTATTGAAATCAATGGGAATTCCAGGATCTTAAAATGGAGGTACTGTACCATATAAGGCAATATTTTGTGGGATATTCCCCTACATAGGCCTTACATAGGCCTTGTATATGGTAGGTACCTCCAATCTAGGATCCTGAAATGGCCATTGATAAAGATACAATCTCATCCACCAAAGCAAATTCGATCTATCTACTGTATGTCTACAGTCTGGTAGATGCCTTTGCCAGCAAGTTTCCAGCAGGAAAACGATGCTGTAAAAGAGATGCCCCGCGAGGCCTGGATCTCAAAGCTGGGTAAGCCATCGGTGGGAACTGGGCTGGCAATTTTCACTGCTGTTTTTTCACGATGTTTTGGACTCTAGGGATTTAAAACAGCGAGAATTTGGATCATATTGTTGTAGGCCTCTACGTAATCACTAAACAGGTCCAGTCGGCCAGCCAGCCTCGTCGGATTTCCCGATGAACCGCAGAACTTCTGCAGGTATCCCAAGAATACACCAGAAACCTTCCCGCAACTGTCTGTCAAGTCTGGGATGCCTTCAAAATTGCACGGTGCCATGTTTATTTATCAAACAAAATGAACACGGTGGTTCCGTGAAAGCTACATGATGTCCCAAAATTCAGGTCTTGTTGATTCTTTTCGTGGTCAAACCTCACTTCTTCTCTAGCTCTCATGGATAATTTGAAACCCCATCCCCACATTCTTAGCTTGGTTGCTTGAATTCCTTTGAACGATCAAACCCGGTTTTCGCTTCTCAAAATGCCGTAGCAGGGTCAAGATTCCTACTTCTCGGATCACAATCGGATGCTAACAACGAGACTGATGTGCAGCAGCGACTAATTCTTGACCTGAACCACGAACTAGGCTCGTCATCATTTTCTAGGAAGGATTCCCTTTGATATTTTTGATGTTCCCCCCTTTCTAAGGATTTTGGATCCTACCATTCCCAACTTTGGCTTTTGAACAATTGTAAGATTCTGTTTTTGTTGGTTCCGTCCACCATTTCGAGGCGTGAAATACCTATAATCGATGATCATATTGCCAATTGGCACCTTTGAAGCGAGATGTCAAAATTGGATGTCATCAAAGTTGTCAATATAACATGCCATTTCACGCTATTTGCCGTTACAGTTTTGTTACATGTGCACGTATATATATATATATACACATACACAGGTACACATATGCGTTACATCCCCTCATAGTGTTTTCTTGTGGATATACGGATGTGACATCGGTTTTAAATCTCAGCCAACAGTTAACAATGTGCTATTTTTTTGCTTGAAGGAAAACAACAAATTGGGGCTTCCCATTCACCCACCATTGGCTTAAGGGAGAGAACCATTAAAGGCCTGCAGGTACCAGGTACATTTTGGGGTAAACCGGTAAAACCCCATGGTTTCCCAAAAGATTTTCCATGGTTTCTTGTAGATTTTTCCCAACAAAACCAAACCGTTGACGGAAAAACATCAGGAGAAGGTGGGCATCATCTTGAAAGACACCCTGCCCAATCGATCTCGTTGGGCGGATATCGAGGCAACACCGCCATGTGAAACGTGGGGACCTTTTGGAGATGTTTTAATATTTTTATTATCATTGTTTATCCATACCAAACAAGGGGAATATAAAGAAATTATCCATATATATATATACATACATACATATATATATACATATGTATATTTTTTTTTGGCCAAACACTTGGCTTCTACCAAAAGCTTTCTTGGGTGATTCCCATCCCTCCAAGCTAACATACTGACCCTGCTTTCTTGGGCGATTCCTCAGGTGGAAGATGCCTCTGAGGACTGCACGGATGGCAGTGGGGAGCCTCGATTTGAGTCTACTTGAGTACATGTATTTGTATGTGGACACAGATATGTACATATACATATACACAGATATGTATGATATGTGTATATAATATAATATATATATATATTTACACATGTTCACACATAATATATTACTGGTATATGATATTATATGACTATGTATGTGCCATTATACACATAGCAACCAAACAATCATACGTGCTTGAGTTGCCAATGTCAATATGGATATTTCTCCATCATTTGGTGCATTGAAACACTTTCTGGGTAATGCGGACCTGGTACCTTACTGGAATAGTGGTTACTTTCCTGGAAATATCATATATATATATATGTGTGCTTCACCATTGCTTTTCAGAGGGTCTATCACGATAAAATGTGAGATAGGTCAGATGGGTATTGGTCAGTGGCTACACCAAAAGACTAATTGCAATAAATCAATGGTCATTCCAGGATCCTAAAATGGAGGTACTGTACCATATAAGGCCATATTTTCTGGGGATATTCCCTGAAATTTAGGCCTGAAAAATAGGCCAAAAATATATGGCCGTTGAATAAAGGATCAGTGGTTTTTCTGACTTTGATTTTCCCTGTTTAATTCGGTGGCCCACGGACATCACAGTGATTTTTGGGATGTTTTTTTGAGTGATCCTCGCAGCCCAGATGCCGAATAACGTGGGAAATCCAGGATGCCGAAACGATGACGTTTCCTCCATATGGCTATGGATCAATACCTATTAATACCATTTTTAGGGGGATGAACATCCATTTACCAGCTATTTTGATGTGAACAAAAGGGGTACAAGGTTTTGACACACTGCCATATGTTCATATATTTTCATATCTTTTCCAAGGCATTTTGTTGACTGAGACTCCTGCCCTCCAAATTTCATGTGACCCTCATTGACCTCGCCATTGACTTCAATCAGCCCAGAATCCCACCTTTGATCCTCAAATCTGGGATCCATTTGTTGCCATTTGATGCAAATCTGATAGGGAGATGTTTTAGGAACATCTGGTTTCTTTGGGGCTTCCTCATGTTTTCGCTATTCTATTCTCAGTCAAGCCATTCTAATGGGATTATCAAGGCCAATCATCAATGGGCTTTTACCTAAAACATCATGGGGATAATACCCATTACCCTAGGGATCCAATCCCATTCAGTTCCAGGAGATGATTGGAGGTTCTGATCACGTTTGAAAACGATATCATGGCACTCTCCGAAAAGGATAAATCCATCGAACTAGTGCGATGCATCCACCTTAAACCCTAGCTAGTTCTAAACCTAGGTATATGGAGGTTTCCTGAAATAGGGGTACCTCCAAATCATCCTTTTTTTCAGAGGATTTATCGGATTTTACCTATTGTAAACCAATCATTTTTTTGGAGTACCCCCATTTTAGGACCCCTCCATATAGAACATGAATTGAACATGCATAAATTGCTGCATACCCACTGGTAAACTAACATAGCTATAGAAAAATCACCATTTATAATAGGTAAATCAACTGCAAATCAACTGTAAATGATAATCAATAGGTATAACATATGTTTATAATAGCTATTAACATATGTTTATAATAGGTAAATCAACTGTAAATGATCATTTTTAATAGCTATGTTAGTCATAACCAGAGGGTAAACATCATGGTGAACCCCAGCATTTCACCAGGTGCGCGGGCGGACGAGAAGCTCGCAGGGCGTAGACAGTCCGGCGCCCCTGGACGACGTCGGTCGGTGACATGGGAAGGGTAGGGGAAATCCTCCAATAGCTGGATGGTCTACTGTATCAGGGAAAACCATAGAAAAATGGATGAAAAATGGATGTAGCCCTATTTTTTTTTTGAAACCTCCAAATGATTTGGATATATCGGGAAGTCATGTAAGAATTAACTGCTGAGAATTAACTAAGGTTTATGGGGGATACAGAACTATAAAATGAATGGATGTTAATGGGATTTCCAATTTCAACTTGCCCTCTAATTTAACAGAGCGAACCGGAAAATCACCATGTTGAATAGGTAAATCAGCATTTTCATCATCAATTATAAATGGGCAATTGTCCATGGTTATGTTGAATTTTCCATAGCTGTAATTTGATCCATCTATACCATTGCTATACTATTTGAATCTATTTGAGATGTCTCTGATATCTAATGCATTCCGAAATTGTACCCAGATATATCTGTAGAATTATTTGATCTAGCTGATATGTTATAGTGATATCAGATACAAATTCAACGAATATACTATTGATATCATGATATCGATTTATCAGATCTCAGTTTCTGTGAAATTATATAATATCATATAATGAATTAATACCATGATATCAATAGGGTAGGGACATGGACGTTACTCGTACAACTATTATATTATTATTAGTCTTTTTTCTTTAGTGTGGTACGCCCAATAACAATACAACCATTTCTGGTAAATGTCAGGCTGGTTTATTATTGGGTGTAGCACATTTTTTTAAAGTTTCACTCCTATCTGGGATGATGATCAGGTAAGTATTTCATATTTTTAGGTGGGGTTGAAACTAGCAAGTTTAGAATCGCAATCAATCAACAAATGGGAATTCTATCCGTGGATTCTCTGGAACATCCAGTGCGCCCGAGGATGTTATCATCGGCAACGTTCGCCAACGGATTGGCACGTCAGCACAATACAGTACTCGCTAGGGACCGAGTAAACTTCACATCCCGGAAATGCCTATGGAGCGGCAGTGCAGGACTTACCCCTTTGGTATTTTCGCGCGATGATGGGCTCAAGTAACCAGTGTGTGCAGCTCTTGACCGCCTGCGAGTGAAGCTAATTCTCAGCCATGTTTTCATCCCTTTTCCCCTTGCGAAGCCATGTGCGGCATACGAAACCCGCACATCTCTAACCCTGGCCGGGGGGGTTGTGGGCTGTCACCCCCTGCCCCCTCCTTGGGGAGATCACCGTGTTGTCATAGGCAATCATCGAATCTTCCATGGGCCATGGAAAGCCAGTTCGCCAAGTGTATCTATATATATGATATATATATATATTATAGCCGCCATAATATAGTATATAACCATTATCAATATTATATAGTGATTATTTAAGCGTTTGATATCTATGTATGAACCATTCATAGCCACCAAAAAAGCCCCATTATACATATTATACCAGGGGATACTTTGTCCATCTCTCTCTCTCTCTATATGTATATATATATATATATAGAGGTGTACATCTTCTTCGCTTCTAGAGTGTGTACATGTTACTTTATCAATATATTTATATTTATATATATATATATGATATGTTTGGGATTATGTTATGCATTGGTCAGGCAACCCGCCAAAAGAGCTATATGTATGTAACCCCTTGTACATGTTTGATCACTTGCAGGACTTGTAGTGTAGGTCACGCAAGGTGGTGAAACGGTTCAAACACCTTGAAGCAACATCCAGCTGTGTCCCTTATCATCATCACCCCTACACCACCTATCTTCAATACGCATGTGTATCTATGTGATGTATACAATTTCACGTCTTCAACCAGTATCTGGGTGGAACAAAGCCCCCCACATTCTTCGCCAGCGATTCCCCACTTGGAGGATCACCCCACTTCGGAACCGATATAGAAAACCCATAATCTGATTGACCCCGAGGAATTGGCGACTTCACCAGGCATAGAAACTTTCGAAACCATAGAAGAACCCACTTGCCCGGGCCTTTCCGTGGATCTCCATGGGTCGTTGAAGGCTCGGCCCCCGCGGCGGCCGCCGTCCCAAGTTTCCTGCGGCAGATGTGCAGAAGGTGGGCGGAAACGGTGAAATGGCGAGAAGAACGGAGGAGTTGTTGGCCACACAAGGTTTTTGAGTACAATATAATGTCAACCCTGGATTAATAAACCCCTAGGCTGTTTAATTATTTTAATTGGGAGGGTACCATTTAAGTATCAAATCATGACTATTGGGGGAATACCCCCCTAATCAATAAGCCATGGTTTATGAATCCGGGGTTGACATTATAGGGCTTTCCCAAGTCATGGGGGTACCCTCAGTTATCATCCATTTCTAGATGGATTTAAACCATTTTAAATAAACCATCCAGCTATTGGAGACATTGATGGAAACCCCCAATATGCCGAAAATCATGAGGATATCTTGGTAGTTAACCCCACGGCCAAGCGATACCAAGTATGATCAGGGCTTATAGATCACCAACAACCAACGAATTCAGGGCGAGAGGGCGAGTCTTAACCAAGGATTTCACATAGAAGCACGAGGAATACGAGGATTTGTTGACTGATCTGTTTGATCTACAACACCCAAGCTCGTTTGTAGATGAAGAGTTGGGTTGAAAAGGTGGATAATTATAAGACATATAAAAATATATCTCTTTGTTGCTGGATGGGGAAGATGAGCCAACTTACTCAAAGAAGTTCTTCTCTGGCCTAATGATAGACCCCTAACTTGTAACATAGAACCCAAGAATGGTGACATCAATTAATGGAAATCATCTTTAAAATCCAATTTTTGCTGCCTCATGTTAAACCTAGGGGGTGCATTTCATGACCTATCTCTACCAATCAGATTGGGTCTTCAGACTTTAATGCAAGCATTTCGTCCTCTCTTACTCTTATCCTTCCTTTGTCTCTCTTTTTCAGATTCCAAGAATTTTATTCTCATTTTTTCAGATTCCATTTTTTTGGATCAGGCTTCTCCCCTTACTGTACCATACCAGGTGCTTTTTTGATTCCCATTCTTTTCTGATGTCCTTTTTTGGATTTCCATGGATTTCCATGGATTTCCATGGATCTCCAATGTTTTTCCGATTCTTCCCAGATTGCACTTTTTTCTTGTTCCCGTTCTTTTCACATCTTTTCGGATTTCCAGATTCTCCATTCTCTTAGATTCTGTGTGATTTTAGATTTACAGTACCTTTTTTCTTGTGTTTATTTCAAGTCTTTTGAGATGTCCCCGTGCTTCAGACTTCCCAGTCTTCATTCTGATTTTGTTCTTTCCCTTTCTCCTGCCTTCCTAAATTCTTACAATATGACCTGTGTGCTTGGTCTGGGTGTAGCCCCTGGTATCCCCTCGTACTCCACTAGGAAGACCGAGTGATTGGCAGCGGATTCTCAGAAGCAATGCTTCAAATCTGGATAGACACACCTTCGTAGCCCGTCATTTCCACCAGTTCTGAACAAACTTGGGCAATTTTTTACAATATAATTGATATATATATATATATTATATGGATATTACTATATGTGTATACGTACATAATTAAACCTGGTTGATGGTTTGGAGCATTTTTTATTTTCCATAATTAATATGGGATAGTCCTTCCCATCCATAATATATGGGTTGTAGTCCTTCCCATTGACGAACTCATATTTTTCAACATGGTTAAAACCACCAACCAGTAAATAAATAAATAAATAAATATATATATATATTATATTATATTATATTATATTATATTATATGGATATTACTATATGTGTATACGTACATAATTAAATAAATAAATGTATATATATATATACATGATATTACCGGACGGATGATGTTTGACAGCAATGCTGTGGCTTCGACTCACGGACTCACGTCGTGTCTTTGGGAGTTTGTGGAGATGTTGGTTGGAGCCTCCCATAGTGCTAACCCACCTGGTTTTCAAATCTTCATGCTTCTGAATTTATACAAATCTGAAATGATTGGGAATAGATATATATATATCTTTACATAAATGATCATCAATTCTCCAATGATCATATCCAATTATCATCAACTATAACCAATTCTCATAGCAATTCTCCTGTGTTCTTTTTTGATACCTCCTGTTTTCTCAGACCCGCCAGGTACATCCCGTGCCCGAGCCAGCAATGCCAGCTGGAGATTTCCAGGCGACCGGGGAAAATTCTTGGAATTTACCCGGCCTGGTTATGTCAACAGTTTGCGAACTGGAAGCCATGGCCATTTTGAACTCGTGGATTTACCCAGCTAGAAAATGGTGATTTTTCCAGTTCGTTATGTTAGTCATTACCAGGCCGGGTAGATTGAGAATTGATAGAAATGATCCTCTCACTAAGCTATTTTTTGTATTTTGGAGTGCAAACAAATGAAGGCGCCTAAGCTAGAACTTATAGGTGAATTGAATCATTAGGAATTTAGCTGAGTGAACCTTCAACATTTTGGACTACATTTTTTCTTGTCTCGAAATAACTTGGACGCCTAGACGTATGAAGTGCTTTTTTTTGAAACGTTCACATCCTTGAAACATTTCTCGGCTTTTTTTTGAGGGTGACTGTAAAAGCTGTGAATATTTCATAGCCAGCTAAGTGGTTTTTTTTTCACTGGCCATTTCAGGTTCCTAAATTGGAGGTACCTACCATAAGGTCTATGTAAGGCCTATGTAAGGGAATATCCCCAGAAAATATGGCCTTATATGGTACAGTACCTCCATTTTAGGATCCTGAATTTCCCATTGACCGGGTCTCCAAGATGACAGATTTCGGGTGATTGGGGGATCAGGAATCAAAGAATGGCCGGGTGGATTTTCTATGGGGAGGGATTCTCATCAGTTCAGTGTCCCTAACACAAGCTATGCGGTAAATCCATATACCCTCCGGAAATTTAACAGTTCGCGACATAGAAAATGGATGAACATGGACCATTTATAAAATTTATAGTTGATTTACCCATTGATAGCATGGTGGATCTTTCCCGTTCGTTATGTAAACGTTTACCAGGCCGGGTAAACGCCATAACAAAAACCATCTGGAGCCCTTTGGATCGGTAAAAAAATCCAATGGACTGAGAGGATCCCCCGAGTTGTGTTTGTTAGCTTAGCGTCTCCGAATTAATTTCCAGAGAATATATATAGATATATAGATATATAGATAAAGATCATAATAACATATATCATTTCACCAACTTCGATAGCTATAAATCGACTATAAATCCCTACATCCCAGCCGCTTTCCAGCCACGAATTTGGGGCGAGGCCAAACCATACATCAAACCACAGGCGGGGAAGGGGCCAGGGTTTCCTTTTTCTTTCCGGTCACCAAACGTGGCTGTCTGGAAATCCCATATGAATGGGAAAACCGTAGGAAAACCCTCGGAAACCTTGCCCAAATTCCTTCTGAATATGGCTTTTTGATGGGGCAAGTCATGTTTACCAGAGGAAATTCAAGGTTTGAGACACATTGCACAGATGCTACTCATTTAACACTTTTTTGGAAGAACGTTGGGCACCCACCTTGGACCGGTACCGAAAAAATCTGGAGTGCCCTCTTCGTCACCAACCTGGAAGATCTGAAAGTGCAGAACTTGTTTGGTTTTCTCTGGATGAAAATGGAGGCTTTCGATTCCTAATGAAGTTGGTCTATACTATGAGTCTATATGTATTAAAGTTTGGCAAACATTGGGGAATTCAAAGGATCCAGCCCTCATCTCCTCACCATTTCTTTTGATGTCCAGCAATGATGATGTCACAGTCGATGAATCTGGATGCATTGCGTCCAAAAAGCATCCCGCTTGCTGTTTCCCGGTGGCTGAAAGCGTCTAGTTGTCCTTCTTAGATGATCTATCGAAGTTCCTGAAACTTGTATCTTCATCATTGAGTACGAGCTTAATTTCAACCCAGGATTAATAAACTATAATAACCCCCTGGTCTATCGATCTGGCATGTATTATAGTACTTGTGAATATTTTGGATGATCACTTACCACTTTGGGGGCAAATATACCCCGAACAAACCAGGGAGTATGAATCTGACGTTGACACC